TGATAATACAAGTCGTATATAATAGTCGTCGTAAATATAAGAAAAGTTATAACATTGTATAAATTTAAAGTAAATTATATTTCTTATAAATGCACGTACTTCTGTGTTCTTTGTTCTTTATTCTGAAGATTTTAAAATAACAAATCTAATCAATCCCGTAATCCATATAAAAATATACACAATATAAAGTGCAAAACTAATCAAACGGTATCCACGAACCATCGCGGCCTGTCCGTTCAATTTCCGCTCAGATGAGTTTCTAACGCATTTAGCAGCTGTTCTGGAATCCCCTATTACACCCCCCGCTTCGAGGCAGTCCTGCAAATTGAACGATATGACAAGGTTAATGACCTATCTAGAGTAGATAGTAGGTAGGTAGGCTTAGATTTTGTATGAGTGAATTTGTATTATAGAACAAAAGTAGACTTATAAGATTCGTCAATATAGTCTTGAATATATATACCAAAATATTATATTACTTGCAACACTGAAAATTGGTAGCGGAATTAAACTAAATTATTTTAATGAAACAGCCATTGAAAAATGGTACATTACGCTTAGTCATTTTTTGAGAATTTTTAACACTCGACGCTTTTTCTAAAAGCATACCTATACCTACATAAGTCATATAAAATAAAATATTTTTTATAGAGTTACAGTCTAAAATATTCATATATATATAGAGCTTATATTCACTTATCTGATACAGTTTCAAATATATTAGCATAAAAATATTACCGTTTCTCAAACTTGTCAAAAATTTATATTATAGTATTATATGTATAAGTAGTAATACGAATATGTAATAGGTTACATAGTGAATAATCATTAACTGCATACTTAAAAATTAATATAAATGTATATTTTAGTAGTTTATAATATATTTACAAATAAGTATTGTATTTAATAAAAGAAGGTAGAAGTGCCAAGAAGAGAAGAGAGAAGACAAAGCTCATGGATGTGAAATTGACTCTAGTAGGGAGTCCGTTATTATTGCGCGACTCCCTAATCGAGTCAGGTTGACTTCTTTGAGGCTATCTCGACTACTGCAGAAGATAAGAAGTTTGTACAGAAGAAAAGCTTTTCATCGAGTGTCAGAGAATTAAATATTTTTCACATTTTTGTATACCTACACTGAAAACACAAAATGTATTAATCCCCACTTTAGCCGATATTAATTAAATATATCTAATTTAGCCAAGTCTCAAAATGGCCAACCACAGCTTTTTTTTGTTTATACTCCGCATAATTGTTTTTTTTATTATTATTATTATTATTTTTTATTAAAATCAAACATACTAAAAAAAGTTGTGGTATAAGCTCTTTCGTTGTATTAGATATTTACTATACTAGTACGTATTTCATCTTCGTTTTGTTTCTTTTTTCTTTGCTGTATAGTAAAATTCACTAAATGTAACTTAATAATTTTCGCCTTTCCAACATGAATATTTTATTTATAGTACGTAATTTTTGTAAGCTCGTAACAACTAAACGGTGGGGCCAATTTAAACGATAAATAAGGATATTCGATTCGTCTTACTCTTAGTAACACCAAATATAACGGTAGGGCCGATTTTGACAAATAAAGTTATTCGATTCATTCAACAGCTGTCACAAGCACTGGGTGTATGAAAAATGGCCTACCGCGTATTACGTGTATACGCCGTTTTATCGAAGTGATATTTTTTTTAGATTTAAAAAGATTAATCGTATCAATTACTAGTTCATGTTTTAAGAGCCTATTTAAAATACATTTTTTAATATCGACAGCCCACAGTACAGGAAGTTATCGAATTCTACATTGAATGCACTAACCAAAATATCCTTCAAGTTATTTTAATAAGTGTCAACATTTGGTTACATTACATTGCCGTGAAAATTCAATTATAAGGTATTAAATTATAAAGATATTTTAAATGCATAAATAAAACGCGCCATATATCATACTCGGTTTCATTAAATGAATCCCATAAGATATCCCCGCCCCGTCTTACCAGTTAGTAGCTAGTTAATTTTAGTGAGATGATGTTTCGCGATTTTGGTTTACAATTTAAATATTTAAATTAAAATTTAAACATCGTATATTTAAAAATCTAATATACTTCAACTGATATTATCTATACACATAAATTTGTTTCAATGCAATAACGAAACGCAGCTTTTTTTTTTAATTTCGTTAAAATTTAAACGCGCCCATTCCAGACAAATTATCTTTTTGAAGACTAGGCAGCATGGTCTCCGACCTTAGCCTGTTCCAAACGGAACAAACGTACTAAAAAAAAAAAAAAATTAAACGCGCCCGCTGAGACCTGTAGTAACTCAACGGCCGTATTTTTTTTATTTATTGCACTTCTTTGTTACCATTGTTTTTGTTTTATGTTGTATAATAACTTTCCTTAACTGTGGAATTTCATTCTATACCTGTGTACTATAATCCTAATACAATAAATGCGAATGTTTGTAACGATGGATAGATGGAAAAACTACTGAACTGTTTCACCAAAAACTATTAAACAGATATGAATGAAATTTGGTACACGGGTAGAATATATTCATATAATATACATAGGATACTTTATATGCTGATTCACGTAAGTGAAACCGTAAGATTAACATAGCTATTTTCATATGTGGATTACATTATATTCTTAGAGCGGAGCCAGTTCAACGCTTTTCTACTATCTTGTGGGCCCAAATTCAAATTTTAACTTGAACCTCTTTCAATTTTTCTCTTCGAATTTCATTTATTTTTCCTCATTAATTTAAAATAATTCATACTTAGTACTTCGGAAGGCACGTAAAATTGTTGTCCAAAAATTTAATCTAGTAAGTTTTTTGTTTCACAAAAAACCTGCTTCAATAGTGGCAAAATCAATTATTTTTTGTAATAAAATTCAGTTATTTTAATTTAAACAAAACTAAACCAATTTTGACAAAAATTTTGTGAGACCAATTAGAAAGTATATACTTACAGATAAAAAAAAAAGAATTTTGCAAAACAATTTATAACTAACGAAGTTTGTGGTAACAAATATATAAAACAAAGAACTCCTCCTTTTGTTTTAAATAAGTTAAAATAATTTAAAAAATTTAAAAGAGTAGTATATATTATTTAATATAGTTATTTACAAATCCTTAGTGAAAAATGTAACGTAATGACTTAAAGGATAGTCATAAATAAGTTGTCGTTATTGAACTAAATCAAAATCATTAAAAAAATATTGAAATGTAAAATAAATTCTCCATGAAACCTTCATAATATTGCTTGTTATCGGAACGACAACACTAATAAGATCTCTAGAGGAATGTCTAGGGGAAAAAATCCTTTAAAATTAAAATGATACTCCTCGCTCTCAGTTGGAGATAAAGCAAAGAGGATTGCCGCCATTTTGCATGTCGTAATGATTAAACATTTTATTTTATCTCAAGTTAAATAAATTATTTAAACATTGATCTTGGATCATGATATTAGCGTTAAATAATTAAATTATTATGTATCACCAAATATCGACCTTAATTAAAAAAAATATTTTTTGGCATGTCCTGATAGTAAGATTTCACATTAATAGTAATACGTACAAAAAAAACTGATTGATACTTTTTAATCAATTTTTAATTAAGGGCTTTAATTGCTACTAAATTATATGAATTTATAATATAAAATAAAAATATTGTTTTTATGTTATTACCTGTTACTGCTATGTTGGCCAACTTTTAAGCTTAGTATAGGAGTGGAAAGGATTGTTAGTAATGGAGTCGTAACACCTTCGTTGCTATCAAGATTCTGTCACGTCAACCTCCATGCAGTTTACCCTGTAAACCATCGTGGTAAATTCTAGTCGAATTCGCTGTGATGGGCCAACTGACCTGCTTTCATCGTCGCCTATCATCCCTCACTAGTGCTCCTGGCTGGCGTATACCGACAGCATAGGCGGATAACCATTCAATTATCACCCATTAAAATAAAACTGGCTTAGTACAGGGTATTATCCTTAGTGCCACAAATACTGAAGACAAAAACTTTATACTCGTACCTATTAAAAGTGAATATAAATTTAAAGCTAATTATAATAGCAGCAGCGCAGCATAGAAGTATTTTTAATATCCTTATTATTGTTAAATCTTTTCTGTTAACGTCAGTTTCCAAGTTTCTGTCAGTTAGTCCGTCATGCTATTATTCAACTGTTTGCTATTCCCAGTTGAATAAAAGAAATCGATACACTTCTTCGACCACTCCATTTATTTCTAATGAAATACTGCAGGATACAACCATCAAACAGTTTACAGAAAGAACGCAATACGTTTGAGTGTAGCAACACAGAATCGAAGCGAGCGATGCGGCCCGTTGGGAAATTATCTGGCAACCCGAGCTATGTTCAACCGTCATACATAGTTACTTCGATAATGTGAGATATAATGGCACAACTTTGATACAGCAATGGTTCGGAATTGCATCTAGAAGTAAATTTTATTGTGTCCCTTGAGAACTACGTTTATAACGTTAGACATTTTACATTTAAGAGAACACTTTCCGTGACACTGGTAAGGGTGCAAGTTTGCAACAAAATGAGTTTATGATGAACTGCGTACCTACTTCGTGCTCGTATATAATCAAATGTATTCGTGACATGGGGTGTATAAATTGTAAAGGTTTCAATTTCTGATATTTGACTATAATGACGATTGACGATGACTTTATGAAAACAAAATCAGTTCAACCGTGTTTTTTTTTTAACGAACGGTATTTAATTTTTATTACTATACTTTTATATAATTAGTATAATTATTTTTATATTTTAAAGTCAAATCGTCTATTATTATCTATTATTACATTTTTATATACCTAATAAATATCATTACATCTATATTTTAGTTTTTATCCTTTTTAAATATTTATCATTTTCTTTTCTCCGAATATTTTGAATTATTCTAAAAATACAAATTCAACTTCATCGCCAAACAAGAGCTGTATCACAACAATCCTCTATTTTTATTTTCAGTACAAAATCCCCAAGAAGGAAGAGGTGGTGGAACAACAGCAGGCCGAGCCAGACAATCCGCTGATGAGGAAGAAAAAGACGCCCGAGGAGTTAGCAGCGGAGGCCGAACTCGAAGACCAGGACGAATTCACTAGTGAGTAAATTAGAGCGAAAAATTGTCGACTTTTATGTTGTATTATTATGTTGGTACCATTTAATTCGGGTTTATCACAAAACATATTTAAATTCAAAGAAGGTAGGATTGGAAACTACAGGTATTATAGTCTCCAACTAAAATACGGATTGATAACAATACTTTTAACGGAATTTTATCATTAATTAAAATTGTACTGTTCTTCACCCTCATTTTCATGTCCAATGAAAATCTCATATTTTTTTTTGTTTTTTATTTTAATATCATTGATTTTTTAATTACAAAATCACCGCAATTTATTATTAATTAAATCACTAATCAGTAATAAAAATCTGAAACAAATGTATTTGTTTATTATAAGATCATGAAGCAATATAGCAATAAAATAGCTAAAATTAATCTACTTTATAAAAATTATATAAAATTTTAATAATAGAATTGTTTGCTAATTAGTTTGTTATTGATTCCAGAATTGAAAAACACCATCGAAACGCAAGTGAATGAACTGAAGTCTCAGATCGAGAGTAAGTGCGTGATGCAGTGAACGTCGCTTCGGCGCCGTTTAATATATATTATATCTGAATACATGATGTAGCTGTGCTAAGATCATTGTTACGACGATGTTTCACAACCCGACACGATCACATCCACCCCCACCCGACGACACGACAAACGTTATGTTGAACTATCATTCGCGCTCAAACATAAAGTAGGAAAGATTTGAATTCTAAATTTTTTTGGAACGTAGATGGCTAGTGGCGCGTTGGTGCTTGATAATGAGCAATAATATTTTTATACATTCATAAAATATCGTGGAGATCAGCCCTCTATACAACTGTTGAAAAAGCGCATACGTGCGTTAGGTCAAAAAGTCATCGGCAGCATTAGAATGTGAAACAATCCAATTTTATATGTTGACGCTTGTGATATATTGTTATTTAAGTGTAAAGAGGAAATAATATAAATACAACTAGAACGAACGGTGTAATATTATTAAAGAGGAACATAATTGTATTTATAAGGAAGTTCTTAGCACGCGTGTATACTTGGCACTGACTGTCTATCTCAGCGATACTTCTCTCATCTATCCTCATCTTTCGGGTACAATTTCGAACTTACATTGAAATAACAATGTATACGTTCACTGTAATATATTTGTTTTCATCCAAATTCCACTCGGCTTGATGTGTTTATCTGTCTGTACCTATGTAGGAAGTAACGCCTCGTGTGGCTTCGCTCTGCGCTCTCTTTGAAATGACTTCAACTTTTGCCTCTAAATCTTTTGCATGCGTGCTTATGCAATGTATTGTGTCAATGTATTTCTTTTAGGTGTACATACCTGTAATCGACCTAGCCTTAATAACCACATCGAAATAAATAGGTACAAGACGTATTGTTAATAATTAAATCCGGGAATTACGCCTCTGTTACGTACCTGCGTATTCCCGTGATTTGTCATCGTTATTTTCTGCATGTCTCTAATATAAGATCAATGTTGATTTAGATTAATGTAACGATGTAGATACACTAATACTTGGTTGTTTTACCGTTGAACCGTGTAGCATGGATGATGCCACGGTTCTGTTTACTTATCGATGTTTTACGCTTAGATATAAAGTAAAAAGTTGTGAGAGCAAATTTTTCGAGCGATTGACGCTGGTCTGACGTTGTGCCCGTAAAAAATAATAATTGGATCATATGGGAAGCCAGAGCGAAAAGGCAAATATGGATGAGGATAATGTTGAAGGCAGAGTGGATGGTATAATTACTGCTTTCACGGATGTCGTGGTGTTTTTATTTCGGAGCGGATTGTTCGAAAAATCTCCACTTAAGCTGCAAATGCAAAAGATTTGTTATCGTCAAAAGCTGTGATATATAAATAAAATACAGTAACGCTGGCGAGGCGGCCGACCGCTCGCACCCTTCCATTCCCTTTAGCTTCTATAACTTTCGATCTATCTACTATGAGTCGTATAACTAATTCGTACTACACAGTCTACGGACTGCTCATCTCCTTTGTAGGCTATTCTTGAACTGTTTCCACATGAATCAGCACATCATGTATTTCCATTTTAGGTTTAAGATTTATTTTGTATTATGCATTACAAACATAGCATAATGCTTGCTAATAAAAACCACCACTTAATTTATTATATTAATTGTATTGTTGCTTTTATCGAATCACGGTCAATTATATCTATCCTCAATCTATCAATTGCAAATTCAGATCACGTATACTATTCAATATACAAACATATGTAAATATAACAAATACAACAATAATTTCTGATTGTTTACCGAAAATGCTATTTTCTGATGTATAAGATTCTATTTTCTCTCACTGTATCGCACATTGATATATATTTTCATAGCTTGTTTCCATAGAACATTATTTTATGCACGCATAACTATCATAGACGTTATCTCTGTATTACTATATCTAATGAATGAAATATATATCAGAGATGGGCAAGCTTATAATGCATCCACCCGTCCGTCTTCATCACTTCTTAACAATCTTATTATCGTTAAGGTAACTTTAAAATTCACCGTGTACGTGTGGTTAGACTAGGTTTATGGTATATTACAAAAAAAAAATAGTTCTATATGTATATGTGCATGGCAGTTTTAGCTGACGGTTGTTCGTAGTTATTCGACTAAACAATAATAGTGATAAGTCTTCACCCGTTTTATATGATTTGACACGACCAATGTTTCATATTCTGACATCACTCCATCTATCTTCGTATTAGAACGTACTCGATGTGTATTAGCTACTTCTATACTACCCTATAATCCCTAAACTATCTTCGTCTTCACTCTAATTAGCAATCAATGCCTAGTCTGTGCTCTTGTTGTTGATTTTGACTAGATAATAGATTAGTAAATTATTTTGGTACGTAGTGAAGTCTAGATAATAAAACATTGGACTTAAAATCGCTGATTGTCACTAATTTAAAATCGACGTATCACCAATTATATATCGGATTGTTTGCATGATTCAAACTAAGTATAAGCTCTTGAAATGTGTCCAGTGTCGTTTTCTCTTTATACGTCCATGTGTTTTTTGTGGTTGATACCAATAATATTTACTACATTCAGATTTTTGCCAACTGGAGTTATAAAATCAAGTCTATTTAATCTGGTTTACTTATATATTATATAATTATTTGCATAGTTATTTGGTTTCTACGTTTCGGATATTCCATTACTAAGAAAATCACTGAAATTGAGATCTATATCTAAATTTACTATGAAGATTTGCTTATTAATTATGTAAACTTGTTAAACATACATTAAAAATTAGGAATAATATCAAAAATACGTATATTCCGAAACGAGGAGTAAATAATTGTGTAAAAATTTTAAAGGAAATTAATCTACTTAAATAATTTTATTTCCATGCAATACTGTATTTAGACGCTTCTATAAGCTATCTAAATGTCTGTATATGTAAGCTTTCGATGTTCAATGTATAGTGAAATATATAGTTAGATATAAACTTGCTTAATCGTGATTGTGAAGGAATTTGGGTGATACCAAATGGTTTCAATGAGATGCATTATTAAAATTTACACTGATTGTATTCGATGTTTTAAACTGTTACGATCGGGTTTTTAACGTCAAGATTATGTACGATGTTCTACAAATAAATTAAAACACTATCACTGCTAATTTCAACGATATTATTATACAAAGTACATGTTCTCTTGCCCACTATGTCTTTCAACAAATAGATAAAATAATTATACACTAGTATATATTGCAGCACACTATTAATTATACATAATTAGTTTTCTTTATAAATAAAATATATAATGAATATCTAAAGAGGTATATACAAGGTAGATGTGTAGCTTAGACGTAATTGCACCTTAAACGAAGTATTATAAAGAAAAAAAATACAAAAAATTGTTTTCTTTTTATTTTAAGTAGAATAATTTTAAGGTGTCTTAAAGTTAACTTCGACCAATATAGATTTTTTCCTCGTGACAAAGATATCAGTTGATCTTATGACTCTCAGACTCAGGGTAAAATATATTTATATGTACTGTGACTATTGTTGTCTATATACATATTACATATTCGTTCCGTTACGTAGATTATTTAGGATGAATGAATGACTTTTTGGCCTAAATGGCTGACTTCACTTCTTCAAGAATGATAGTGGTTTCCAATCCATATTTCTCATTCCCTTGACCCTATGTGGTTTAAATTTTCATTGTTGTTCTTAACCCTTAGAGGAGTAATGAAATGGTAGACTTATACACTTTAATACATACCTTGTTAAACAATTTATTGTAAATTAGCTTATTAATAGTTGCACTAGGTCTAACATTAGAAAACGAACGTTATATGGAGTTGATGCATTGGTTGTCGGGTAAGCAGTTGTTGTCCCAAATTTCTTGTGAAGCAATATTACGAGAGAAAGGAAACTACAACTGGTATTTAACACTGAATTAATTGCAAACGTGACGATTCGAAAGAATCTGCTAAAAGTACTGTCATAGAAAGTCTCCGAATTGAAAAATATTCAAGTGATGCCAAAGTTTTTCAAGAACAAAACAAATATAATAATCACCAGGCTAGTCCGATATCTGGGCAAGGTTTAGAGTCAACGACACTTGTAATTACACTGACACGAGAGCTTTTTACACATATTGCCAGTATTACTTCACAAATTTATTGTTAATATATTTAGACACCAAACAAACACAGTGGTGGTTTAACAAAGAACTGATTTTCAAGTGCCACAACTTTCAATATTGCGCTTTGAATTTATTTTCAATGATAATTAACACGCCCTGTGTTGGTTGGTGTCACTTTTTGATTTAATATCGAAAAAATATGTTACCAGAAGTACAATCGATAAAATGGATCGGTGAAACTTAACTGCCTCTCGAAAATCTGCCAATATTGTTGTGAACTATTTCTGAGCATCGATTCATTTCGTCGGTTGAACCAATTGTTTGTTCAATAGGTTAGATATTGGCCAATATGATCACTTATAGAGCGTTAGCTTTTAATATTAGTGACATCTAGTGTTAAAATTGCAAGTTTTACCGAAATTGAAGTAAATATTTAAAAAGATGTGTAAGTAAATTTGAAATGAAAGTTGAAACCATTTAATACATATTATGAACGTGGTTCATATGTATGTTGTATTGTTATTATAAAGGAGAAATGGTTAGTAGTTTATCCACGATTACATTTAACTTAGAATTATGGATGAAAAACGAAAAAGGTTATTGTTGAAAATGTTTTTAGGTAATTAAATCGGATTGAGCTTTTGTGAAATCTTGTTGTTAAAAATAAGTTAGGTTTCCGTTTGCTATATTTCTGGCTGTATTAAAACTGCCACAATATTATAAATATATTATTAATCCTTAGTTTCCTTTCACGAAGTCTATTCTATCACTTGTGTAGTCTCTTAGTAGCTTTTTCGCTAACACTTGGTTCGTCTTACTGTTGCATCGCATTGTTAACTTTATTTACAAGATCCCTATTAGTTATGTATAAAGGTTTAGAGGTATCTATTTTCACATGAACTGGTGTGACTGTGAAAATGGTATATCTACCATGTTGTTAAATAATAAATAAACTACATTGTACCACCAATTACTTGTTTTATTTCTTTACCTTTGATGAAACTTAAGTCAGATTAAATTCCCAAGTAGAACAAAACAAACTAAAGAACACGTATCCTTTTTACAAAAAAAAAAAAATATATATATATATATATATATATATATATACATATTACTATTTTAAATAATATTGTTGTATCACAATAAGATAGCTGGAGCTATTCAGGAAGGGGATATAGGTACACATTATGGTATACCATACTACATATATGATACATGTATTATATGATTTCGATAACTAACTAAAATTAAGACACTTCAAATCTACTTTTTGTGTTTCATCATCATCATCTCATGTGTTAACTATCAATGGCTGAATGTAAGCTATCCCCATAGACAGCCATAAGAATCGATCTCAACCCACCTACATCCACTTACTTCTTGCAATACATTTGCATGTAGTGAAGGATCATCTTACTCTGTTTGCCTGTTCGGAGTCACCCGTCAAGAAACTTTCTACCGCATCGGTTGTCAGTTCTGACTGACTAGCCCATTGCCACTTTAGCTTGCTTATCCTTCGGCTTAGGTCTGTTACTTTTGTTCTTCTACGGATATTCCCAATTCGTGTTTGTTATAATAGAGGACTATTATATACCTATGTCATAAGAAAACATTAATTGTATGTGCAAAATATAGGTGACATGTAATTACATTATTGAAATGGTCCTCCTTTAAGGTCATACAGGAAGATACATTATGTATAATAAGGACTCAAATTACTCAAGTAAATGGACTCGCCGTATCCTTTTCCCTTAATAAATTAGTGATAATTTAATCATGTTTACACTCACGATTAATTCCTTAAGAGGTAGTTTTTTTTAATGGATGGTAATGGAATGGTAACCCCACCCGCGCTATCGTTATACACCGGCGGGGCACTAGTGAAGGATGATAGGTGAGGATGAAGTAAGTCAGTTAGCGCATCGTGACGAATTCAACAAGAATTGTTCACGATGGTTTCCATGGGGAACCACGTAGAGGTCGACCTAATAAGGCATATTGCTAGCAATGGGGCTGTCAAACTCCATTGCTAACAATCCCTTTCCCCCCCAACCTTAAGAGGTAGTAAAGATGAATGTATAACTAGACATTTCAAAACTGAATATACTCTCGGATTAACTTGGTTTATTGTAATGTCATTTGATGTAAATAGTATCCCTATAAACTGCTACACATACTAAACTACATTCTCTCACATTAAAGTAAGTATACCAGAGGCCTTCATATACTGACTGCGAACCGTCGCAATTCATGGTCTTTTCATCCTACATCGAAGAGGCGGTGTACGAAAATGGCATCTTACCAAACCTGTAATCAAACAAAAAACCCAAACACACTTTTATGTATCAATATAGTATAACAAGAGCATATTTTTTAAGTTAATTAATTTTTGAATCCTTATGAAAAGTTAATTAATTAATTAAGTAAAATCTTTTTTCAAACAAATATATTTCGTTTTAAAAAGATTTTGATTATAAAATCGAACTACTAAACCGATTTTATAAAATTTTACGTAACTAACCTATAAGTATATGCATTCAGATGAAAATGGATTTTTCAAATCAGTTTATATATGACGGAGTATTGAATTAATAAACAAGAAATATATAACCGAACTGAAAGCCTCAATCTTTTTGAAGTCGGTTGAGAACCAGCCAACCACAATTAAACCAACCAACCAAGGTAACAATTTTCCTTTAAAAACCAAATTGTTGAAGCAAATTTGATGAAATTTCTCAAGACCAATTTGAACGTATACCCCTTCAAATAAAACAAGAATTTTTCGAATCGATTTATAAATGAAGGGGTCCTCAAATAATGCAAAGAAATGAAATTATTGACAATCTTTCTTATTTAAAATCTGTCATTAAAAAAAACAACAAACACAATTATCGCTTAGTAATTTATTTTTTATAAAAAAAAACTAATACTAATTATAAAGGTATAAAATTAATTTACTAGCGCCCACTTTATAGACTCATTATTCTAATAATGTTAAAGCACTCCAAAATCTATTCAAGTTTGTATTTAATTCTCCTAAAACAGAGAACATATTTTCAACAGTCGATTTTATTAGTCCATGATTTGGATGTTCGCTTAAATTAATTGTGGCTCCGTCATCAAACACTTTCGTTTTTACGAGAATCTGTCCATTTTCTTTTGATTTATCATCTTCATATTCAGCGTGGTGTTGATTTTCATTCTGTGACTGTAATTCGCTTAATTGTTTCTGCATTTTATGTAAAACTTTCCAAAGTTTAGTGTTATCAGCGTCTGTCTCTATTTCATTAACATTCTCTTTTTCTCCATCTTTCAATTTAAATTTGCTTTTTTCTTCAAAAACAGCATTTCTTCTATACCTGGATAGTATTTCTTTGTTATTTTCTACTTGTCCTATAGTTGACACTGTTTCATAACCTACATTTTGTGAGTTTTCATTGATTTCTTTATTTTTCACTATTTTCCCAGTTCCCTCCTTCCGTCTTTGTTTCTCGAATCTATTATTTTTAAAATGTCGTTTTCCATTTAATGGTAAAATATTACCAATAAAGCCTTTGTTTTTAAAATCATCCAACATTTTTTTAATATGATGTTTAGGCTTCATTATATGCTTTTTAATTTTTCTATATTTTCCTTCATTTTCTTCTAGGTCAGTCTGGCGTTTTTTCCGTAAATTTTTATTGATTCCATTCTTTTCATTATTTTCAAATAACTTATGAACTTTCTTTAATTCCATATTCAAATCTTCAATTCTATTCTTGATATCTTCATTTTCAATATTGAGTAGGTTTTCTATTTCGTCATTATCAGCAAAATCTTCCGACATTTCAGCAATGTTTAAATAATCGAAATCATCAATATCTATTGAACGCTTTTTTACTTTATGTGTATTTTTGTTAACATCTGATACATCCAAGGCTTCTACTAATTGTGTTTGATTTGAATTCTTCACTACATCATAGCAAGCATCAACTTTAGTATTAGCTAGTACCCAAAAACCAAAAGATTTTGAAGGTAAATTAATCAGTAATGTCTTATAAGGTCTTACGCGTTTGATTATAGGTTTAATATCTCCCTCGTAGAACATCGCACGCCCATTAACCACAATATTCCTGTATAATAAATATATAATAATTATGATTATGATGATTAGTTAATAAAATACCATCTACATGAAATTTATAAAAATTTTGTTTAATTTCATAATTTTAGTATAATATTAAATATTAAAAGCATGCCATAACCACATTTTTATTTTAGATTTTAATAGCAATTTTCTAGTAGATGTTCGGTTAACAAAAAATTGAATTCTTATAATGAGAGCTTGTATTGGATATCTTTCTCTGTTAAAAGATTATATAATATTAAAAGATTATAACTTGGCGTGAAAAATAAGAATTAAAAAATAAGTTACCCGCTGTTATCATGTCCAAGTATGAACTGCATTATATCTCCACCCTCCTCCCTCTTTGACAGTTTGACCGAGAATCTTGCAGATTCATCTTCCATATTTGCTGCGAACAGGGTTACCGCTCCTGGCACCTGCTTGTGACGAAGCGATGTACAGTGTGCAAAGATTACGGCTTGAGAGGATTCCACGTCTAGCACTCGCTCACCAACGAGATTTTTGAATAAAAGTGCCATGTAGAAACTCTGAAATTAATGATTTATTGAAACATAGAGATCATATTTTTTACTATGATAGATAATGATAGTTTTATGATATGAACTTTTAACGATATAATCATCTTACCAATGTCGGCTCAAACAACTCTTCTTTCAACAGTTCCCTATAATGCACTGAGAAACCATTCCTTGCTGAGTAACCGAGGCTGGCCATCCAATTTGCAGCTCTCTCTAACTCGTTGTATTGCTTTCGCGTAGTCTCAGTAAGCCAAAGCGGTGTGTCACTCTCACTCAGCAACTTTAATAGCTTTAGACGGTCATAGTCGGACATACGTTCAAGTTCACGAGATGATGAGTTACTGAAATGGTGATGATATTTTTTTAATTAACAACTTATCACGAATACAATAAGATAAATAAACTCCAAAAGATCCCAAAATTCATAAATAATATTGAGCCTGTTTTAGATTTCCAGATCCTCCCCTCCCTATAATATTATTTTAAATATGCCTATACAACGCCTCTTGTACCTTTCCTCCATTTCGTTTCCTTCCAAATAATAAAAAAAATCATTAAAAAAAATGTGTCCTATAACTTACCCATTAAGTAGCACAGCATCCAACATTTCAACAGAGAGCGTGACGAAATCCTTAAAATCACTCTTGGATTCAGCCTGAAGACAATTGGTGACATCGCCGCCGACAACCTTCCACTTATTTTCTGATCCAGGAATAAAAGTCTCGACAATCAAACGCAGTGTCTCTAAGTCGTTGAGGTATTCTTCAATTGATTGATTGTTGCATTCTGTGATAAAAGAAATAATAATGTATGTAATTGGTATTTTGTTGCTATATTTTCTGATAAAAAGCAACGCTATTATTTATAATTAAATTATAATTGAAAAGCAATCTAATGATCTGAGTTTAGAACTACACATGGTAACTATAGAAGATATGACATAATTTAAATAAGGATTTGGCCAAACACACTATATACAATATGCAAGACTTAGTTGCTATTTCCACTCGATTCTCTTTATGATAGACAAAACCTTGCAGTAAGAAAACTACTTAAAAATGAGAAAGCGTCTACAAGAATATTTATTTAACAATTATCTAAGAGAATATTACGAAGATAAATCCTGACAAAAAATTACGTACCATAGCCTAGTTGCCAGTACATTTTTCCAATATTGGTCTTCTCAGCTATAGTAAGTATGTCGAGCGCAGTGTTGGGATCCCACATACCCATCCGCGTCTTCACATTGTTGTTCAGGGCAAACACCAATTCGAATCCAGTTGTCTTAGCCCATTTAGCAAACTGCTCCCATTGATTACTTGATACTGTTAATTTTTCCTATGAATAACATTTATGACAGTTTATTTGTTTAAAATTCTTTATTATATTTTACATATAGAGCAAGATACATATAAGCAACACATAGTTAAATAGAGTTAAGGTTGATAATAATCCCGCATACGCCTATTGATATACACCGGAGGGCTACCTATAATGATGACAGATGAGGATAATGTCAAACCTACTGTCCTATCGTGTCTTATTTACGAGAAAGTAACCATAATGGTTTCCAGGACAACCTCACAGGGTATATTGCTAGCAGTAAATTCTTAATCTAGACAATTACTTCCCCTCATGAAATACACAGTATATCCCAAATAAATATCTTTCAAAACTTTTAATCAATCCTGTGAATATAATAAAAAGTTTGACCTAGGGAATGTGTACATGATATACATACAACAATAATATGGGACGAACACAGAAATAAAAGAAAGTATCTACTACAAAAGGAACATTAAAAATCAATACAGAATAAGCCAATACATGAACACAAAAAAAAGAAAAATCCAATTTAATTGAGATCCTTCTAAAGTCAGTTGAAATTGTTCAATAAAATGTTTCTTGTAAATATTTAATTTTTAAGACTAACAAATTTCTAAATTAGAACAAAGAATTATCAATATTTAAAAACTAACTTGAACCTGACGTTTCAAAGTAGCATTACGCCTTCGTAGCAATTTATCCAGAACGTCCTTATGGTGCTCAAGATCGCGATCCATGTCAAGGTCGTCTGGGTTGAGGTCATCGATGGATATGCTGCTGTTGCGGAAGCTCATGTGAGCGGTAGATGGTCCAGCGATACGCAGATATGCTGGTGTCAACGAGGTGGCCATACAAAGATATTCCTTGCTAGAAAACAAATACATGATTATATTGTTATCCTTAAAAAGTGAATGTAATAAACAAAAATAAAATAAAAAATGATTCTTGGAAAAAATCGCAAAAAATTAAATGAAATATTGTTTTATTATAACATAGTTTTATTATAATAAAAAAACTTTTTATATTATGCACACTATCGTCGTGAAGCCAATAGACCTCTTATCTAATAACATCTTATATTAATATCGATCATCAAGCCCTTTAAATGAAACAAAATAAACTGATTCAAGTACGAGTAGATACGAGCACTTTCAGAAGCGATTAAAAAGGGGGAAGCTTCTGCTTTCGCTCGCTTTTTCTCATTCGCTCAATTCGCGTGTTACATGAAATCTTCTTCATTACTAAGCCGATTTTATTAATTACAATCCACGTATGATTTTATGATGTTAGTCCTATATTAAATTTATAACCATTAAAGTCGCTTTTAAGTTTTTATTTGTAGAACAAATTCTTAAATTAAGTATCAAGAATAAAATATTTAAACTTACCTATTATATTTATCAGCACTTGAAAATAAAAACTTAGGATCTACAGTGAAACTTAGAAATCTTCTATCAACAACGTTCACATGTTGATCAGTTCCTATCTTCACACTAAACGTATCGGCACTTACTAGGTTTAATATTGATAAAGTTGAATATAAAACAAAATAACTTATTATGTGATTCATTGCGCGTGATACGATATAATGTTGAAGCGCTTCGGAAAACATAATTATTTAAGACACTAAGGAAGTGTCGAGTTACGGTAAAAGTATTATTTTAATATTTCTTTAATCATACTAGTAGTAGTGGGTAATAATAATGATAAACAAAATAGAAAGCGAAAAACTTAAAGTCCTAGCTAAAAACGCACCAGAGTTGGAATAGGATTTGAAGCACGTAGGTAAATAAAAAAAGAGATGAATTCACGAAGTTGTTTGTCATCCTGCTGTATAAGTCCCATAAATAATTAATCACGATTACTCCTATACGCATTTTTTTTTATAAAATGATAAACTAAAAATATGATTTCTTCATTTTAAGATGTTTTTAAAAATTCTCTATACGTTTTTAGGTTCATTGGACACAAGCAGTACCTAACAGTATTCTATCTGCTTATTTCCCTATCTTTATACCAATCATTAGTAATTTGGTTTACTAAATCTACTTCCTCATTAAATTAGATATTTATTAGGTTTCACAAAATCATAATTTTTAATTTATTCCAAATATGATAGCTGTTTAATCGTATTTAATAAGAGTAAGTTATTACTTTTAAAATAAAAACTTAACATGTTTCTATATACTAATACATAGAAAAAGGAATGTGTAGCTTAGAAAAAATGTCAACAACTCTATTTTATAAATTTTAGGGGATATCGAGTTACTTTTTGGCCCTATCAGTGACCATTTCCCAGTCACGCGGAAGAAATACTGTGCAAAAGTTATAATAAAATTAAAAAATACCACTAGTCACATTAAACAGCGCCGTCTAACCCAGACTAACATAATCAGAGCTTATACTACAAATAGATACTATACAAGTAATACATATACTGAAAAAAGAATTAGAACTAATCACAATTATTATAATTGAATTCCGCATCTTTGTTATTTTGCACTTTTTCACAATGATTTCATAATTGTTAGCAAACAGTATATTCTTTTTTCACTCTAATTTTATAGACAATTTTTAAAATGACCATAACTCTATTTTAAAGGTAACGATAAAATTGCTGACTTCAAGTGGACGTCATTCGCTGAATAAGTACGAATCGTTGTTTATTTCGATGTACACGTTCAATTGTTATTACTTAATATTATTCTGTACCGTTATTATAACACGTACAACCTTTATAATGGAATTCCGTATTGTCTAAGTCTAAGTATTGTCTGTTTTAATCAAGTTTAATGGCAATATAAACAAACTAATAAATATACAGGTACAGAGGTATAAAACCTTAGTCCTCAGAAATGGCAGCGCAGGGGGGGGGGGGGGATTATAGGCGAAACTCTATTATGTCCATGATCCTGTTCATATCTATAAGCGACGGTGACCACTCATCATCAGGTGGGCCGTATGCTTGTTTGCCATTATAATTGAATAAAAAAATTAAGCCCACCACAAAAGAGTCTGCTTATGTCCAATAATACTCGTGACATAATAAAAAAATTGTGGTATAAAAAAAATATAATGTACTTTTACTGACGGGAGAGGAGTGTTAGTAACGCTACCTGACTGGCTGTTAAAATGATATATACTCTCCCCCAATAATGATTATCCCTCATACACATATCCTCATATTCATACGCGTTTACGTTAGCGTAAACCAATATCGCAGGTGGGTTTACCGAACCATTTTTAATCTTAAAAAACATGCTTTTATTAACCAATTTCAAAAAAGGTGGTTCTCAATTTGAATATATTTTTTAAGTTTGTTGCCTCATAACTCGGTCATTTCTAAAACAAATTGGAAAATTATTATTTATCGAATGAATATACACATATACAAATTGGTTTCATAGGAATTTTATCAAAATCATAGTTTTATCAAAAATATTCATTGTTACAAACTTTCACATTTATTATATTAATAGGATATTATTGTAACAGGAAATTTTTCTTTTCATTTTTCATTTTTGTAACAAAAAATAATACCATTTTTACAGAATTAGTATATATGTAACTGTATATTTAATATTACATATATATTGGCAGTATGGTCCGGACATAGAATAGGCCACCCCTTTCTTTCTCCTGGGTGTCGTAAGAAACGACTAAGAGAGGACGAGGGATGAGCAGTAGCGTCCCTCTTAAAACATCTCCAAAGTCTAACTGCGGTTGCCAATCCGCCTGCCAAGCGTGGGAACTCCTAACAAAACCTCCCAAATAACTATATAGAATGTTAGGTAAAAATCAATTCTTCCAATGAACGAAATTCTAGACAAACATTTCTTTCTCTGATTTTAGACATCAAACATTTAACAAAATAATTACAACTATAGGAACATGCAAAGAAAGATTAGATTAAAATCATATTCGAAAAGTGAATAAAGGTAATAGAAATATACAGAAAAGGAACACAAAAAGTGCAAGCCGTTATTGGTGGGATAAGCAGAAAGCAAACATAATTCCGGATAGTGAAAATAGTATTCATGAAATGTGGCAGCATAGTCCTCTAACGAAAAGTGGCCATAAATTGCAATAAGCGGGAGTAGTTTTGGATACGAACGATCTTTTTTTTTCAATGGATGAAAATGGAATGAAAATCCCGCTTACTCTATCGGTATATGCCGACAGGATACCACAATTTTGTCCAACGTGAGGAATTTTCCAAAAAGTTTCCATTGTGAACCGCGTAGATGTCAACCCATCAGGACTAGCAACAGAGCCACTCGTTCCCGTTACTAATAATTCGTCTTACGTCGCTTTCACTCCCATTATGACTATTTACCATAGATACTTACTAGGATAGGTAAAAACGACAGGCAAACGTTTTTCACCTCTTTCACATTTATAAATTTACAAATTTCACATTTATAAATTAGTGTGTTAAGAGTACCTTAAGACAGTATCTACCACAAATTGGTCTATTTAGCGTGATACTCATATTTAATGTACGTAGGTTTTATAGTTTTTATACAAATAACACGGTCCCTGCTTATATTTCCACTTATTTACGCGCAATCTCTCTTTCGTAATTATTTTTTTCTTCCACCTATTCTTTAAAAGGATGTAAAAAAAGATTTTTTAATGGAGAAAAATGTAATGATAATCGCAGCATCAGTACGAGATGATAAATGAAAATGAAATCAGATCAAAACCCATCATGCCGGATACATCAGGAATTAAGTACGATCGTTTCCATGCGGGGCCGGATGAACGTCGACCTGATACATCATATTGCTACCAATGTGACCGTGGAATATCATTAGTACATCACAGAATTCATTAATTAGTTTGACATTGACACTAAGAAAGTTTGACACTTACTTGACATAAAAATGACATTAGTCATCCACCCAACCCAGTGTGTACGAAAATGAAATCAACGAAATTAGTCTATAAATCTAATCTTTTGCAAATTATCTTATTATCAACTTTGGTACCTATTGCCAATATTTAATGGTAGCTACTTAATAGTTGTTACGTGCCGTAACAATGTCCAGACGCGGCCGTGTGTGTGTCCATTATTATAGCAATATTTCCTATTCAAACTTCTTCATCAGTGTATAATGTTTGTTGTTATGACTTTTCATGTTTCCTAGTGACAATGGATAGTAGCAGTGTTAATAGTGATAAAAAAGATAATGGAAACTCTCAGAAAAAAGAATTACCATCAAATTTGCAAAAAATATGCCTAGTGTGTGGCGATAAAGCACTCGGTTATAATTTTAATGCTATCTCTTGTGAGAGCTGTAAAGCGTTTTTCAGGCGTAATGCTTTAGCGAGTAAAGAATTCAAATGTCCTTTTACCAATAACTGTGAAATTACCGTAGTCACGAGAAGATTCTGTCAGAAATGTCGATTAGAAAAGTGCCTCTCAATAGGAATGGTTAAGGAGTTCATCATGTCTGAAGAAGATAAGGCAGAGAAACGGAGGAAAATAGAAGAGAACAGAGCTAGAAAGCGAAATCTTTGTGATCGTGATCTAGATGATGCAGTGTCAAGTTCTAAAAACTTGAAACGGGATGATGAAATAAGCAATAGTAATTATTTACCGCCTGTTCAAGATTCTGTTATTCAGTATGATGCGCTTAACAGTACAACCTGTAGTCCAAGTAGTACTGTACAGAGTCCGTTAAGTACAGACTTAGAGTCAACAATGCATCCCTCCCCTGCATACTTTCCACCAATACAAAATACAGAAATGTCATATACTATGAAAGTATACCCCATGGATGAGAAAAGTGTGATCAATAGGACTTTATATGAGCAACGCATGTTGGACACATATCAGACATATGACATGGACAGTAATATGTATACAGAATCACCTAAACAAAATAGTATTAGGTTTGTATTAAGTATAAATAGTTGCTTTTATTATTTGTTAAAATTTTTAAAATACAGTTTTTAGTGAATTTCATGCTCTTCATAGCTTTTTTTAATGGGTGAAAATGTAATGTAATGGTAGCCGTCCCAAGCTATACACAGATGGGGCACCAGTGGAAGATGATAGGTGATAATGGTGATGATGAGTTTGACAAGAATTAACCATGATGGTTTCTAGAGGGAACTGCGTGGAGGTCGACCTGAAAGAGTATATTGCTAGCAATGGGGCTATTAGATCTCATTACTAATAATACCTTTCCCCCACTCTTTATAGGTTAGGTATGTCACCAAAATGCACTGTTTATATCATGCATATATGGTCAAATAGGCATTGAAATATTTTACAGAATGTAAAAGTTAGTAATTTTGATATGATGTAACAGTGATTTCCTATCTTTTTTACCATACCTGTAAATATTTAACACTGTGTTACATACATTACAAACAATGGATGTAATACTAATATTGTTAATTTTAAGGATTAATAAGTTATAATGTAATTGTTATGTTATTTTGTGATAATTTAAGTCTTTTTTTAACCAATTTCAAAAAATGACAGAGGATCCTAATTTTTTTCATGTTTGTAACCTCATAACTTCATCATTTATAAACCAATTTTAAATATACTTTTTTTTTATCTAAAAGATATACTTTCAGATTAGGACTAACCTTTTTTGGCAAAAGAGTAAAAATTATTTAGCAACTGACTTCAAAAAAAAAAGGAAAAGTCCTTTTTTTTATGTTTATTACCTCAAACTTTAACAGTGATATATCAATTCGAAAAAATATTTTTTCCCTTTAGATCGGTATCATAGAAATTTAATTAAAATAACTGGTTTTACCTTGTTTGAAGTTGGGGTTTTATGTGGAACAAAATTTAAAAATATTATTGATACCCATTTAAAAATAGAATGAAATTTTATCAGCTTCTAACTGATTCGAAAACTCTTAAATGAATAACAATAACTATAATAATAAGTAATTACTTATTCATGTAAGCAGATAATAGATTAATATTTGTGTATCAGTCTCTGATTTTACGACTTAGGGTCATGGGCAATAATGTTTATAATATTTAATTGGAAAGTGAGATATTTGTGGAATTGAAGATATAGAAGAGAGGATGACATACTGTACTTGAGGTAATTTGTAATAAGTTTTTCACAGTTGATTTTTTTAAAATGGAATTAAAAAAAAAATTATCAAAAAGCTTATTTTTTCTTATTTTTATATTTGCCATGCAATCCATAACTATATTTGTTACTGCTAGATAGTATTTTATATTTTATTTTATATTATAGACTTTATCAAATAGAAATACCAAAGTATTTTAAATTTACAGCTTTCAATGATATATATTTAATTGAAATGTAGTTCATCACAAAATGCCTCTCAGGTTGATGATTTATTAAAAAATTTATATGTAATTTTGTAGCCATTTACTGAGGAAATAGATCATTAATGTCTAAAATAAAATATATTAGAATTAGGACTAAAGATATGCAATTGTTTTAAATTTACATAACTAAAAAATTACATTAAAACAGAATTCTATTATATATATTATATATTTAATTTACAGGTCTTTACTGACAAATGGTGATGCTACAGTCTATAAAGAACAAAAGCCTCAGCATGTTTGTGAAGAAATCCCGTCCACTAGCAATAATCCAGACATCAACAAGGCTAGAGATATTTTACAAGATGTTGAAAGGTAGAAAATATATGATATTTTTACATGATACCAGCACCCAAATATGTATGAATTGTATGTGGACACCACATACACTCTTTGTATTTACAGCAATTATAGATATAATTAACTACTATATTAATGTATTATATATATAATAATATGTATGGATGCTAACTGTTTCTCAACTCAAAATCAAACATAGTATATATAGAATATATATATATATATATATATATATATATATATATATCGTGATATGTGGAATGCTCCATACTCAGTAAATACACACACACATTTGCACATTTACAAATGTCATTACATAATTACATGACTAATATTTATTATATGTGACCTATAGATAATTTTAGATTGTTTATTACCAACACAGTCTACAGACTAGACAGTTGGATTTATTTTTATTAATTAAAATTTTTACGGCATACTAGTGACCTACCCCAGCTTCGCACAGGTAGTTGATCTCTAAATTTTGAAAATAAAATATTGCCCATATAACTCGCCGAAAATGTAACTTTCTATAGGTGAAAAATTTTTTAAAGTGCTTTTTTTTGTATTTTATCCACTATATAAAAAAGTCAAATCTTTTATAATATTTATTCAAACAAAAAGATTTAAAATTTCCAATGATTGGTTTTCCCCAGGATAGAGCCCAACTCTATGGAGTCAATATTGTGTGAGGCAATAAAACTAGAATTTGAAGCATACACCTCAGTTAATCAATGTAGCGGCTCCTCCAGAGAACTGAATGAGGTAATGTAATATTCTATGTACTTTCTTATGTCCATGGTTGTCTTTGTGTCTGTAGGTAACTACCACCTATCAGGGGAAAAGAGATTGTTAGTAATAAGATCTAGCAGCCCTATTGAATGCAATAGACCCTAACAGGTTAACTTCCATGTGTTCACCCTGAAAGCTATCATGGTTAATTTTTGATAAATTCATAATAATGGCCCAACTGACCTGCTTTATCCTCACCCATCATCCCTTTTTTTTCTTTCTTTTTTTTTTACGTCAGGAAAAGTGCTAAATGCAGACTCCTACCAGCTAAATAACCTGACGCTATACCTCCCATCTCATAATAGCGACGGTGCCGCGGGTTCCCGCTTTGAAGTCTACCGGGACACCGCCAGAGACCCGTCGAAGGGTGACTCCCTATAAGCGCGCAGGGTATATGCTGCGCGCCCACTCTCGGTCTCCATTCCTCCCGTGATGGGCTTTGGATGTCACCTATTATCCCTATCACAACCTAGTAGAAAGTGATAACTATCACCTTGACATGAACAACACCATAAAAATATAAGTGTATATTGTTATATCTATTGATGTTCATGGTACCTGTCGTGCGTGGTTATACTTGGTAATTAAAGTTCTAAGCTTTTACCCTGTAATCTCTCTGCCATATACCACCAATGCAAGTACAATTACTTGATGGCAAAATCACAAGTAATTTGCACTTTATTCGCACTTAACCTGTCTCTAAATGTTTATAGCCTAAAATTCGATAAGTTATCAGTTAAGGCAATTTAATATCTATAAATAATTACCTACCTAGATTACTGTGTACTACTCAGATAAAAGTAATGCAAGTATAATCAATTAATATTTTTTTGTATAAGTGTGTATATATATATATTAAACTAACAAGCTGTACCAAGTAGTAACAACTATTCGTATTGATAAGGTATATTAATGGAGGGAATGGATTATTAGTAATGAGGACTGTAATTTAAAATGCCTAATAGGCAAGGGCCATTGGTACCGCTGATATTTATATATTGAGTTCTTCTGAACATTGATGATAGAAAAAAAGATCATTACCCATTTCAATATCGCCCATACCAGTCGGATAGATAATATTCATTTCGATCCAGTTCTTCTAATACTTAATATATCTGTTATTAGACCAACATCTACATATTGTAACTACAATATAAAATATAAATATTGCTATATCTTACTCACCCCTAATTGCTAGCAAAATACCTTTTTTTTTTTATACAACTTAGAATAGCAAACAAGCTGACGGCCCACCTGATGGAAAGTGGTAACCGTCCTATAGACATGAGCATTACCATGGACATAACAGAGTATACTGTTTCGCCCATGATACCCCCCATGCGTTGCCATTCCTGAGGACTCTGTACCCTGTAAATTCACGCCATATCCCACCCTTCAAACCGACACAGCCATACAGACACAACTGCTTCACGGTAGAAAAACGAATGGGACAGAGGTACCCAAGCAATCGACTTTTGTACAAAGTCTCCCTCTCGTAACCTTTGATTGTCCATGTTATTCATGATAATAATGTAATGGTAACTCTACTTGCCATATTAGTATTCGCTGCTTATATACCCCGCTGGCGTATACCAATGTAGTAAGCGGGATTACCGTTCCATTGCCATCATGGATAACATGGATATTACAAAATACACTTTACCGCCCATGCCGTGGCCAACAGTGGTAAGATTTGGCCCTCAAGTATTGCCTTTGTGCATGTAATCGTACAATTATTGACTATTTCAGGTAGAACGCGCGAAACTAAACGAGTTGATTGTTGCAAATAAGACGTTGCACGCACCTATTGATGACGACTTATCGCAGCTTATAGGCGATGCAAGCTCCGCCGGACTCAAGGTCAGTCCCACTCATAAAATAATGAAATATTTACTTACCTTATCAACCACACAACGTCACATCATTACAACATCTTTCCCCATAAAAGAAGGTCATTATTTTTTTATTATACTGTTTACCACGCTATTCATCATCATCATCATTTCAGCCATTATCTATCTACTGCTGGACATAGGCCTCCTCCATAGACCACGCTCTTCAGGTAGTGCCAGAGGGAGACTTTGTACAAAAGTCGCTTGGTTGGGTACCTCTGTCCCATTCGTATTTCAACCGTAAAGCAGTTGTGTTTGCATGGCTGTGTTTCGGTTTGAAGGGTGGGATATGGCGTGAATTTACTGGGTACAGAGGATTAACACCTGAGTCCTCAGGAATGGCAACGCATGGGGGTATCATGGGCGAAACAGTATACTCTGTTATGTCCATGGTACTGCTCATGTCTATAGGCGACGGTTACCACTTTCCATCAGGTGAGCCGTCAGCTTGTTTGCCATTCTATGTTGTATAAAAAAGTGCTATTTACACTTATGTGTTATTATTTACAGGAAAGCGATGGCAAACATGATCCAAGACTGATAAAAATAGTGAATCTGACGGCTGTTGCGATACGACGGTTCATCAAAATGGCCAAGAAGATTAATGCATTCAAGAATATGTGCGAAGAGGATCAGGTAAGTTGAGTTTCATATTCTCTCATTCTTTTTTCTCTGTCTTCATGACAGTTTTCTATAAAATCCTTATAGGAAACTAGGAGACCCGACATAGTCCTGCCCGAATGTTAGCTTCTCACAGTGACCTCTACCAGGTTCAATTATAAACCTTATAATCTAACCATTCACGAATCCACTCAAAAACGTATAGAATTTATCAAAATTGGTTCAGCAGTTTAAGAGGAATTGAGTAGCATACATACAAAATACTTGTACTCCTCAGGCATGTGTGACAGTTTTTATTTCCAACACTCGTATTAACATGTATTCTATGATTTATATCCCTATAGATGACGATTATCACGTTGAATTTACTTTTCCGTTACAAATTATATTTAAAAAAAAAATCAACTAATTTAATAGGCCTGTTAATGTACTCGTTTTTTTTTTTTTTTAATTAATTTCAGGTCGCTTTATTAAAAGGAGGTTGCATAGAAATGATGGTGTTGAGGAGTACGATGAATTACGATGGCCAAAGAAAACAATGGAAGGTAAGCATTATGCAGGTTTCTTTAAAATTACATTTGCTTCATGCCTAGGAGGATTCGTAAAGCCCTTCAAAGGGAGCCGTTTCAAAGGCTTCATATTAAACAAACATTTGCGCAATTTTTTCTATGGGAAATCATGCATCATTAAGAAGAAGAAATTTAAAGAAGCAAATGTTCTAACCATAGCTTCACAATACATATACACAAACATTTTGTATATACGCAAGAATCTTCAACTGTTTCTTAAAAACAGCGTTCTCAGTAATCTTAATACTAAATATTAACATTTAGAAAAAGTTATTAGATCTTTTAAGGGCATTATTATAAGAATAACAGTTTTAAGTTTATTATAAAATAAATTCAAAATATCCTTCGGTATCTTAATAATAAAAAAGCTACCAAAAAGTCAAACAAAAATAAATCATGCTATACATACTCGCTCCGCTGCGCAAAACAAGCTAGTCACTACTCGAGCAAAAAAATTACTATGGCGAGCGAACGAGTGCCTACCTTATACCGCGATTAATAAATTCTCTACCTACCGACTTGCGAAACAATATCACTGTCAAAAACATAAAATTTAAACTGAGAGATTATTTACTGTCCAACCTTGGTAAAACAGCAGAATATTAATGTAAATAGTGATATTTGAGAACCGAATGTAAAGTATCACAAGCCCAAGAGGTTTAAGTGGTACTAAAAATCCATTTTTTTAATGTATTTATGTATGATAATTAAATAAAAAAAAAGTATTTTGAGTCGACTTTTTAATAAAACTGTCATTAAGAAACTTATTGACGAAAGCCAACACACTAAACAATTATTTGAATGACGAACGTTCATGGTGTTAGTCGATCATTCATGGGCTTTTTAATAGTTATTTAAATAAACACAAATTTTAACAGAGATTACAAAGAGTAACTTCTTGAGTTTCTTGTAGTTATTTCTCAGCAAATAACGGCATTCCGGATCCTGTAGTAGATTCATAAAAAATACAATAATTGTAATCAAGTATATTTGAGTAAATATGATTTGAAATTGAAGAGAACTCGGGTCTCTACACCAGATGGCGCCACACGCACGATTACAGTAAGATTGTATCTACCGTCTTTTTATCGCCAGCATTATTTGTTTGCAGGTTCCCCACTCGCAAGAAAAGTTCGGTAGCATACAAACTGATCTCTTAAAACTAGCCAAAGGCAATATATACAGGACGTACGAGTCATTTATACGATCATTCGACCACCGGTGGCGGTTGGACGAACACGTCATACTAATCATGTCCGCTATATTACTGTTCACGCCTGATCGCGCCAAAGTTGTTCACCGTGACGTTATCAAGTTGGAACAGGTGAGTTATTGTTATAAAAGGCCCAGTACATATTGAATCAAAGGATACAGGTGCACTTGATTTTTTGTAATTGTCTAATTTTTGAAACACTTAGAGTGTGTACGACTAAAAGACGAAATATCATGTACTTAATATTCATATTTTTAAACTTAAAAAAGACATTTAAGAAATAAATCACTTGTCTTATCTGTTTTAATCGACATACCCCTATGTTAATTTTACAAAAAACTGATATCAATTTTGTCAAGATTTATATAAATTTTTATAACAAAGTTTTAAATTATATGAAACTTTCTAGAATTCCTATTACTATCTACTGCGAAGATACCTTGAGAGTGTGTATCCTGGTTGCGAAGCAAAGTCCACATTTCTCAAACTCATACAGAAGATCTTGGAGCTAAGAAAGTTATCTGAAGAAGTCACTGGAGTATACCTTGATGTAAATCCTATAGAACCCTTACTTATGGAAATATTCGATTTGAAGCACCATGCTGCTTGAGGGTAGGTGATAATCCACAATCTTACGTATTTGTTGCCAAATAGAATTCATATTGTTTAATTCTAATTTACGGGATAAAATCCTAAAATGACCGAGCACTTGATGTTTATTCATATTTAAAATGATTGAAATCTCTTTTGTTAAAAATGTGTCAGTTCCACCAAACAGGTTTAATAAGCTTTATTTCTTTATTTTATTACCATTCTTTACTTATTTTATTATATTACTTATCAAACATTAGACAGTTTATTGTTCTTTTTTGTACAATTACTCCTTTATTTATAAAAACAAATCAATTTTAGGTTTCATGTTTTGTCTCTTTTTTATTGAGCTAAATACATGAAAGAAAATGATAGAACACTAATGTGTTCTTACACTTATTACTTTTTGTCTGAGTAAATCGGTTGAAATTTTCTTATAGTATTTGGACTTTGTTTCTTTGCGCTAGAGGACAATTTTGTTTGTTCCTGATATTGTATATAATTTTAGATTGTAGTCTATTATAATGTTACTCATATTATTTTTTATCTATATTTAAAAATGTAATTCATATTATCTGTGGTAAAAAATATATTTTTGAGTAAAATGAAATGGAAATAAAGTTAATTGTATAAAGATGCACCTATGGGTAGTTTTTGGATATACAGGGTCTGTTAAAGCTTACTGATTTATTATATTCTGATGATTTCTATAGATCTATTCAAAACTAAAATAAAGAAAAAAATTTCTAACATATCATTTATATGAAAGTGTTTTATAATTAAAAATAAGTTTTGCTTGATTTGAAAATGGGAACATTTTAACATTTCGAATGATTTTACTCATGATAAAGTTTATAATTTTGACTACCTCTGTAATATAACAGTAAGCTTAGAATACATGAAGACAGATTCGCATGATTTAATTCTTGATTCAGACAATTTAATAAACCTTTCAAAACGGGCTCTAGACCCAATATTTTATACTGTACTCCCAAATATTCACGTGTCAGCATAAAGCATTTTAGTTTGAGGTCATACCTGTTTAATACTAAACTAGTAGCCTGTCATTACGTCAACGTTAACTAATATGACGCCATTGTACTATGTATGTTTGACGTCATTATGTATATATTGTCGTAAACAAAAATACCGTATAACCCTCGGTTGTGCACGCGTTCATGTACTACAACTTCTAATTGTAATATAGTAAAGAAATATATATCTACATTGTGCCAAAATGTACATATAAATGTAATACAGACATTAATGTAATCCGATATATTAAAGCTATAGGATAACATTTCCCTCCCCTTTGCGCCGTCCCTACTGAATTAGAAGTGTAACGTAATAGGCACCTGTCAAACTATACTACAGTGGAACCTGGTTAAGGGAGACATTAAGGGACCTGTAAATTTGTTTCACTTCTAGAGGTTTCACTTACCCAGTGTCTCAGATATCTAAGTATAAATAAATATCTGTCTCATTTACAAAGGGTTCCATTAATTCATCGCGTGTCTTCCTCCCACTTTCATAAGCGGATATTAACTTCAATTTTTATAATAATAATATTTTTATTTGCTATGATTTTGGGTATAAAAGATTACATTATTTTCACGTACTGATATCGATTTGTGCCTTCATTTCAGCATTTTATAAGTAAACATCTGTATGATAGTAAAGCAAAACTAAAACTGAAGGTCATTGAGGCTCAAAATTAAGTGCGGAATTTGCAGGTACAATAAGAATAAGTAAGTAACAAATTTAAATGCAAAAAAGCCCAAGTGATAAATTGATGTTGACTCAGTTACAGAGGTTAATCTATATAAAATTCATTTGCTGCCTCAGTTATAGAGGTAATTATGGCTATAAAATCGAAAGAACGAATCTCAGATATAGAGGTTTGCTAAGTCCCACTAACAGAGGTAATTCAGTGCCAAAGTGTTTGGACCTGAGCATGAGTTACAATTGTGGAGGTTTCTTATCAAGATCCCACTTACCAAGTTTCACTGTATCAGCCTATAAGTCGACATATTTTTTATCATACACCTTCGTGCTAATTAACGAAACCTGCTTAACTGTTGTGTCGATTTACCCTTATACATGTCCTATAAGTTCTATATGTAAGCTCCAGTTTACATTACTAAGTGTAAACTGTTATAGTTATTATTATTAATGTTGAATAGCTGTCGCAAGCCATACAGAATTACAAGTGTTTATGTCCCTACTAATGATGTATTTTCTAGTCCTAATCCATGAGAATGTCTCGTGTATGTCACGAAGACAACTGTTCGATCGACATACAGTTTGTCGCTGTAATGATACTATTCGAATTATGAGTAGTAGCATTCTATTCATAAAATACTCGTATTTCAGTTCCATTTACTATAACACTTGAAGCATATTAGTAATGTAAACTTACCTTTTAAGGCCTTACTTATCAGAACTTACTAGTATAAGTAGAGCGAAGAGCATTATAATGCTTAGAATAGAATATTTGAATTTATTTTTAAACGTCACATCAGGCACGATAGTGGAAACACTTCTAGCATATTTAAAATTGGGTACTAGAAAAATTTTATAGCTAAAGGCTAAAAGAGTTAGCGTCTAGTTATACTCATATAAAATAAAATAAAAACTCGACTACATCACAATTATATAATTTACATCACATTATATACATTACTATTTTTTATAGCTATGTTTGCATACAAATTTATTTATATTTTTCTATAGAATACTTTTCTTTACAGAAGTATTTGTTCAACAATTTACAACGTGCCTGTAATATTGGCGTATTGTTAACGTATAAATTATTATATTGTTATTAATATAATTTTATTGTACTTTGAAATCTTTATATATAGCTAAACACGGCCATTATGTCATAGACCTACTGGCAGGACAATGAGAGTTACTTGTTTCTCTGGCTATTTATTATTAAAAAAAAAATGCTCACGACTAATAATCCTCAGTGAGGTAGTAAGGGGTGTTAGTTAACTGTTGCTTTTATAGTGAATGTGACACGTTTCATTTTTTGTTATATTCTGTATGAGGATAGTAGTAGATGTAAGGTCATTAGCGAGTTTCGGCACTTTGTACTTTGCCTACTCCATATACGTTACAAAAACACCTGGCATGAAAAACGTCTCCCTCGACGTTCTAATATTAAGACTACGAGAAAGCAACTGCATAGTTACTACGAAGAGGTATAAAAACCCTAATTCTACCTACAGTATTTGTGAAATTAAATATCTTTTAAACAAGATCGCCACATGATCTATTTAGAATGAAAATGTTGGAATAATAAATATCGTATTATAATTGTTATGGAGAGAGCCGTACCCAGCAATGGAATGTCCTTTGGAGATATTTCTTTTTATTTTTCCTTTTTAAAAGGCCGGCAGCACACCTGCAATGTCGCTGGTGTTGTGGGTGATCATGGGCGGCGGTAGTCACTTACCATCAGATGAGCCGCATGCTCATTTGCCTCCTGTGTTGTAAAAAAAAAATTATATTTTTTTTTATGCAACTTAGAATGGCAAACAAGCTGACGGCCCACCTGATGGAAAGTGGTAACCGTTGCCTATAGACATGAGCAGTACCATGGACAAAGGAGTATACTGTTTTACCCATGATACCCCCCATGCGTTGCCATTCCTGAGGACTCAGGTGTTACTCCTCTGTACCCAGTAAATTCACTTCATATACTATTATTGGATGTCAAATTGTTATTTATACCTTCATTTCACTTTATAATGTATAAAGTACAGTTGGTACCTACAGGACCCACAAACTCCAGTATGATATGGAGCATTTGTCTTTCACACACTTCTTTTTTCCTAAAGTACCAATTTCATGTGATAGGTCTAATAAAAAGTCTTTTGGGTATTTTCTAAAAATGTGAACATTATGTTTTTATTGAATGAATTATTGTTATAAGAGAAACAAAATATTTTTATATAGATGTTTAATTATTATCGTTTAAAATAAGTGCAATAAATTAATGTATTCTAATTCTATAAGAATATATTACCTATAATTGGTTAATGTTTTATTTTTTACTTTTAAACTCCCATTACACTATATGTAATGATAACGACAAACAACTAGATTGTTTCTTATCGTGTGACTTAAGGCCGTAACATATATGTTATGGCCCTAAATTATGAAATATAATATGATAGTCGATTTAAATGCTTTCAGTAGCTCAATGTCAGCGACTTTATTTTACAACAATCTATCATTTCACTTGAATGGTCGTACCAATTTAGCGATACTCCTCTCCCGTCCACTCTCGCTTTCAGCACAATCGATACAACTCTTACACACAGCTGGCAAACGAATCTATCAAATACTTTACGCATCGCTTTACAGACAAAATTAGTACAATTTTTTGTTCACAAAACAATTGACAACAATTTTTTGGACGATCTCATTCATAAAACATATCGCATACTACTAATTAGTTATTTACTAGGTATTTAACGACTATATATAAACTGAGCCATATAACTAGGTGCGAGTGATTGCTAATATTTTAGGAAATTACTGCAAAGGTACTACAAAAGATAGGTATTAAAATTTTTTACATTAATAAGCAAGACACCCACGTCCGCAGTTACCAGACTGCTAGTTAGCTAGTTACTACCACTAATCGCAATCGCGTAAAATTCGCCTTTGGACAAAATTAAAAGATAAGAATATACAACTACACTAGTGCTGGCTCTCTTCGCAAATAGTCAAACGATAAAACGTAGCGAATATTAACTGCAAATTATTAGGTAGGTACAAGAAAAACCGTAAAATATAAAATTTACTTCGAACTGCAAATTAACTAGTTTCTATATTATGGGGATTTGCCTCTAACATCGAATTTGCTTTGGAACTATGATAGATATCTGGATGGTTCTATTCTTGATGGAATTTTCAACGGCTCTTTGTATTTCGTATATTTCTTTTTAATTTTATCACTTTAATTTGCAACCAAACCTGAAAACCTACCTTTTTCTATTATGGCACTGAAAATAAGCTCGATTCTAAAACATATTATACAAAAATTATACTTTGAAGAGCCAATTTCTCAGTCTCCTGACATGTCTCTTGTATAAAAGCTTTGACGCTTAATAATAACCCAGTTTTAGAAATAAAATATTTTTTTGCACTGAAAAATAAATCCTTAATAAATGAACTTTTAACGTGTTTTTGTAATTTCGTTACCAGTATTAAATTTAATTAAAAAATACTCCATTATATTTTGTCTCTTTACTTTTACATCAGTCTCCTGTTATATCAGAATTTTATGAAATTATCAAAGTGTGCGTAATCTAGTTAGTTGGTGTTCTGTTGAAATAAACGATCGAAGTGAAGTTAGCTAACGGTCGTTTGTCTACGTCTCGCTCGCGGATCTTGAAGTCGCAGCGGCAAGTTGTTTGAGTGAGATTAGGTCGCGATCGATCAACTCCTCAGTATCCTGCACGTAAGTATGATATGGGCAATAATAACCAGCTTTTTTTTACTAGTTAAATCTAGTAATATATTGAAGTATATTTGCTTTGATTTAACATTGAAATGGTGTGTAGACTTTGTTATTAACCAATTACTAAAATATTCTCAGTCCCCTGTCCTTAGTCTCCTGCCAAATTGATGAGCAGGAGACTAAGATTGAACCAGTATACTGAGACTTAGTATTAATTTTGGAAATGGTTTATCTATTATTAAATTATTAAGCAAACCAGGAGATACCTTTACGTGCCCGGAGTGCTTATAAGACTGCTACTACAAATAAATATGCATATGAATGAAATTGCTAAAAAAATACATTGCTAAAAATTGCTAAAATTGCATTTAAGTTGCTAATTTTTATTAAAAGATTTTTAATTTGTCTTGGAATATATAGGTATTTTCTATTGACTATTCACAAAAAAAAATGTTTGTTCTTGATCTAAGTTTTATAAGATTATAATATGACTGATTATGATTATCATACAGTAAGATTAATGATTAAGTTGATAATTAAATAAGACAAGTATTATAGAAGACTGAATATTAATTCCTCTCTATTAATACTCAATAATAATTAATAATATTACTTAAAAACCTGTAAAAAGGTTATAAAGAGTTTCGAGTTTTATGTTTCTGATTTTTTTCCGTGAGTTTTATGTTCTAATCTATTTCAAATGATTCTTTGTTACGTGAAAATGTTAATTGTTTAGTACCTAAATAATTTGATTACAATAAACATTGGTTTACGATGACTTATTATTTGAAATCTTAGTACACTGTTTCCAACCTCAATCTCCTAGACACTATTATTTTTTAAAAGGCAATAATAGTCACATAGCTTGTTTTTTTGACTGGCCCGTTTTAGATCAATATAGAAACAATCTAAGCTATAATTCAAACTACTTCTTTTGCCTAAAATGCAAAAAAAAGTCCGTGCCGGAATTAACATGGTTTTCGTCCATCTTAAATAGAACCACCCATCTATATCTACTAATTGACTTGTACAAACTATAGCTGTTATATTAACATCAATGTTAATTTAAATACAAATAAACTAAGAAACAATGCTCTATTTTCATTACGTTTATTGCAAAAAGCAGTAACGTAAATATAATTTTATTATACCTATCTGCAAATATATGTAGTGCTTTCGTTTAAATATTTAATTTCATCTATGTGGTTGTAACCGCAGAAAAGTTAAAGTATTAAAAAAAATCGAGCTTCTCGTGTTTAAATAAATTACAATAAAAAGATTTTCGTTCAATAAATACCGTTCGAACATTACAATAAAATTAGCGGGTTCATTAAAAATCACTGGCAATTTCCATCGCCAATACCTAAAGCTAGCTTCATTTCCAACGAATAAGTTTCATCTTTTCTTTCGAAATCTCGATCATTCTTATCGATTTCACTATCGACACAATCTTCAAAAACATCATCGGCATCTGCAGAGATATTTGTACAATCATTCCCAAAATCAGTTTCGTGTTCTTTAGAATCTGTATTTGATTTGTCAACATCGATTATCGATTCGTCACTGATGCATATACCGAAGTCATTTCCATTATATCTCATTGCTACTTCACCTTCATTGACAGTTTCCAATTTATCATCTTCATTTATTTTATTGTTGGCATTATCTTCAGTTAGGGTGTCTTCGAAGGAGGTATCATGAGGTGACATGACAAGGGTATCTTCGTTTTCATCAGCGACTGATTCTGTTGGGCTGGTCGGGACGTAATGAACAAATTCTCCAGCCCGCCATCTTTGTTCAGCAGCCTCCATATGCACTTCTAATATACGAGATACTTCTGGTAACTAAGACAAACAATATATAAATAATATAATTAATTAAATCAATATAAAATCATCTTTCCTTCCTTACGGAATTCGTCCTCATACACTAGAACCTAAATGGTCGCGTACAGTGCGGTTTAAGAGGGGATTTCTCCTCCGAACGTTCAGACTAGAATAAGCTCCCTGTCGAGATTTTCTTTAGTGATTACAGTACTGGGTTCTTCAAAAAGAATGTATTAAAGTTTCTTCAAGATCGGCAAAGCACCCGTGATACATGTAAGTCCATAGGCTTTTGTGACTGTTTGTCATCAGACGAGCTATATGCTTGTTTACCACCTTCGTGGTATAAAAAAAAAGTTAAAATGATAACTAATGTTCATTATACTCACAGTAAACTCATTTTGCATATGACCAGATATATGTTCAATAATGGCATTGGTCTTGTTATCAATCTTCCCCGCGTGGCTGTTCAGCACATCGATCTGTCGGTACATCTCCCGTTCTTCAAACTGCAATGTTCGTTCCAATATCTCTGAAGCCACAGATTCTTCTACACGAGCATTTTGTTTTGGATCAGAATAGTTCACGCCTGGAAAAACAAATATTATTCCGATGTAAGTTAAGCATACGTACATTACATATAAGTATATGTAATGTACGTATGTAGGTGTAATGTACGTGCCATGCCTACACCAGACTTGTCTGGTGCCCGCAAGATCCGAGCGAAACTTCACAGAGATATGTCTGAAAGTATATAATATACCTACACCTCTTTAAGAGGCCAGGCACATCGTAGAAAATAATTTTAAAAATGCAAATAATACATTATAAAATGTATAACCTATTTAGTAACATTTACAGCTTAGTTGCAGTTTCAAATGAATGTTTAATGTCATTATCTTATGGTTTAGGAAACGGTTATTGAATTATTAATATTTTTAATTGTAAACCCTTTATTAGTAATGTTCTTCAGTTTAGGAAAATAGGCTAAAGGTCCAAAAAGAAAAGCATTAATTACTAAAATACCTTGAGAAGGATATCTAGCGTCCTGATACGAATTTATAGTATCAATTATAGATTTCTTAGCTTCACAACGGTCCACGCTCATCAGCGAAGAATATGACGGTAATGACAAATCATTGAATACAGTTTCTGAAATTTTTTATATTAATATTAAAATAATTACGAATAAGTAGTACGTTTAGGAATAAAAATTATGTATTATATCATTAAAAGTTTACTATAATATATATAGGGAAACTTAAATACGCAAAGGTATCTAATTATTACATAAAATAAATTATGTCAATGATAACGATGATATAGACTAGTAATTAATGATGATGATAATACAGACTAGGACCTATAACTTGAAAAATGAATAATAGCGTATGAACTATAAAAACCGAACCATCCTGTTCTAAACTTCTTGTCACAATATCTTCCGTCAAAACCTTTGGATCTTCATCTTTCATGTTTTTATTATCTTGTTTGTTATCATCACTCACATTATTTCCATCCCTATTTACTGTATCTAGATTATTACCATTATTTGTTACGTTAATATCATTATCATCGAGTTGTACTGTACTAGGTTTATTAACATTGGAAACATTTTGAAATTGAGTGGTGTTTGCAACATGTTTCATATATTTATTTATTTTAATTGATGCGGTACTTGGTCTGTATGATGTTTTGTTAATATTTTTAACTTGTAATTCAATTTCTTCTTCACTAGTATCAGTATCGCTTAATATATTTATTGATTCTGTATCTCCAGATGAAGCTAAAATTATAAAAAAATTATACAACTATTTTTTTTACGTATACTTACGTAGACAACGAATATTGAATAATAATCATAATAACTCAGGTTACGTACTATACAAGTTATACTAATGGAACTATTTGTTAGATATCATAATATTTAATAAGTATTGCCAAATTAACACAAATGATTGTACGATACCACTAAACAAAATAATACATACGTGCTGATTCTATTACTTCATCGCTTATCTCATACTGCACCTCTGTACTGGGTGCTTGCGTGTCTACATACTGGTATAATAATGCACCGGGAATGTGTGTCAGCTTTACTTTAGTTACATCTAAAATTTTGAAAGAAATAAAACTAATCTCATAATTCCATCGGAACCTAATAATAGTACTTCCGTAAAGTGTGTAGAGTTAATTTCTTTTTGAGCTGCTAATTTTTGGTAAATTTAACAATGAGTTCATATTTTTTGTTAGAAAGATAAAAGGAATATTTTGCTTGACATCAATAAAGATACTATAATACTAAAAATACTTACCAGGCTTCTCACCACCTGTAAGTTGACTAAGCGCAATCCTGTCGAATCCATTATCGTGGTTATATGTCGTATATGCAGTTTTCTCTTTAACTTCATGAGCTGGTCGTCGTTCTTCAGCTTTATAGAATGCATCCATTGTCTTTTTGTCATATAGTTTCTAAAAATATGAGAACAATATAAATTGATAATTATTATGCAATATGCTAAATTTCGTATTAATTATTAATATATTTACTTCTTTAAATAGGCATTAAATTGTGTAAAATACAAACATTTATTATTCATGTTAACTATATACGAGTAATCCTTACAATTTATGTTTAACTTTTCAAGGTTCAATTTCAATAATAAAGTCTTTTATAAGAATCAAGAGTAAACTACAAGAAGAGACATACCATTGGGTCAATAACAGGTTCTCCCCTATCTATCCTAGCCTGACGCTCCTGCTGTTCTCTTTCCAACTCCGCAAATATCTCTAAATCTTCTTTACTTGGCTTCAGATCCTCATCATCATTTTCATTAGGGTTCAATTGCTGCATATAATTTGTGAAAGTTACATCGTCACCTTCCTTGGCTTGCACTAATGTGATTAAACATTATCGTTAACAACGCCTACTAATTCCAAGTAATACTCGTATTATGAATAAACGTCTTGCATTATCATAATCTAAGCTATTCATAATTCAACCTATTAAGAGTGCTATTTTCTAATGCAATAATCTAAAATAAAAATATTTATTATTATATCAAAGATGTAATTTTAGGCATCATAAAAACAAAAATACCCACCATTTTGGATGTTACTAGTAGATTCTACATTACTACTGGAATTCCTGTCACTTTCTTCATTCCTATATTCGTTATCTTTAACTTTTTTATTATTAACATCATTATTTGATCCATTTTTATTTGTAAATAGCATCTCGGTAGGAATAACGATTTCAGATTTGACTTCTGTTATAGTAACGTTTTTTAAAGGTTTTTTGTCTTTTACTTTAGAATCCATTGTCTTTGATTTGTCTTCAATTATTTTCCTACCACATTCAATAATGCGATCCTCTTCTTTTATAACAGCTTTTTTAAGAGATTGATTATCTGTTGTATCCTGCACTATTGGATTTTTAGTTTCAATTATCTCTATCATGGGCTTTTTCTGAACATTGGATGTGGCTGCTACTGCTGAATCTACTTCTGATACACTTTTTGAACATTTTAATTCTGTAATATTTATATTTGTAATTAACTGATTAGATACATAAAATAACTCAATTTCAATTAGTTAGCTCGGCTAGTAATTCGTTAGTTGGGTAACTAGCTCACCACAGCAGAAACATATTGATAATGTACCTATTGATTAAAATTGAATTAAAATAATACACATTGTTGCTGCGCTGACAGTTTTTAGGAATTTCATAACAGTTATAATAACTTACCTCCCAAAATTTCAGTTTGTTTCTTTTTATCCGTATGAGAAGTTTGATTAAACAATAGGTTGTCAATTGCTTGAAATTCAGAAGCAAAATCACTGTAATTTAATGTTGTCTTTTATTATGTAGTAAATCTAATACTACCTTTCATTATACTTATGTCCATGTACCTAATTATACTATTTTTTTCAGAATAATCTATTTATGTACACATATACATACATTTTAATTTTTCTCGTCAAATAACAGAAACGTGTAAGTAAATAATGATCATACAATCGATAACACCAAGTTTAGTATAGTCGTCTAAATTTTGTTCACTCCTAAAGTGCTAAGTGAAAGTGCTTTGAATTTATTTGCGAAATTTGCGATTTGGATCCTCGAGATTAAAACTACCAAAATATTTTTAAAGAACTTTCAAAAGAAACTGGTAATCGCATTTTACATCGCCAATTCTCAATCTGTCTTCTTTTCGTAATCGGTAAGGTTAAAATTTATAAACTTTATTCACTTACTTTCCACTATTGTCAGGCTTCTGATTACCTCTGTATCCATACCAGTAATCCTCAGCCTGGTGCACAGGCTCGTCCTTTATTTCTTGGATTAAACGCTTTCCAGAATCCAATTGAGACCATTCTATCCTGCCTGTTGCTGTCTCTATATACATAATTTTAATAGAAATCAGTATTAATATTATGCTGATATGAAGAATAAATTTTAAAAACATTGTACCATAATATTGTGTGTTATTAAATGTAAATACCATCCTTCTCGTCGTCTCCCTCACTACTCTCTTCACTTGTAGTGTCTTCTTCCTCGGAGCCCGTTAGCATATCTACAGCCACACCATCATTAGTTTTCACTTTTTCTGGTCCAAACTTCTCTTCTACAGCCGACAGCTTTTCTATCTTTTGCGTTACATTAGCTTCTTTTAGGTTAATAGTTTCTTGAGTCTTATTATCTTCGTTCTATAAACATATTTCATTGCATTTAGATTAAATGAAAACCAGTATATATTTTTATGCATTGTCGTAATTATTTAAATAGAAATTGAATTTTGTAGAGAAAGTTTTCCCTTTCTATACACACACCATTTTCAATGATTTTCAACAATAAAGGAAAAGCTCTATTCAAATTTATTATTCAGCTTACCTTTAATGGAAGCTCTAGTTTCTCTCGTTCTTCCTTTTCTTTTGCTTCTCTTGCTGCTTTCTTCTCATCCCTCATGCGTATAAGATAGCGAACGCTTTGCATCGTTTTCTCCTGATCACGTGCTATCCAACTGAAAAACGAATATGTCAGTATGTGTAAACTACAGATACTTATAAGTACTATAATTTAAGATTTATTTTCGCAATAAAACACCATCTGTACTGACAAAACTAGTTATTTTGATTTAAAATAGAAACCGATGAAGTATCGAACCAATTATTATAATTTTTTTATGGGACCAATATAAAAGTATATCTATTCAAATAAAAAAAAATCGATGTGATTATGACCACCATATGTTATATACATATGTTACAATAATTATAACTATTGAAAGCTGACCGTTTCCTCTCTGCAATCTCTTCCTGAACGCCGCCACGTTGCCATGCTTCGGCGCAGGCTCTGTCCCGGGGAAACACCGGTCTATTATCAAGATTTTGCAGGTCCTTGATGCGCAATGTTAGAGTCTTGCGGTATGCGGGAATATTGCGTACCACAGGATTGCCAGTTAGCACCAAAACTATTAGTCAACCAAAATATTTTATATTAATAGCCTATTCTACCTCTTACAATAATATACAATCCTTTTTTTTCTGAACAGAGATGTAAATAAGCATAGGCGCATTTATGAGGGGTTCCTAAATTAAAACTCATACGTTGTTTTATGTATGATTTCAATTATTATCACGTGAACTGTCACCTATTTGCTAATTCCAGTCCTTTAACATCTTATTAAATATCCCTCCGCTGTCTGTACAAAGGTTTCAATAGAAACATAACAGTATATTATTACCACGCTGATTAGGCAGCTTGATTAAAGAATTTTATTTATTTTTACTTCTTTTCATCTTCCGCTGCTGCATTGGACTCTATTCCCATTGTCGTTTATCCTAAGGATAAACAACAATATTTTTATTCTTTTTACACACCGAAATAATTCCAATATAGGTAACATAAAAAAAAAAAATTAGGACAAACGGAAACAAAAATTACTACCTGTATTTATTGTAATTATATTGTATATGTCGGCTATAACTGACGTTTTAAATTCGGCTATGCATGTCTAGTTTTGAACTCGATGGAAACTTATTTACGAAATAAAATTAAATAAAGTTTGATCACACTGATGATTTCGCTGAATATACCTGTCATGCCCATCGTCGTCTCTAAAGATAAATTTATTTACTTACGAGTATTCATCACGGAAAATTAATAGGACATACAAGTACAAGATTTTTTACCTTTTAATATAGCCATATCCGCTAATATATCAACAATTAGTGGATCTTCGATCCTGTTATACGATATATCCAGTACAGATAGATTGTTGCATGTACGTAAATGCTCAAGATCCTCTGAAACATAAAAATAATGGAGAAGCAAGATAAGTGAGATCTATACATGTTACTGCTTACCTATACTGTTGTAGACTGTAATGCACTTTTATTCATGCGATATTTTCACAGCAAACTAAATTTTCCTTTTTATTATTTTAAAGTAATAAAAAATATGGTTAAAAATGAACTTATGTACATTTTTTTGCCATATTTTAATTAACTTGCTATATTTGTTTTCGACAATTATTTCGACTTTATCCGGAAGTCTTCTTCAAAGTATACAATGCTTTCATAAAAAAAAAAAAAACAGTAAGTTCACAAAATTTTCGTTATGAATATCTCCTATATATAAACTTCCTTCTTATCGGTAAATCTGTACCATGACAATCATTTGAATTTCACCATAATGTATGTATTTAATTTATAAACCTACATTTTAATTCAATTCAAGTTATAGTTATGGAATTTTATTATTAAATAGCGCAAAGTATACGACAGACTTTGTAATCAATCTCGAATCATGTAAGATCTTTAGAGAGTTATTGAACTTACCAATCGAAGTCAACATATTATGTGCAATGCTCAAAGTATGCAAATCAGGAACCATGTCCAAATTTTCAATCTTTGCAATGAAATTATGATCTAAATTCAATGTGTCAAGTTTAGGGCACCCATGAAGATTTTCTATTTTCCTTAAAACGTTGTAATGCAAATACAGACACTTGAGCTCAGCAAGAGTGTCTAAACCTTCAATTCTTTGGATACCATTGTTTTCAAGAAATATACATTTAAGTCCTGTATATTCTTCAAGATTTTCTATTTTAGCGAACCCCTATAAGAGTAAGTAAATGTAATTGTCACAGTTTTATAATACTAAATGATTATAATTTCTATTATTAAATACACTATTCTCGACAACCAGTTAAAGAAAATAATTTGATAGTATAAATAATTATCTACCTTAAAATGTAAATATAATATGTCATTCAAATGTGGTGTACAATACAACTTGTGTTGTCTACAATGATTCTTTATAAACTCTTTAGTCATCCTTGGCCCTTTGTTTATCTCTTCCATCTCTTTTTCCAGCTTTTTCTGATATTCGCGCTGTCTCTGCGTCTCTTTTTCTTTCTCTTCTTCCTGCTTTTTCTTTTTTTCTTCTTTAGTAATGCCATCAACTATAATTAGGAAAGAAAACATCATCATTTTCATCAAAACAGCAGTTACATGTCCATTGCTAAACATAGGCCTCTCCCATAAACTGCCATAAGGAATAGTCCTAAGCCACCTGCATCCACTAACTCCCTGCAATACATTCCATATTATATCAATTTACCAATTTGTCACTGAAGAAACTTTCTTTCCCATCGGCTATCAGTTCTTCGAGCTATATTCTGTTACTTTATTTCTTTTGCCTTCGATTTTTATATCATATTTTTCCAGTTCAGGAATTGGAAAACATCTTCCAATACAACTGTGAAGAATTTCGAGAATATAATATCACTCCGCCTTAGATCTTTCTGCACTGGGATGGGTTTCGTATTATGATTCTGTACTCAAATAGACATAGTAACTTTACTGTACCTATACCAATTTGGCACTGCTGGAGCAATTATAGTACCGCCTATTATATATAGTATATTTTGATCGAATCAAAGGATTTTTCATAGTTATCAAACGCCAGACATAGTGGCAGATTATACTCTTTGGTCTCTTTATAATTTGCCATAGCATTTATATGTGGTCTATGGTGCCGTTGCTAAGTCCAGTCGATTTTGTTAATAGCTGAATTTCTTCAGGGGATACTTAATAACCCCTGCTAATCGTTACCGAGAGCACTATCTTGGTCAGGAGTGCTGGAGCCGCCGGAGTCTGGGGGTCGTTTCTTTTTGGTGTTTCCTATTAGAGGATTTTACCAGTAGTCGCCGCGTTTAGCAGACGGGTTGGAAACCGCAGTTAGGCTTTTGCTGATATTTTAAGAAGAGTGCTGCTTCCCATCCCCTGACCTTAAGTTTCTTTAGTCGCCTTTTACGATACCCACGGGAAAGAAAAGGGTGGACTTATCTAAACCGAAATCACACAACAAAAACGTCTATTTTGAAAAGAAAACGCTTCTTGAGAAATATGTTTGAAAAATTAAATGTGACACGTACTCATATATAAATCTTGGTCTGTAAGAATATATTCATAAAGCTATTTGTTTACCTTTAACAGTATCGGTGATATTTTTTTCTAGAATCGGAATACATTTAGCTTCAGCGTTTGATGATTTATTTTTATCTTTTCGGACGTGATCACCTTGAGCTCTCATATCCGTTTCAACACAAGGCAATTCACGGATTTTACATGTGTTATCATTTAAGGCTTTCTTTCTAGATTCTTCTCTCCTTAGCAAATTGTTTGCTAATCTTAGGACTTCTTTGTTGTCTTTCATTTTGTCTTTTATATCAAAAAGTAAATCATTAATTCTCTTGTTTCTTTCTAATTCTTGTTGTTTAAATTCAGCCATCTTTTTATTTCTATCATCTTTATATTGTATGTCAATGTCCCATAATTCTTTACGTACATTTTTACTATTATCTTTTAATTCTGTAACTTTATTGTTATCAACTGTTGATGCTTGGGTAGGCTTTTTGTTGTCATGAACCATGCATTGTTCAGTACTTGAGTCTTTCGTAGGATGTAAAATACCATGCGATTTTTGCAATATATCATCGACTTCTTTAATAAATTCTTTACACTCTGTATTCCTTAGTTCGTAGTTAGCTTTACTTTCAATAATTCTATCTTCATGACATTTAATTTCAATATTCAATTTCTCTGTAGCTGTATTTATATTGTCAATTTGTGAATTAGAAACAGTGGAATGTTCAGGTTTGTTATTGTCTTGTTTATCTTCGAGAAAAACTGGAGATTCTTCATGAGTTATTGTGTTTCTTTTCATTATAGCTACTGCACTTTTCTGTATTTCACTTTGCTCTTTGATTTTTTGATAAGCAATATTTGATTTCTTTGAATTTTCTAAAGCTTCATTTACGTCATTTAATAGTTCATTCATACTGTTTAATTTATTTGTTATATCTTCACGGAATAATATACTTAAATTTTCAGCACCTTCAACGATATTACGAGCCAGATTCTTCATTTCATTAAATTCTAATTGCTTATTATCTTTGTTTTCATTGTCAGTTATTTCAAATATATCAACTAAAGCGTTGTGCAAAGTTTCTTCCATTTTTCCATCAAATATTTGAGCACTTTGGTTTACTGTATCTACATTGTTATTTAAAACTTGCAACTTTTGAAAATCTCCCACTGTTTCTTCTATTTTTTCTTTTTTTAATTTACTGTAACTGTCTTCATCATGTGCTTCTTCAGATTGATTTAAAATAGAATTTATATCACGTAGCGCTTTTTCGGTGTCTTTTAGTCTTTCTTCAAAGCTCTTAGGAAATACCTTTTCCACGTCATATATTTCGTCATTGTTATTTTCTTTTTCATATTTCTGTTGTTTTACATCACCACTTAAATTGGGAATGACAGGATTATCTTTTAGAGGTATATTAATTGCTTCATTTATCGCATATTTTTCTTTGATTTCTTCAAAAGCAGATTTTCTTATTTGACCTTTGATTAAGTGCACGGATGATTTTTTTAAAACAGAGTCTTGATTTATTTTTAATTTCTTTTCCTCCATTTCATCCGTCTCCTCTGAATTATCGTATTTATCAGCTAACTTCAAAAGCATATCTTTTGTTTCTTGATATCTAGTCTCATAACATTTATTTGTATATTGGCTAACCACTTTCTCTATCTCCTCATATTCTTTCTCATCATCATCAGAACTATTATTCTCGAATTCATCGTTTGTTCTGGTTTCTGTTTCAAAAGCCACATTTTTACACCCAGTTACAGAATTCATTAGAGCCTGCATATTTTTATAATTGATTTTATTTACTTTTTCTTTATTATCTTTAGCAGAATTTATTTCATCTCTTATATCTTTATATGTTGGTAAATTAATATGTTCAAGAGGTATAGCAATTTCCTTATGTTCTAAGGACTTACTCATAACTTGAATTTGTCGTGCCTTTTCTGTTATTATAGGATTATTTTTTAACATTTCCTTTATCTCTTCTGTAGTGAAAGGCCTGTTTGAATCCTTTACTTTACTAAAAGGTTGACCTGTCATCACTTCATATTCCGATTTTACTTCTCCTGGACAAGAAGCTTCAATATAGGGTTTATCTTTAGTGTTCATTAATGGTTTCAGTTCATTTTCAATGATTTTATCAATCAGTTCCTTGGGAAGATTGGCGTCTTTAAAAAATTCTCGCAATTCTGCTCGTTTTGTTTGTATATATTCTGAACCAATTACCGAAGCATCGGAGACACTCATATTTTACAAATTGTATATATTCCGAATTAATTGCGATATATAATGATATGTATCGCAATACAAAAATAATCACTCGTAATCACTAATGCTCATGATAACTTAAGCGTTTTAAATTACTTTCTCTCATCACTAAATGCATATTTATGAGAATGTATTTATAAATCACCATGGAAACTATATTTTATCGTCATTTTGTTTAATCGAAATTCAAATTACGGGTTAATGGCATATACTTAAATGGAAATGAAGAATAGTATTTATGTATTTAATTTGAAGCTTTTTTCATTAGTTGTGTCGATAGAGCGTAGATATGGATTGAGTTATACAAGACCAAGTGATTACTTGCTCTGTGTTAGATACAAAATTTTTTCTAATTCAATAATTATTTAAGAAAACTCCCAGTCCATAGATAAATAATTATTTTGTTATACACGATAATACCTCTAAGACATTCTAACTTATATTACCCACATTTATTTCGCTTTATAACAGATACTGCAAATTGGCGGAACTATTAGCGCTTTTGTTACTTATTGTGGAATACCTTAATGCTTTACGATATAATAGGAAAGCGAAATGTATACAATCATAATTCTGTGGAAACCCTTCCAATTTTGCACAATTTTCTTAATCTGAAATTTTTGCGATGTGTCTAGCTGTCAAATGTCAGTATAAAAATAAAAAATTCATTCTTTCTGTCAAATCTGTCATTCGTAAAATAACAATTACAAGCATCTAGAATTATTATAATTGACTCGAAAAACAAAGTATAATAAAAAGTGAGTTTATAATTAGGCCTATCATTTATTATTAGTTTTTCTACTAGCCTATGTTATAACTTCTATAAAATTCTCACATAATGACGGACGAGCGTAATTTTCGTTCTTCATACTATGAAAAAGTAGGATGCCGGGGTGTAGAAGAGAAAAAATCATTGGAAATCCTGATGAAGGAGAAACCTTGGGACAGAGTTAAGCTGAAACAGTTTTGCTTAAGATTTACTGTACCTGTTGCATACAGACAATTAGTATGGAAAGTATTACTCGGTAAGTTAACTTTATTTTCAGAATATACCAAATAGTTTATGTAAAAATGAAATCACGAACGATGTTTGTGGAACTTGTTCCTTAAGACCATTCTCAATGTAGTGTACTATGTATGTGGCCATCTATGTTTATGCCATGTTGTTTGCAAATTCCTGTAAAGCAATTGTGTTTGTGGACAGTGAATTTACAGGGTACAGAGGAATAACACCCGAGTCCCCAGGAATAGTAATGCATGAGGGGGTATCATGAGCGAAACAGTACTCTGTTATGTCCATGGTACTGCTCATGTCTATAGGTGACGGTTACCACTTTTCATCAGGTGGGCTATCAGCTTGTTTGCTATTTTAAGTTGCATAAAAAAATTAATAGGTACTAAATTAAAAATTTTATTAGATAATTAGTTATCTAATATATTCTAGTTTATGTGTAGTACTTGTATGGTAGAATCCACCTTTGTGAAATTGCTAAATTTAAAAATAATTAATAATTGGAAGAATTTTATGATGTTTATTATAAAAAGGTTTTTATGGGTCATAACCATTTATTAAATTGAGAAAGATTAATTGGTTCTTAAGTATATTGAGACCAATGATAACTATTTGATATAAATTTCAATTTAATCATTTTTGAATAAAAATGGTCTCTATTCTTTTCTAATAGTACCTTTAACAATTCATCACCTTTGTGTTATCAGTCAATATTATCACTGTAATTATTTATAATAATACTTGTATAAATTTAAAAGTAATTACAGTTATTTTATAATGATTTTGTGTAGTATTACTATATAGTCCTTTATCCATAATTTCTGTACCCCAGATATCCTACCAGTGTATCCAGACTCCCACCAGTTTGTCACAATGCAACGGACAGAACAGTACAATGACTTATTATATGCTGTGGAAATGCTAAGATTAGTCAAGATGGACGCTCCCCGCAGTAAGATCCTATTTGAAATGTGGTTGCTGGAGAATGAGGAAAGGAAACCACCAATATTTCCTGAAACAAACTTCTCTGTAATTTTTATATTATTATTTTAGCTATAGTTTTAAAAATAATGATATTGAAATTACACCAACTCTGTTTAACTTACAATTTTTAATTATGAAGTGTAATAGGTACAAAAATTGATGCAGTTGTCAACACTTTTTTATTAGAATAAAAAAAAGAATGTGGTTTATGGTCTTTGTTTCCTATTAAGAGAAATATATATTAATTAACAAACATATTAATTAAAATTTAAATTCTAAATGAATCTCTATTAAACTGAAAATTTAATTTAATTTTGCAGTCTGCTGACACATTCATTCCTATAGCAGAAACCTTGCAAGAGTTATATACAGAAGAAGTAGACATATACTGGTTGACAAAGAGTCTTACAGATATAGTAAAAAATATGCAAAGGGACTTGCATAAACTTAAGGAAGCATTCCAAAGCATGTTAGAGAAAGAAGATGATGAGCTTTATAAGTAGGTTTTAATAATGTTATTTATATAATATTACTTTTACTCCATATTTAATGTTTTATTTTTTTTTCCCCATTAGTAATCATTTATTCTCCCCACATCATAGGATTAAGAATTTTATTAGAGGTCTTTTCTCTAGTAATAGTAATTATTATGATATAAAACCATTGTAAGAATTGAAATGGAATATGTAATTTTTTTTTTCAGCCATCTTGTAGACATCAATGCTTTGGAAGTATTACCTTTGACAAAGTGGTTCAATTGCTGTTTTGCTGGGGTCTTAGATGATACTTCTCTCGCCAAGTATGTATTTATAACTGAAAAATGTAATAAAAAAATTTAACTATAATTGTAATTATAATAATTGTTTGCAGAATATGGGATAAAATTTGTAGTGGTGCTCCTAAAATACTGTCTTTTGCTGCTGTGATGTTAGTAATAACCTTGCGGCGAAATATATTGAAGGCGAAAAATGCTGAAGAAGTGCTCAAATGCGTGTCTGAGGTAATATAAATTTCATATAGATATGTATACATTTCGCTGAGCGTTCAAACTCAGTGAAATGTATACATGTATAAATATTAATGTACACCAAAATAGTAATGCTAATAGTCTGCAAATTGTTATTACTACCAGAACAAGAAGTAAAGTTAAAAGATATTTTTTTTTGTGTTGTTATTTCTTTTTTATTCGTATAATTTAAGCAATTATACCTAATATTTCAATTAAAAAATATGGCTGTATGTCTCAATTTCTTTTAACAGGAGTAGATAAAAAATATTATAATGTTGCCTTTAATTTAGAATATAATATTTGTCATCTTAGTAGAAAATTTAATTTTTAAATTGCAGATACCAGAACAATGCGAAGAAGTTGTTGCTAACAAAGCGATTGATCTTTGGCAGTATTACGGCGCTCAACCACAAAATGATCAGTTAGCGAAGAAATGATGTATGACCTTCTAATGAGTTTATCTCATTAGAAGTAAAAAAAAGCAATAATTGCTACAGATTTTGGTGTTTGAAAAAAAGTCTAAATTATTATAAAGGACTTTTGTACTATGAGTACCCATAGTAATATATTGAAAATACATATTTTGGTCATATTAATGTGGCATAAAATTTTTTGAATCCTTGTAGCTAAATAGGTACTAATTAAAAATTTAATGTAGGAGATATTAAATATAAAATCAATTCTAAAATTTGTTTTATTTTCCCATTGTCTTCTCTAAAAATTTTTTTTTAATTTATAATTTATTTTTAGTAGAAATTCATTACTTTAAAGTGGCAACATTCATTCTCGCCATTTTGCAAGAATGTCAGCCAAATCATCAGCTCGCGCTTTTAGTTAATTTTATGTTGTTTTATGTAAATTTTGAGTGATTTTTATTTGAGACCAGCGATTTAATATTTGGGGATAAAAATGGACCGTTTCATAAGTATGTGGAAGGTGCGGGAGTTGGCGGACAAAGTGTAAGTACTATCTAATTTTTACAAAATTTTTATGCAAATTACACCCATCTGTGTTAATAATCAGTTTTGTTGTTATAACGCCCTTTCTCGTACAGTAGTAATGTATTATTATGTACCTCATACCCAATTGCTGTTATTATTATTTGTGAATTAATTTTAATATAAAAATAATATTGTTCCCCCCAAACAAGTTTTAGATTTTTCTCCAAAAATAGTGTAATTGGTGAAAAATAGTGCATAGGCATTCATTTAAATTCAAATATATTCAACAATAACTTCAGGCGGATGTGTTTACTATAATTGTCACTATATTTTTTATTAATATAGATAGATAGTTAACTGAATATTATGGTTTCATATTATGTATATGATTGATAATACTTAATAATAATACCATATTGTTAGTTTTTTAACACTATTTTAAAAAGTTGATAGATAACAACACAGTAATATTAGCTGTGAGATGTGGACAGCTTTTTTTAATGAGTGTAAATGAAATAGTAATGACCCTACATACACTAGGGGTGCATTAGTGAGAGATGATAGGTGAGGATGAAGCAAGGCAGTTGGCTCTTGTGACAAAGTGAACAATAATTAACTACTATAGTTGCTGAGATAAACTATATATCAACCTGATAGGGATATATTTTTATATATTGCTAGCAATGGAGTTGTTAGACCTCATTACTAACAATCCCTTTACCTCCTAGATGTGAACAGTTATATAAATCAACAACAATCTTTTACATTATCAACTTTAAAATTACCTTGATTACTTATATATTTTTAATGGAACATTCTGAAATGTTAATTATTTTTTCATTGGATATTGGTCACTAATTGACAGAAATTAATTTTATATTAGACCTTATAATATGATACAAAAAGAAGGTGAAGAATTGAATAAGTGCTGATTTTGTTAATGAACATGTTGGTCTCATAAAAGATTTTCATGTTACTGAACAGCAATTATAATTTTTAGATAGAAATGCTGATTTCAATGAGGAATACAAAAGAGTGTTACAGCCTTTACAAAAATAGATCTATACTCAGTTAAAGTAGCAGTATTTTTGCCAAATATATAAGCATAGGAAATGCAAAATAATATTAAATGGATTTAAAATATTTATTTGTTTGGAGCATCAGATGAAAGTCTAAAAATGCTGAAACTAACATTAAAATTTAGATGTAATGACTGATTTGTAATCCCTATTACATATAGATTCATGATAAAAAAAATAGTAGTAATGGGTTTTTACATAATTACAGTTATTTTCTTATGGTGTACCCCAGCACTACTGTGTAGGAATAACTAATATGCTAAATAATGTAAAGCTCTAGAGTTAATACCATATTGAAATCAATATTCTGTGGACTGTAATATATACTACAATTAAGTTGACAATTTTTATATTCATTTCTATTTTTAATCTATATTACAGTTTTGAATATCACATATACTTCTTTAATCTATAATATGAATAAAATTGTAATTCTATAATAAACTTTTAAATGCATCTATTTTCTAAGTAATAACTGTTTTCAAAAGTATGTAGGGGAAGTATGAAAATATAATAATTTTTTAATATGTACAATTCAAATTTACGATATAGATATAAATAAATAAATAAATATATACGGACAAATCACACAGATTGAGCTAGCCCCAAAGTAATTTCGAGACTTGTGTTATGGGATAGTAACTCAACATTACTATATTTATAATAGATACATATATAGATAAACATCCAAGACCCAGGCCAATCAGGAAAAGATCGTTTTCCATTATGACCTGGCCGGGGATCGAACCCGGGGCCTCCACGTCGCAGGCAGGTGTGTTGACCGCTGCACCACGGAGGACGACTAGATAGACTAGAGAAGATATATAAACATCAAAGTTTTTACTAAAATATATTTAAGTACAAATATAGGTTTATGTTCAGTAATATTTGGCTCTAGAAATAATCCTAAATTGTGTAATTAAGATTTATTTATAATGAAATTATGATAAACAAGCATGTGGTTCATATGATAGTAAGTAATTACCACGGCCCATCGACATTAATAACACCAGAAAAGTCACTCATGCATTGTGAACCTTTTAATTTGGTTCACCCACCTACAGTTACATTTTTATATTATATTGGTCATGACATCATTGTACCAAGCTTAATTAGGAAAATGCTGTGTGGGATTTTAATGGCTGTAAAGTTTTATTTATTTGTGATTGGTAGAGTATTGAACCTGAATCTATTTTCAACTGACCAACAAAAACAATTTTGTTGTATTTCTTTAAACCTCATTATTCCATCAATTGTAAACTAATTTAGAAAATTCTTGCTTTATCTAAAAAACATACTTAAAGATTGGTTTCATCCAATCAAAATCAGCTTAGTATTTTATTTTTTAAAACAAAAGAACTTGTTTTGCCACAAGTGAAGTCTTTGTGGAATACAATTTATTAAAGTTGATATCTATTGTACACAAAATTAGGTTCAAAAGTATAAATAAATCCTTAGACAAGCAGGCTAACTTTTTACACAATCACATTAAATAGAGAAGATAAGCATACCTTATTTTACACTATTATTTTACCACCTCTTGATGGTATATCAAAATTAAACATACACCAGATTTTAAATAAGAACTTTAGGATGAAATTCACATACAATTTAGTGCAGTAGTTTTTGTGTAATGCTGCAACAAACATACAGACAGATAAAAATTGTAATAAATTGCATATTATTTTTTCATAAATATCTAAGTACATACATTGCCTAGTTACAAGTTTATTAGATGTGCTGTGATTATGAATTTATTTCAATTTCTTTCAAAAACCTATCTAGAGGTCCTTTACAGGATAGGAAGAGATGCAAGTGTCAAAGATCTTTTAAACTTTCAAGTTATCTTTTACTCATAGCTGATGCATGCATGCTGCTTATGGAGATTGATATCGTATTACAGTGCAACCTTAATATAACAAACCTCAGTATAACGACTTCCTCGATTAAACGAATTTTTCGTAATCCCCTTGAATTGTCCATAAGAGTCAATGTAAAATATACCTTTACATTGCGAAGAGTTTTTGTGAACGACCTCTTTATAACGAATTTTGTCTAAAACCTTTATATAACATTCCCACTAATAAGACCCTTAACCTCATAGTATGTGATTCACTCTCGATAGGGTTCGACATGTTTTTTTTCGTAAAAAAATATTGTTGTTTGATGAGAAGTAATGTAAACAGTGCTGCTCGTCATGTTTACTTCAACATATTCTTTTTAAATCAACTTGTTCTTGCATTACTATATTACGAACATGGTTTGTTAGCATTTCGCTAATTCTTCACTGTGTCACGGAATACCAAATAGTGCAGTATTCAAAGATAAACTTCCAGGACATAATTAAATGCCTAGAATGTCATATGTTTTTGTATACACTACAAAATTACGCTATCTTATCATGTCGATTGTGTAATTTATAATTCCACTTATCAGTCGGGATTTTACGTCCTTGATTGTAATTTATTTATCTACTTTGACCATATCAATCTCTACACATACGAGTACAAAGCGAAATACCATTTACTTATCGCGAATTCATCAACATTACTTGACTGCTGAAACGCATGTTTGACCAGTTCCTTATGGTGTGTAGAAAGCCATGAAGAAAATATTTTTAGAAAATTTTACGAGAACAGACAATAACGAGACATACGTGGCAGAAACAATGGTCAATAGCTAGTGTGCACTACTTATATATTGGGTAATAATGTAAACTATGACCGCGACTGTTTGCGTAGTAATCAAAATTCTTATGAATTGTTTAGATACCAACGTACATTCACTATAATTACTCATTCCTACAATGTATCTAGTTTGTAAGAAGAATATGATCTAACACTATGGGATTTTTTTTTTTTTTCATAAATTTGTCCGGTATTATTTAATATAATGTTAAAAATTGTACCACAATTTATTTAAAGTCTTTAGTATAATATTTGCATTTGTAACTAATTTGGCTTCATACAAGATACTGTGGTTTAATGTTTTAGATATTACTTCAAAGTCTATATATTGATAAAACGCTTGGCTGATTATGATAAAACATGACTCATCATATAATATCTACTTGATTATATATTTCTTTAAAATGCATTCTGCCATCGTCGCATGATAAAGTAACAAATATTTAAAAAGATTTTATTTTAGTAAATACCACTTATTGATTAATCATGGAATTTTAAATACTAATTTTTCATGCCAAGCTATTCAGCAAATAAGTTTTCTTATAGGTGTAGTCAAATCCTATTTTATTTAGATTAATAAATAGAAATAAAATCGAAATCTTTCTTTTTCGTTTAATTTTTTTTCACTCACAACCATAACGTTATCACGAAATCGTGCATCGAGGTCTTATTCTATATTTAGCATAGACATTCTATCGTATTTAGTACCTGGAGTCAATTATATGCAGAATAATTAATTGAGTAGTTTTTTCGAAAACTTAGTACCTACTACACGTAATAAATCGACACGTAATTTCGGTTTTTTCATGGGTTCTGTTATGAGACCTTGACCGTAATTTCTATAAGCTTGACCTGGACACCTTTCACTTGCGAAAATAATGCAGCAGTGTTAACCCTTCTTTTTGATGTTGGCTAAAAAACAGCGAACCGGCTCGTTCAGATTACATAAGCTTATCTCGCAATCTCGATAGTTGCACAAATACGTCCAATGCAGTTGTATAAGGACAATCTGATTGACAATCAATTGCATATTTATATTTTGTGCAGTTGATACGCCTTTGATTTTTTTATTTATTATGTATAAATGCATATGTCAGGCAGGCGGCTGGTCGTAAAACTTATAAGCCAAATCTTTTTGTAATATAGATAAAAATATATTACGCCGACCCCAAATAATAATTGGGATAAGGGTAGGAAGATGATGATAATTTCTTATGCATAAAAACTTATAATCTTCATAGAGTATAACTTAAATATTTTTTTAAATTTCTGTATACTACATATTCGCTGATAGGTATTATGACCTTAAATAATCAACTAAAATAATAATTAATTGAATAGTGTTTATTATTTTCCTATGATTAATAAGGTCACATATGTAACTTGATCTGGATAAAATAAATGGCTACGATTTACATATGTATTATCCATGCTAATATTATAAAGTTAATTAAGATTTTGAGTTATCTTAGTGATCTGTCGGTTAATTTCTGTAATTGTATATATATAGATACACCATTAGAACGCGGTGCTATGGTAGCATGTCCTGCCGAATGTCTTCTCTATCCCTTAGATTTAAAATCTGGTTGTTATTCACAGGTATATCAGTTCAAGATCACATTAGTAATTATATGTTTATGTGATTATCTAACCTTTCGTATATCGTGCGTACTAACGAATATCAAGTTCCAATAAGTGAAACAAGAAAATGTCCTAATATTTTATAATAAACTCTTTTAATTTTATATTGTATTGTTACTTGTTCCAGAACAAATGTGGTAATGAACTATACAGAGGTAGAAGGCAAAGTACGGGAGGCGACATCCGACGAAGCTTGGGGTCCTACTGGTCAGCAGATGCAAGAATTAGCACTGGCCACATTCACATACGAACATTTTCCGGAAGTTATGTCGATGCTGTGGAGACGAATGCTTCACGATAACAGAGCTCATTGGAGAAGAACTTACAAGGTACAATGTGACTTAGCTATTTTCAGATCTATACAGGCTGAATGAAATGAACGAATCTTTTTTTTTATATTAGAAAAAGAATACTATAAAATAGTAACATAACAGTAATAATAAGTATTCTTTTAAGTGAGTGTTATATCAATGAAACAAATATTTCATTAGTACAAAACACAAACTTAAATGGATATTAATGGTTTCAATACAAGGCAATCCGTATATTTCTTCAGGGTAAACAGAGTCGCATGTCAACATACATTATTCTTATACGCATATCTAATATCTTTTCCTACGTTTACGTAATTTGTCATGCATTCACGGCAGTATTATTGCAGTATAAATAATAAATAGGTCTATTTACGTGTGCAAATGTACGCGGTGACAGCTAATGAACCCTTGGATTACCAATATTGATTTTCAAATCTCTTGTAATTTTTAAGTACCTTTTTAAGTCATTAAATAGCAATTATTTCTTTCTCCGAAGATACCCCCAGTCAGAAGTCTTCTTTTACAATAAAGAAGGCATAACAATAGGGTAGCAAAGCGGGCAATAAGCCACGAGCTTCCGGCCTGAGGGGGCTCCTAGTCCAAATTGATACTAACAACATCCAGCTTTTTTAGATAAAGTGAGAGCCCCGTCTAACGAATCTACCACGCCCCTCTGATGGTATAGTAACGCCACTACCTAGAAATCTTTGAAACTTTACCTTCATGTCATTTATCTAAATGAGGAATTATTTTTGTGAAACTTACTATCATTACTAATATTATAAATGTGAAAGTGAGTTTGTTTGTTACCTTAAAACACCTTAAAGGCTTAACCAATCACTGTGCAATTTGGTATATACCTATTGTATGAGATGGAAAATGATATAGGCTACGTTTTATCTTAGTAATTAAATATATGCCAGTCACGCTGATGAGGTCGTAGGTAAAAGCTAGAAGTCTCTAATTTTCCTACATCAACCTCGCTTGGTACCTAATAAATAAGTAGTCTTTATATATACCCCTGGAGATTAGGTTTCGAAACTAGCCACTATACGCTAAATAATAAAAAATATTACAGACATTGAAACAAAATTAATGAAGTATTTTAAATATTATAATATTAATAATATTATTATAAATAAGTATACCCATGGTACTGCTCATGTCTATAGGCGACGGCTACCATTTTCCATCAGGTGGGCCGTCAGCTTGTTTGCAATTCTAAGTTGTATAAAAAAAACCATATATCTATATTATAAATTGTGATGGTCCCCCCCTTTGTGCACCCCTTATAATAATAACCCTCTAAACTAACCTACACATGGAAAACCTACAAAGCCTAAGAAAAGCCTACGAAGGCTTTACCTAATGAAATCTATGAAAATATAATGAAAATCTACCCTAAAGAAAGGCCTAACACCCTCAATATAGCCCATACCTATATTACCCTATACACCCTAAACATCTTATGAATCTTAAAAAACCTTACAATAAACACATAATATTAAACAGATCTTATAGCAGAACACTTGATCATTTGGCCAGATAAATAAATGTGTGATCGTCTAGTAATGTAGGACCCGTTGTGTGTGTAATAACCAAAAGGTTCTTTAATTGGTATATGACAGGAGTTAAATAATGAAGATGATTGATAAATATTTAAGGATTAAGAATAATTAATGAATTATACTCATAATTCATGTAACTAGGAAGTTAGAATATAATATATTAATTTAATAGTAAATTACAGAATAACTGTAATAATAAAAAAAATGGGGGAGCGGTCGGGCCCCTCACACGCCCGGACCAGTGGAAGACTTTCCAACTATCTATAACTCTTCCTCCTAAAAGGTAGGGAAGGGTATTACTATTTATTAATGCACTCTGATGGTAATAAGGGCATGAGTATTCTCAGTTCCAAACCAAACATAAGTACATTTACTTCAACATTACAGTGGCTCCACCAGCCCCACGATGCTTCCAGTATAAATTGGTGTTTGCCAGAGGCAAAAGGATCGGAACTGAAATCCCAGGATCACTCCGACACGAGAGCTTACTCATGGGCGATGACCCTTTCAGTCCTATATGGCGACATAGAGATCACCCACTAACAGTACGAAACTGTTTCCCAGCGTCACCCTGTTATGAGCTTACTCAATGGGGGTTTCCCTTCGGCTCCACAAGAGATCAGACCAAGAAGCGAGATCACCCAGACACCAGAACTTACTTTGATGGGACATAACCCTTCGGCCCTATAATGTGACATTAGAGATCACCTGTGAAGACAGTCCGATAGAGATGAAGATTTGTGTGATAGGGGATACCTTCCACACCCTGGAATTGGCCAAGCCATATAATGTTGATTATTGCTATATCATAACATAGCATTGTCAATTTAATATTATTTACTTAATACCAAGAATACTCAAGGTTCAAGTTAAATCTGTTGATTAGGCCGGAGCCTAAGAACGAGTAGTCCAACCCATAGGTCGAGAGCTACTAAAAGTAATGAGTGCTATTGAATGAACTATAAGTCCAGTCAATTATATATAATATTATTGTTGATTAACCACATTGTGAATTAACCAATTATTTATTCAGAGAGATATATCTAAAGGAACTATAAGTCCTTTAAAAGACACTGATTAATCACAAGTTAACAACGTCTCGTGAAATAACCAGTTGGGTTTTCTATAAGTTTGAGGACACTAAGTCCAACAAGCAATTATTGTGTTGAGAGTAATAGAGATCTTTTGTAATATTTGTAGAGGTTTGATTAATCACATTGTGAAATAATCAGATTAAATAATTATGTAGCTTTATAGAGAGGACTATAAGTCCTAATTGGTTGTTGTCATAAGTACTGATAAATTACACATTAAAGTGCCAGGTCAATTATTATATATAGGTATATAGGAAGGACAATAAGTCCTATTTGTGTATGTTGTAGTAGTAGAGGCAATATATTGCATAATTATAATGTGAAAGATATATATTAAATATATATTTGTATAGAAAGGACAGTAAGTCCCATACAATTATTGTAGCTGTACTATAGTTATACTATATCTACTTCCTTTTAGTGTCTTAGTAAACCTATTTACTAAGAGGATTTCTCAGATAAACAAGTGTTTTAGTGTTTAAATCATCATGATTAAATCCCTAAGAAATTAGGTCTTTAAATAATTATCATATCATTTAAGTGTAATTTCTCATATAAATAATTCCAATATTTCCCTTACAGTTATTATAAAATAACAGAAAATTATATAAATTTTCTATAGACTTAGATATAGAATCATAACGTGTATAATCTCCTTTTGTTTGACATCTGTCACATTAATGACGTATTGAATGACGTATTGATGTATTGAATTGAATTTTGATTATCTATCACAACTGTCAACGTAACAAATACTAGCAAGTTTGTTTATTTGTATTTGTTTAATATAACTAAATATAAAATCATCATATATCAACCGTAATATACAACTAAATTATCAGTGACATAAATAATCATGGTTTACACCAGAAATAATTAATAGTATCCAGTAATGCTACAGTTTTATATTCATATCAGTAGCCAAGCTTACTTTCAAATTCAAGAATGAACAGAAGATTAGAAGTTTAACATTCTTATTGCAATTGTACTTGCAATAATATATACATACAGTACTAATTATCAAGAACATTCCTCAAATACATGTGTGGTGAAGATTTTCCCAATATGCTATCTATTTGATTCCTAACCTCTAATGTAAATTTATTAAAGAAGTGAATAATCAGTGTTAGTGTTTGCTTTATTAATATTTAAAGTAATTGTCCTAACTTGATATCAATAGGATAATATCTCCTTGGATACAGTCCGACATAAACATATAACTCAATAATTAAATTTATAAAATACTAATATTATATTTTACTACTTGTATATCTCCATACTATTCCCATAAAATATTCCAAACATGTATATTAAATATAAATCCAGTAAATATTCACTAATATTAACCCTGTCTGAACTTGTCTAGTCTATATAACATGAACAAACAACACACATACAAACCTTATCGCCGGGACAACTTCCTTTCTAAATATGAGTAAAATACATAGCTTCACAAGTATCATACAGTACCAATTTTATACTGAACCTCATACCTAGTTAAGAGTAACTATAGTCAGAGAATCTTTTAGTACTTTTATTACCATTAGGAAATAAATCCACACCTATAATATCAGCATAATTAAATATTATTAGTAATCAGTAATACACACAGAATTGTTATTATCAGCTTGTTTACTACAACAAAATCAATATTAAAGTTTATAATAAATCAAGACAAAATATCTATTTAAACAATACAGGCTTGTTTACCATAAACATCCCACCGTTACATGAATTTATCTACTAACACATTAATGTATTAAAAGTAATACATTCACATAAAATCACCTGCAACAGCTAAGCTGATTCTCTGTACATCTGGTGTAAAACAAATTCCCACATGTAATCATGGGTAATTAAAAGTATACAAAAGAATCATTAGTACAGTTGACCGAGCAATGGTATGAAAACACTTTACCATGAGACGTTAAGCATGAGCAGGTGTTCCAAATCAACACTGTAATAGTGTAATAAATACAACTATTCCATCATCATCATCGTCTCAACCATCACCAATCCACGACTGAACACAGGCAATTCCCCATAGACTGCCAATAGGAACGGCCCCAAACTCCTGCACCCACCGAGTCCCCATAATACACATAAAACAGTCACTCCAACCAATGGAGGCAGCCCTCACCACACTTGCATATACAGAGTCGCCACTCAATAACCCCTCTGTCTCATCAATGGTTGTTTCCCCAGCAATGAGACCAGACCACAGCCACCTCAGTCTATTTATCCTCAATAAATAAATAATTTATAGTAACTAGATATGAATTTAGTTAGTATTATAATAGTTTTATAGTTGATTCAATAAGTATTTGCCAAAACTGGACAATTAGAATATTGAGTCAAATCGATGAATTTCTATCAAACAGCCATATAATTGAATTTTGTATATGAGTAGAATAACGTAAGTATGTATTATTATTACGTAAATTATATTGATGTAGATCTTTGTTCAAATGTGATTGCATTTAACTATATACGCATTACCTAAAGGTATATGGACTCGATTAAATACGTATTTTAATAGTTGTTGGGAAAAATATTAAGTATAAACTTTGCCTGTGATCACAGTCAAAAATCTAACTACGTAGTAATAAATGGAACAAGCTCACCGGATTCTCCAGTCTTCCATTGACTCTTTTCACACACTTAATCGATAGTGATACACTAAGATCTTAAACCCCTTCATAGATCCAGTCACTCCTAGCTCTATATCCCAGTTATCTTTTTTATTTTATTGCGCAGTTCCTAAAACACGACTCCCCGCCATTTTTTTTTTTTTTTTTTTTTCTTTTTTTTATTTGGCAATTCCTAAAAAGCGACTCCCGCGCGCCCGCCGATCTGCCGTCCCTTTCTTTTTTTTTTTTTCTTTTCTTTCTCTTCATCTAGTAACGTCATAGATTATCTCACCGAAGGGTAGATATTTCAATAATCAGATTTAGCCCATTATTCGAACTGAACTTTTCTTCAAATTCAATTTAATTATATGTTAATGTATTTTGGTATTTTCTATTAAATTGATTATCGAATTTATAAAACTTTAAAGACTCTCATAAACCTTATTAAACTGTGATGTATGCATCCTTTTTACACCTGATGATAAAAGGTAAACTATAATTTGGTTATATATAAGATATAATATATTTTTGTTTAATTTATTTAATTTTCTTGGGACATCCACTACACTTTGAAAACACATCAAAGGAGTTTCCCTTCTGTGTCAATATTTCATATATGGTAACGTCTTCTCTGTACGCTATTGTGAACCTTGACTTTAAAGTTTGTTTATATTAAATAGCTCAGCTTTCGCAGCGGTCACCCATAGGAACCCCTGTTTCTTTTCTATGTACTTATGGTATTAAACCTATTGTACTATAGGCGAACCGTCACAAAATGAATGTACAAAAGCATATAAATAAATAAATTAATTAATTAAATTAAATAATGAAGTTCCATCAAAATTAATTAAATTAATAAATAAGTGTTTTTCTTTCAGTGCTTATTGCTTCTCAGTTACCTTGTCCGCAACGGTTCGGAGCGTGTGGTGACGTCGGCTCGCGAACACATCTACGATCTACGTTCTCTAGAGAACTACGCATATGTAGATGACTTGGGAAAAGATCAGGTGAGCAAGCTTGTTAATAAAGATTAATAATAAAAATAAAGTTATTACAAATTTGGAATGATCATTGACTATTTACTTGAACGAGATTGGCTCACTCTGTACTTTACAAATAAATTTGAATTTATATTTACATTACACTATGTCTTTATATAAATATAGTTTATACAATTTTATAATTCATAACACAAGAGAAAAGTTAACTCGTGATATTTATTATAAAAATAATAATAAATAAATAAATGGTACTTGTTTTTCTGCAGGGAATAAATGTTAGACACAAAGTTCGAGAACTTATTGATTTTATACAAGATGATGAGAAACTTCGCGAGGAAAGAAAGAAAGCTAAGAAAAACAAAGACAAATATATTGGTGAGTGATTATATACCTTACAAACATCTATAACGCGTATTGTTGTTATTAGAAAAACACATGTACTCTTCTACAAATTTTCGTTACGTTTCGCTGATCAAGGCGTTATCACAAGGTTATTACACAGAAGGAAATAAATGTAAATAATCTTACTATATACCTCACTATATACCTTTGAAAATGATTTTAACCGCGAATCTGGTCAGGTATTTAATATAATAAGTTCAGAGTCATGCTTTGCGTACTTTAAATAATATGCGTCAAAAAACCCCTTCACATTTCTCCGTGTACTATACCAAATCCTTTTTTCTCTATTATATATATATTCTTATTCCATTTATATAATTTTAAGATTTTATCTAAGAAATACTTTTTTATTGATTATTTGCAGGTATGTCGTCAGACGCGGCCGTGATGGGTATGAGGAGTAGTTCTGGGGGTTGGGGCGAATACAGCGACCGGGGTACCAATTGGGGTGAGTTGACTCATCTTCATACATATTAAATTTTAGTTAACTTTTAATTATATAATCATAACGGTATATATTCAACATAATATTTTATATACCCGTAAAGTCGCCATTTCATAATTATACATCTCCATTTAAATTTAATTATTTATTTCATTTAAATCCCTATATATCCTTAATTTAGTTTTCTATTCAACCTTTTATCTGATTATTGAATGAAAACCAATTAAATCTTAAAATATTAAGTACGGTTGCATACCTTGATGCGTTGGATTCAAAGATGTTAATTAAAAATGGTGATTATCTATAAAATATTTCTGATTTAAAATCATAGTTTAGACAGATAATTTAAATTTCAATAGGTAAGTCAGTTACAAAAGTTTGCACTTGTTCTCGAATATGACTGCTGCATGTATAATATTCCAGATGAACCAAAAGATAGGAGAGGTGATGAAGAAGAAGAATATGACAGAGATGACTCAGACGGTGACTATGGTCATAGAAAACCACAAAAGTTAGTATTACATAAAATTTTGAATTTTGAACCTAAGCTGTTAGTTTTATTACCTTTAAACTATTAGAAGTAGCAAATAATACTTGATAATATACAGTATGAGAATGATGCAGAAAATATGCATTATTTGAGTTTAGTTGTAACACCATATATCTCATTTTCACTTATATCAATTGAAAATATTGTCAAACACTAATATAAAAATGTATATGCCCATCGACAAATTAATATTATTTTTTATGTAACTGCATTCCCCTTCTCTATAATACCTATTGTTAGTTAAGGAGAACATTGATAAAAATCGTTTTTACTAATTAGTATCTTTAGTTTAATGTATTTATTGATTATAATACACTAATTCTTTTTATAGTTATGGTCACTATTCAACTATTAGCATTGAGTGTCACTAAGACTGTACAAACTCAGCCTTACTACAGTGAGTAGTTACAATTGTATTAAATGTATCATTGTTGATCTCTAGAGAGAACGTATATCGTGACACGGAGAGTGCGGGCGGCGGTGTAGTATCGGTAGGTCCGGTTGGACGCCGTTCTCCGGACCTGCCTTCAGGAAAATCCCTCAACATCAGCCTCAAAAGCCCGGCCGCCAGGAAACCCAGCACGCCAGTTAAGAAGATCGATCTAGGTACTTTTTTGAGAAGTCAACCAATTTTACATATTTTTTACCTCTCAGTACGTATAGACAAATCCTAAGGCGGAAAGAGTATAGGTTGGTTGAAATTCGCGCACTACGGCTCTATTACGAAGCTTAGTGTGGAAAGGATCAGATAATCTAATTCGCTGGTCACATCAACAGGGTACTTTATCTGTCATGAACAAAGGTCAATTCTGCATCTCTTAATATATATGTGCCTTACACTAATTCCGTGGTGTTTTAAAAGGATACTTTAATTATTAAAAAGTATAACATTTGGTATAAATTCTAAAACACGGAACACCTGCTTATCAATTGATATGACTCATTTTGATTTTTTTGTACATTTTCTATATTGTGTAGCGGAAAGTTGATAAATCCATGATACTGCTCATGTCTATAGGCGACGGTTGTCATTTTCCATCAGGTGGCCGTTAACTTGTTTGTCATTCTAAGTTATTTAAGAAAAAGTTTTACTTGAACACCACAAAAAACAATGTCCAATTATTTCCAAAACAGGGAGATTCCAGATGCATTGTTGGTCTACAGTCTATCATGTGCACACATTAATATTACAGGTGCAGCGGCGACATATGGCAAATCAGTAACGCCAACCCCAGCGCCGACACCCACGACAGCCCCGCCGCAATCCCACACTGCACAACAGTCACAAGAACTACTTGATGACTTGTTCAAGACTTGTTCTGCTCCCACCACTGCAAACCTTGTGCTAGAAGATGATTTTGACCCCAGGTATAATGACATACATTACTTAGCTGTCAATTTAAACAATTCTAAAATATCGCTACATTCCTTATAACATTAACACATATTGACTAATAGACAATATATGACAGTAAGTAATTGAAAGTTATACTTTCTTGGATGTTTTCACATTTTGCTAACCAAAAAAAAGTAAAACTCGTAAAGTATCTCTACAATGGCTACTACTATTAAAATGGATTTATTGCATATCCTGTCAAATACAGGTTAGCATATGAATAAAAAAATTTAAATGTTTTACCTTACTAAACAACTGATATTATAGATATGTAATTAATTCATAAAAAACAATGTAATATTTCAGGGCGGAGGAGCAAAAATCATCACCAAAAGAAAGTTCCGATTTTGGGGAGTTCACCAATGCGTTCGGTGCGCCCTCTACTGGCGGAGATGACGGCTTTGCGGACTTCACCAGCGCCTTCACCACGCCAACACCGGCACCCCAAGCACCTTTACCTGCGGCACCAGCACAAGCCCCACCACCAGGTCAGTCCATTATATCCAGACAGATTTACATTGAATCAGACACAATCATTGTAAAATATAATAGAAATATAGAACATACAATAACATGTTTTATTCATAAAGTAATTCACCAAGTATGCTAGGCAAAACTTTACCCTTTCTTTATTTTTTAATGTATGATGTGTAATATACCGTAACAAATGTAAAAGAAAAATAACTGAGAACATGTTATTAATAAACTGTAATATTAAAAAATAAATCTATTTTCCAGATTGTTCCATATTTTTCTCAATTTTTTACAATATTGTACACTATATTGGGCCCAATATGTAATTTTCAAAAGGATTGACATTATCTCCATAAACAAGTGGGTTACTTTCAAACTAATAAATAACCAACAATTATTACAGTAGCCCCAACGTCGCCAGCATCGAATGTAGACCTGCTGAGTGAACTGTCGAGCCCAATGCCGGCATTTGGAATGGAGGCCCTTAGTGGCCACCTCGCTGCCACTACTCTACAACCATTGCAGCCAACCTTGCAACCTTCCCAAGGTATGTGCCAGATATTTACAATATTTATTTAAAAATACAATTGAACACTAAATATATAAAGATACAGAATACCAATAACATTTATATATCTTATGAAATAATTTACTAATTATTTTGTTCTCCCTAGAGCATTTGGTAATTCTATTATTGCCTATTGCCTCCAAAGGTTGATGTTACAGTTATATATTTATGTAAAATATAATTATTCTTGATATTGAATCTAATTACATGAATAATTATATTTGTTTTGAAAAAAAGTTTTATATAGGTAAATATTTTTTTTACTTATTTTTATTTCGTTCTTTCCTTTTACTATATACTATAACTATTTCTGTTGTTTGTAATGTAAACATTGGAAATATGTACAATACATATCTGTTGACTAACATGTTATTAGTATAATATCTATATATGTTTTTTGTCATATGTCTATTTACATGTTTTTTTTTATTTGTGTGTGTTATGTTCTGTATGGAGTATTTTCCCATTTCAGTTTGTCTTTTTTATAGTAATAAGTTTTTAACATATTCAAAGTAACAGTTTATTCATTCATTTATATAAATTTAGCTTAAAATACATGTGACTGTAAGCATGAAACCATTTACCATGTATCAAAAATTTTTGGGCACATTCAGGTATTTTTTATTTACAGGCGATGCGAAGAATGAACTGACATCTTCGCAAGAGCACTTACAGCGAGCCATCAAGAAATTTCTAGACAATTTGCAATCAATAGAAAGGATAAAATCTGAAAATGATGTGTATATAATTAAAATATGTTTTGAAAATTTGAAAAAATATTTCCCAGGGCCAATCACAATACAAAAGTTGAATGGAATTGATGAAATAATTATCAGTAATGAAATATTAGAGTCCTACTCTCTATTGCTATGTTCTGTAATAAAGAATTTGCTACCACACTGGCCTTTGTTCAAAGAAGAACTGATAAATCTCTTTACACCAGAAGAAAGCTTTAAACTCAGTCACGAAATACTGTCAACATTATGTGGTTTTCTTAAAAATGAAACTACTTTTATTTGTAAAGCAATAACATTTATTTTACTTCGATACATGAAATGTGACGCAGTATTGACAGCTGTTGTGGACTCCAGTATTGTAGAATTCGCAAATGAAAAGGATGTTTACAAACATCAGATGCAATGGGATAATTATATCCAATTACTGGCAACACTTCCCGAGAGGATTGCCAACAAATTGGAAACTGAAACACCCAAGGATTTTTCTCATGAAAATTATTCATACAACCTAATTTTTCATGTAATACGCTGCATAGACTTTTTAGCTGAAAGCAGTTTTGCAGAAGGTATTAAATACAATATCTCATATTTATCTCAACTATTATCTAAAATTATAATAAACTACAACATGAATGGAAATTCTGAAGCAATTTTGAAATTAATTGATATTCTTATAGTGTGGACTTGTGATAAAGAAATGAGTAAATTTGTAAAAAGAAAATTGATACAAACGCTATTTCATCATTTAAATCGACAAGCCATAGACTGCATCTCTGTTATATTATTGAAAAAATGCCCCATTGACTATAATAATCATGAACAATGTATATTGCACCTACTTGGAGATAACATAAACACAAGTAAAGATTGGATTGACATTTTGACGAACAAAGTACCCTTTTATATAAAATACATGGATTATAAGGATACAATGATTGTGGAGAACCTCATTTACTATATATCAACTGCTAAAAATTGTGTCGATATACTATCGGAGTTGGTTTTGAGATTAGCGTATGTGTGGTCTGATGTTAAACTAAATAATGTAGCTAATATTCCAGAGCATGTTTACATATCTCAATCATTAATTTTATCAGCAAAATACCGTGTAGTTATGTCGTCATTACGGAACATACCTTGGTCTACGTCCGAGTTGAAATCAGTGTTATTTAAAGGCATGTCTAAACATTTAGATGTATTATCACAAGAGTTTAGATGCATTGGCATGGCAACTGTTGAGATACTATTCAAAATACTAGCAGAACTAAACACATCTGACAAGGAAGCTGCAAATAATCTTAATTTTGATTACGATGACATGGGGGATACCTGTAAAGAAATATATAAAGTACTCAAAGATATATCAAATAGATGTTTGATTGATGAAAAACATGAAACTCCTGCCAGAGTTCGAGAAATAAATTTAAAAGAAATTTTCGATTCTATCATCAACAAAGTTGTAGATGAAGAATATAGACCCGTTCAAAACACAATAGTCACTTGTGCTGTTAAAAGTCCTCAGCAAACTAAGGAGATAGTGAAAACCATAATTTCAGTTAAATTAGATGCTCTAAAAAAATTAAAGAAACCTGAAATAGATGACTTGGATTCAGACGATGATCTGCAACCTTATGATATGAGCAATGATTTACCAATTTCAGCTAAAAAGCGACCAAATTACCTTAGAGATCTTGTCGACTTGATAGTTGAAGCTAAAGATGTTGAAACTTTTGAAGCAAGTCTCGAAGTGTCTGAAGAGTTAGTCATAAGACAATTGAAGACTGAAGATCCGAAACTGGCCATAGAACTCTTGAATTTATTTGTTCACTTAGATGATAAATATAGTGTTGATAATTTTGATATTATAAAATTTAATACAACAGTTGCAATAATCTGTAGTCAACCAAAAGTGTGTGCAGAACAACTGTGTAAAGAAATCCATACAGATGTCGGTCGGTACTCCATAGCAACGAAAATGTTTATGCTCGATGTGCTTTCAGAAGCAGCTAATAGAATAGCTGATGTGCGACCACATGTCGATGAAAAATCTAAAAAGTTGGAAATCGTGCCAGCTAAAACGAATGATGAAGACATACCGGCTGAAGAAATAATACGAAGGAGATTGATTAACAAAACTAGATACTTTCACTCGAAAAGACCTCATCCTTTTGCGAGAGCTAAAAGAAACGAGTTCGCCGCAGTGTCTGATAGTTTTTTCTACCCCCTTGTAGGAGGGTTTGGCATCAGGCAATTGACTTTAAGCCGTCATAGTTTAAAACAAGATGTTGATAATATTCTCCTTCTAAAATATTTGTCTGTAGTAGGAAATATAGTGCTTGCATCAAAAAATTGTCCCAAATGTCCGACTTATTGTTGGGAGATACTCCAAATGATGACATACATGAAATACACCCCGGATCCTAAACTACAGACTTGTATTATCTCGTTATTGGCTTCGGTAATATTAGCATTGCCATCTTCTATATTGAAAACTGACTTTTTCGATATCATGATGGATTTTAGAGCTTGGCTCGCCGAGTGTCTCACTAGCGTCGACTTGACTATGAAATTGGGCGGTCCAAAGTCTGAAGCAACCCTGTTTGCTGGACATGTTCTATTTTTATTAGAAAAAATTTTAGGGAACAGAAATGAATGAACAAATCCTAAATAAAAATAAATGGATTTTGATGTAAAAAGATGTTTGACATTATTCATGATGCGTTAATTTAGCGCGCTGTGTTCTATTGACTCTTCAAGTGGAGTTTTTATTGGTGACTTGTTTACAGCATGTCTGTACGGCAACGACTTTGTTTTCTTCCACAATAAAAAATATATCAACCTGCGCGCAACCAAAATATTATAAGGACGTGAGGCTATGAGTTTACGGATGTTGAAAGTGTAAGCAAATATAAATAAATTTGTAATTGTATTCTTATGTTTTATTACCTTGTAATTTAAAACAATGTTCTGAATAAAACTTATATAATAAATTCTCTATTTCGTTACTGTAACGTTTGTTGGGACGTCGATTTTAATCTTATTTATAAATTAACTCATCTATTGAAGAAATATAAATCTATGATATATTAGATATACGATGGCATAGCATACCTTACAGGTTGTATGCCATACTATATAGTAAAATAATCGACACTTACAAACCTTTCGGTAACGAAGCATTTTTCATTACAAACCCTTCCATTACCACATATAGGTAAGTTTTACAGTCACATGTATTTTTAATTAAAATCAACATTTAACATATCTTCCAAACATTTCCCATGTACAATAACTGTAATTCCAAACAGGTTTACAATCAACCAACTTACTCCAGCCCATCGCACCGACTTCCCAACAACAGACACCGGCGTCGACAGCGAACAACACGAAAACGACAACAAAACTGGGCGCAACATGGGCAGATACCACGGGTGCTATCAATATAGATGTAGATAATCTACTAGCCCCTAGATCGCCTAAAGCGGGCCCAGCGCCGACTATAAACCAGCTCAAATCTAGCCCGAACAGTCCAGCTCACAAGCCCAACCAAATACCCACTGCTGGAATGCCCAACATGATGATGAGTAGCTTCCCGTACATGCAAGCTCCAATGAACAATAACTTTATCGCGCCCACAGCTGGACAAATGCCCAGTGGACAATTGAACAATAATATGGCGCGACCACAATTCGAGAATCATAATTTCCTACAATGATATTGGTTACTGGCAGACATATGCCAGAACGGTTAAGTTTGTGCTTAGGTTTCGGAGCATCGAAGTATTTGTTTATTCGATATAAATAATCCATAAAATATCACTATGTTAGTGATTATATTCATAAATAAAAATTAATTACATTGTCTTTATTATTATAAATTTAATATTGATACTTAATTACTTTTATTACATATAAATAGTACCTGTTACTATAAAAGACACTGCATTCAAGAATAATATATGTAGTTATGTACGGAAATGCCTAAATCCCTTTATGCCATTCGCATAGAATCGCATTCCATGCGCATAGAATCCGTATCGCCGTTGGATAATCACTGATTCTAATGTCTAGTGTAGTGGAGAGGATTTGCCTATCAAAATTGAGGAATGGCCTGACTTAACAGTATTTTTTTTATAATATGGCTTTCCTGAATTTATATTTTGTAATATATATTTTAATATCCAAACATGCAAGAAATAATAAGATTGAGCTGGAAATTCAATATAATAATAATAATAAAGTAACAACAACAAATAAATCGTTTGAATCTTCGATGCTCTGAAATATTAACAATAAGTGTAATCTACAAGTGGGTTTCGTTGTAAATTAGGTAAATGAGAGTTTTATACGATTTTGATATTAAAACCCGTACGTTTTAAGTTCAATTTCGGTCGAAACCCGCTGTTTTCAGTGGTGCATATCAAATTATATCGCATGATATTATTTTACAAAATTTATTGTTCTCAAGTGTTAAAGCTCGGTTGTATGTTTACCATGAGACAACTGAAAAATATAATATACACTTTTTTTATCCATTTCTTCACGTTTATTAAAAAAATATTTAAATATATAGTGGCAATTATTTTTCTATATATTCTTTGACACAACAAATTCCATTATTATCTTTTATAGTCTGTAATAAATGGTTAAAATCAGCTTATATATTTTCGATTTACAGTTTCAGGTATAGAAATTTCATTTAAAGACAATACACTTATATACATATGTATAATATGTTATCACATCATGGTAAATATACACATTCTTGAACAAAGTAAACAAATCTTACTTTCCGAATCTTTATAAAACATTAACATTTGGAACCCAGTTTTTTTTTTTCAAATGTTAACATTATTATTAAAATATATTTCATTGCTCAAGTTAAGTACCAAATAAGAGTTTACATATTCAATGAATATTAAAACTTTGCAAAAGAATTACATATTTAACATAAATAAAAAAAAGTACATCTTAAATGACATTTGGGAAATGAATTGTTTGCTTTTGATATGAAACTTGTAACATTGAGTTCAGTAATAATCTCTTGTCAATATCAACTTTATTGCGCAAAAGTCGCAGCCAGATAATTTCCGTTGCCATGTTTTATATATATATATATATGAAATGCTTAAGATGCAATAAACAAAGATAATGTTAACATTCTTTTTTTTTTATTAAACCTCTTTATAAATGTAAAAAAAAAAAAGAAATTAGATGACACAATAAAGTATTGTATATTCTAATGTTATCGAAGGAACTACAACCTTAAATTTAACGTAACAAAACTTATATTCGGCTATCATTCCATACAAGTGCCAGTTGTACAATTGTCATAAATATTTATGAACTAAATAAAGGTGCTTGTTTCCATTTACTTAATCCATAATAAACCATTGTCATTGCAATGCCTCGATCTGTATTTTTTTCTAGTTGTTTAGTATTTTTAATCGACGAAAAAGAAAGTCTACTTCTATTTTTTTTTTTTTTATAATTATGATGTATACGAACAACATTTAATAAAAATGAAATAAGTATCAAACCAATATAAACGTTGCCCCTTATTTGGCATACTACTTTAGAAAAATAAAAACCTTTAAAAACAAGTTCATCTCTAGTTTAAAATTACTCATGTGCATTTCTAAATCAAATATATTTTACAAAAAGATGATTAGGCTTGACAAATTCTATTTAAATTATTAATTTTTGAAATAAATAAGTTTTATTGAATATACTATTTACAAGGGTCACGTTTCTGAAAACTAATATTCAATTTGGTGCAATTTGTAGGGGATCTGATTTTACTTCTTCATTTTATATTAAATGTTTTATTAATGAATGTATTATAATTTCAGTTTGGCTACCGTTTGCTCTATTTTGTATATGAAATCTTCTGTTATTTAATACCTCAAATTACTAGATGTGCCCATGTTATTTTACATATTTATGTCTTAAAAAATTATTTTGATGCAATTACTTTTTAATGTAAGAACACTTGTTTTAATTTATGTGTATTTAAGTCGATCATGCTGGACTAGTTTCGATTTAATATTTAACAATAGAATTGATGCAAATAGTATAAGTGTCCGTTTATTACGATAGTACTTATCGTCATATGTTAATGCATAGACAATGTTAAATTGAGATTCTTTATAAATTATTATTGTTTATGTTCCTAATGTCGATAAAGTACTAATTACATGTACCTTCATGCAGGTTGTAGTATTGTTCTTTGGTGTTAGAACGAGTATAGAGTATTTTTTATACCCGCTTTGACTTATCGTACTGTAGTGTCAAAATTAGTGTACCTACATTGTTATCGTGTTACGTTAGATAATATAGTAGGCTATTGAAAATTGTATATAAATATACTAAACGTTTGTACGCTGATGTTGCAACCAAGATTACTCTATGTAAATTCAATAATTCTTCAAAAATATACATTACGAGTTAAGAATAAAGAATAAATTTAAATTGACTACTGTTCTAATGATAATGAAAGTTTGTAAAGATAATTGAATGATTTGAATTTACTATCACGTAACGAATGAATGGGTTTCAATTAAATTTGATATACAGATGTATGGTATCCTGAATAAAATATTGGATACTTTTTAGTCACGCGGACAAAACCGATATAAGTGTGTAATATATCGATTAAAATATTATCCTATATGTTAATTGAGGTTAAATTCTATCTATCAACTTACTTTCAAATTCCTTCAATTGTTTAAGCGTGATAAAATAACAAACATTCATGTTTACTTTTGAACTTTGACTACGTAAGAATCTGTGAGATCAGACCAGACATACTAATAAAAATTTGTTTAAAACAAAGATAAATTTTAAAAGACTATGGTATTATAAAGTCATGCCTTTTTTGTAATCTTTTGTCAAAAATTTAAATTATTTATTACTATTATTTTGGCTGAATTTGGTACATTTTACTACTTTCCACTTTATGACTGTACTGTCTGAATTAGTTCAGTCTGGTCTATAATATTAATAATCATTTAACACTTTATTGAGTTTAAGATAGAGTAACGACCTTATAAAAATGGTTGAACGTTGTAAAATAGTTTGAAGGTATTATGAACGAGTCCATGTACACTTGCTAGATTATCCAATTTATTGTATACTTATTTCTCAAATTATTTTGTTTGATTATTTGTCTATATCTTATTAAATATCTCCATTCCTATTATATTCACTTTCTATTCAGTATGATTTGTATTAAAAAATATTTATTAATATAAATATTACAGAGGTAAATAGTTTAGTGAATGTACATCTTAAAAATAGCATTTCGTAATATAAATGTCGATTTATTGTTTTTAAGTGCATTTTAATTGAAAATATCAAAGGAAAAATTAATTTTATTTTTCTATCGATAGACACACTATTCTTTCCTAAGAGTATATTACGCAGTAGGCAAGATTTATAAGACAATCTCTGGTCTTTTTTAATTATTTTTTACTTCATTCTACTACATTTTACACGTGTTGTTTGTTGCACTACATTTCTTTTTTTTTTGTGAAATAAGAGGATAAAAATAAAGTTGACTAATGAGTGAAATTTAATTTAATAATGTGCGTAACATCTTCAGCCTTCAAAGTTTCAATGTCATAAATTTTGCCTATTATGTTTTTCAATAAAATAAACATCTGTCGAATTTTGTATTTGTTCGGTTATACAAGTTTTATAAAATTTCTTACGTGTTAAAAAATAACAGATGCATTTAAATCATTCCTTTCGGTTTTGTTGGTCAGTGGGTAAGTACTTAATGTTGTGGATACGGCAGCTAGAATTGTTTGAATACAGAAGAATTATTATATAACAAAAAATATTATTCTTAAAATCCACATTAGTAGAAAGTATTATAATGGTCCTCTGTTAAATTCAAAATAATAAATAAGATCACGATTTTAATAGAGTATAACAATTTTTAATGAATTCATTCATTACTGTATATAACTTTTAGCTTTATTTTTAACTTTGCGTTGGTGAATTATTAATTCGTAACACTAATAGTTAAAGCAGGATAGTATAAATCAACTGCATCTATAAACCTTTAGTAACATTTCTAATATTTTTTTGCTATAAATAATGCCTTCTGTATTTAACATAAATGTATTAAGATTTAAATTATTTTATTATAATGATTATAAAATTTTAATGTAAGAGTCACATGCGACGCGTTTGGGACAAATATCAAGTAATGATCGGGACCAAAGCTCAGAGTAACAAATTATTTTCTTGGCAGGCAGTAGGGCGTACAGGGGACGTGTCGTGTGTGATTTAAGTGCTATGGAGGTGCAAATCGTGTATTTTTATTTTAATGTGAACGAAGCAGTCATAGATTAAATCTGGGTTACTCGTAATGACTGTAAACAATAAAACTTTTTTATGTAATACTTTTGGCTAACAATATTTGACATAAAGTATTAATATTGTTTATAATAGATAATAACCCTTAAATCAATGACGTGCTTTTATCTTTTTCTGTTGTATACTGATGTTGAAGAATAAAAATACTTACTTTTCATTTGTATACGCACCTTAAATTTAAACAAAACATTTTGCAATGCTTTTTTTAGTCTATGGCTGCAAGCGCGCTATTTCAATGTTATAATGTACATATAATTTGTATTTTATATAGTTCTTCCATTTATTTCGTCATAATCGAGATTCAGAGCAATAATTGTGGTTTAAATTTATTTGTAGTTAAACATAGAGATGATTTTATTAGTTTTATCATTTAAATGTATATTGCAGTTACGATTGTATCCGCACAATTTTGTTATATAAAAACCTCTATTTAATATTCGAAGTATAATTATTAATTTAATTATTAGTTTGCTATGTGTGTAGTACCAAAATTCTAACGAAAATGACTCAGTGCTAATTTGACAACACTATTCATACCATCTCTTCCCAATTTCGTATCGAATATAGCATTATTAGTGTTGTCTAAAAGAACTGAATCGTAATATAATATTCTACATATATAATTATAGAAATTGTTAATACTATGATTTTAGATAGTATTGGATATGGTTCGACGATGTTTCGGATCGGTTTTGAGTTACGTCGAGGACATGATGTAATAAACATAATTATGACAATAGTTGTTTTCTTTTACATATTTCTTCATAAGATCCTTGGAATATAGTTAAGGCAGTATCAGGAGGCGAAATCAAACTCGTGAATTTAATTAAAGCCATTAATTTATTCGTGGAAAATTGAGCGCGTATAAATCTAAGCCTAAACAGAAATCTTAAAATTAATTTACAGGCTAAATTAAAAAAAAAAAGCATTTCATAAAATTATTCATTGTCATTGTTTTCATAGTTAAAATTACCTAATACTGTAAATTATTTTAACAAAATAAATTAATTTTCGCATGTTCATTTCACAACTTGGGACAATTCAGTCTTAATTAAATAAATATGGAATTTATAAATTTAAAATACTGGAATGAAACAAGTAAGATATACACATTATTATAGATCAGATATAATGATATAATTGCTTTTATATAAATAATTATTGTTAAAATTGAGAATATAAAATTGACATTAGTAGAACCTCAAATAATAGAATTTGAATTAACAATCGATTGCAATCTTTCGACGGATAGATAAAAAAATAGGACAGTACAAAATTGATTAACATTATTAAAAATAAAAGTATGATTTTCGTTGTATTTAGTTAAATTCACTGTTCATGCATGGAACATCCAAAGTGACTCATATATTTTAATAATATATGGACATAACAAATAAAGCAATATTTACTGTATCATAACGAAACACAAAACAGTTTTGTTACATAAATTCTGATAGAATAAAATAAAACTATACTCATTAGCTTTATTTTTGCATTTAAATAAAATAAATGGCAGTGAAAACGTTACAAACTAATAACACGCTACTAACGGTGAGTTTGAGATATTTTCTAATGCTATGTGATTTTATATTGTTTCAAATATATTAAAATTAGAAAATAACCGAACAATGATATTTCAATAAATATATAGTATTTATAGTAAAATATTGGATATAACATAATTATAATAAAAAGGCAGTGATATGTAACTTGTATTTATGAAAAAATAAAATTAATTTAAATTGAGAATAATTAAAAGAATACATTGATTACGTATTTATTAAAATACCACTATTTCACTGCAAAATCCTATACTCACTCCTAGAACAGTCGACCACAAAAGGTTAAGCCATTGCTTTTCGCATAACACTTTTGTTGGCGACTGTATATTATTTAATTGTGTCTATCTAAGCTATTTTACTACTACAACCATTTCACAATCCGTCTTATTGTCCTCTCAATCAATAATGCATGCTATGCTTGTCTTATTAAGACTAAAAGCGGTACCGACTTAAATATACCAATAGTATGAATACATTGGTAAAACTTCCAATTTTGTTACTGCATTAGAATTTGTACAGACTTATTTAATTTGTATATTCCATTGTCACAATAAAATATGGTTCATATATCGTTTTTCTCATTAAACAATTATAGTAATTAACATTATAAAAAAAAGAACCTTGCGACTAAATCCAAAAAACAAGATTACTTTCGATGGAATTATCTGTATTGTTTCATTCAATTGCATTTCAACTAACGATTCCCTAACGTGCAGTTTAAAATACAATACATAATAGAGATTCTAATTAAATCGACTGCAAACGACATTCTTACAATTTGCTTTTATTATAAAAATTTATCGAAATAGTGTAAAAAGTGTATTTCTTGGCGAAGATAATTAGACACCACTAATGCTTGATTTTGATCAAAACTTTTCATTATAATTCCGATATATACTTATTTTTAAGACTTTCCATGAATAATCAGTACAGTTAATTAAACTTAATTTTCAAAATGTAAGGCACTTCGATAGAAAATAATGAGATTCACTTAAAATATTTTGATAAAAATAATTTGATTATAGAATCACTGAATGCCAGTATAAATCATTTAAACATCGAATATACACATGTTTAATCATAAAAAATAAACCATAATTTACTATGGAAACGCAGTGTGCGTGTTTCTTATGAATAACAGCCATTTTTATTAATCACAAAAAAATACTTAGTCACTACTTTTTTCATTTTTATAGTCTGCTTCAGTAGAAATTAATGAAAAAGTAACGAAGTTTTGTTAAAATTATCACAGGAACACTATATATTGATTTTACAATCAAATTTTACTTGTAATTCTAGACATCAGCAGACTGTTTTATAGTCGAGTTATTATAATTGTTTGTTTACATTTTCATTGAACTCTATTGCAGCAAAGCATAAATACATGATAATCTACATCAAGTTAATATTGACTATCTTTTGAACTCGACTCTACCAAATAAGTCGAAAACGATACCCATATCGATAAAGGGGGGAAAAGATTCATAATTGACGTACTCCCTCGCTGCCAGTAGAAGTGACGTCGCATACAATCTGACAACTCATAGATGACATGGACAAATATCAGTAACATAGTACATACAACATACATAACGCAATGTTATTACTGAAGTGACGTCGCATACAATCTGACAACTCATAGATGACATGGACAAATATCCAGCTACGCATAAATAGTAACCGTTAGAATTTACCTCACAGACTAAAATATTGACATATTAAAATGAAAAATACTTGGTTCTCTTTAACAAATTTAGTGCATAATTCAGATATTAATTCAAGTTCCACTAGGTGCAGTAAGTTTGCAGAAAGTAAAATATTTTCTATTTATATCCTCTCCGAGACAAATGAAAAATCAATCTTGTTACCGATATATGAAATAAGACTAAAGTACTGTTTTTTTTTTTTCAATAACGTGCAATGTATATTAGTATCTTTATAAATAAATTCTAAAATCTCGAGTAGATAGTCGCTAAGATAGCAATCTGCGAGGGTTTTTAAGTGCGAGGGTTATTAAGTGCAACTGGCACCCAGTTTTCTATTTACAATATCACAACTAAAACTTAAAAAGCGACTTTTGTCAGATATTGGGATTCAATGTCGATTATATAAAGGAAATTGCTATCAAAATAATATCGTCACTATCGATCATAATAAGACTTTCCTTCTATATAGTTTACAACAAAAATTAATTTTAAATGATTAGATACATCTAAAATGGATTTTTTTTAGATTTTTTAGACAACTGGCCACACTGTCTAATGAATCTATCAATAGATACGTCGTTGTCGCTTTCATGAAATAGAATGGAAGAGCAACATCCGGTGTCTTGTTTTTTGTTTTTATATTTGTAGATCAAAGAAAACCGTACCTATAGATTCGTTTGTCATTTGTATAGAGCGGTTGATTTGTAATTTATTGGCAATTTTATTCATACAATCAACACTGGTCCGAAATAACAGCCACCAGAAGTCACTCCAACTTAAAATCTAATTAAAATTATCGATAATGTATTAAAAAAATATAATTGAAATTATTGGTATAATTGTATTATTTAATTATTAAAATTAATATCAATTTAATATCGTATTGGCTGTGTTTAAAGCGAATGAATGTTGCCATAAAAATAATTACATTTCATAAAATTTCATTATCATTTCTAACCTTAATTACTATACTATTGAGATTATTTACGTATACAATAAAAGACAACACGAAAAATTACTGAGATAAAAAAATATTTCCATCTAAATGAATTATTTGACTATAACTAAAAAAAAAACTATCATAATTATTTCACATTTTAGTAAGGTATTTAAAATGACTACAGTTTGTAGTATATGTGTCGTAAATATATTTAAGAGTGGAAAAAGTGTTTGACTTTACAACATTATTCAAAAGTTCTAATACCGTGTGAAAAACTACGTCTCCTTACTAGGGACCGTAGCATAACGATCTCTGATAAAATTTTGTGAAATTTCATTATTATCTTTTAGCATAATAATATTAAAATTAATTCAATATTTATGCAAGAATGAAATGCAAAATGTATACAATTTTATGACAGGATATTGAGATCTTATTAACAATTAATTAAAAAAAAAATTGAGGTAAAATTTTCGATACATGATGCTGAATGGTTATCTTATGTATTTATAACAAATCTGTCAATACAAATCTAAAATAACTATTGAATAGATTTTGAAATAATGTTTACAATAAAATTATAACAATGAAATGCTACAAAATGTTATAAGAAACCGTAACGCTGCGAATTCTTAGCTTAGCGGCTTCTTAAAATAATAATAGGCCCTTATAATTACCTATTTAAGACACTTCAAATTCACGTACTCATTAAAGCTACGTTGAGTTGTGAGAGATCTGATGTGAACGTGCGATATATTTGGAATAGTATACTTAAACCTCTTTCAGAGTGTACATGATGCTGTCTTCGAAGCTTGCCGCGACTGTGTAGTTCTTTATCGTCAGGTATTGGGTAGTTAGGTTGCGGGCGGCCACGTCCGTAGAACGGAACTCGATCACCTGCAAAGTATTAGCGCTTTATGACAAATGTTCTTACATCTTGGTGTAAATGTATACTATATTTGATATCGGTAGAAACTTTTCAACCGATTTCAAAAATAAGGTTTTCAATTTAGTTGTATTTTTTGTTTGTTATCTGATAACTTCGTCAGTTGTAAACCGATTCGGAAAATTATTTTTTTTTTCTCTGAAAGGATATGCTTATAGATTGATCCTATGGAAATTTTATCAAAATCGGTTCAGTAACAGTGGTTTTTTTAATGGTTTTGCCGCAATTGGATTAACTTTTTTTTGTGGACCATAATTATTATTGAATAGAGAGTGTGTCCCAAACAAAAATTGCTCTTGCCTTATCACTTGGTGCCCTTAAGATGTGTTTATTTTTTTCTGCCGTCAAGAGTGCCATTAACAATTTGCCCAGGGACATCAAGTAGGCCGAGGTCCATGCAGCTTATTTGTCGTAAAAAAATAAGAAAAAGAGTAAAGCAGTATGCAGTACCTGCAGACGAAGGTCCGGCGTGCCGAAGGGCACATGGCGGAGAGCTAGTGGCACGGTAGCCCCGTCCAACACGACGTACGTGGCGTGGGTGGCATCCGCGGCTAGCAGCATCGTGTATAGCGGCAGGCACAGCACACGCGAGCTGAATGCCGCCTCTGGACTCTCCGATTCGTGGTATGTTACCTGATGGGGTTAAACAGATTATTGATGGTATTTTGTTATTTGATGGTTGCTTGTTTGTAGGTATGGCAAGTCTTACCTGTTTTCTGTGATGGTATTTAGTCTAAAGAGTGAGTTAGATGTACAATCAATGACAAAAGCCTTTAAGGTAAATTAGTCAATGCCATCTTTGACAAAAAAGCTTGTGGCGTATTACTGGCCATCACAATACGCCTTTTATATTACTGGCCATCATATTCCGTCTTTCATATTTTTATATTTCTATTGTTCTTATGTTTTTAGAATTCTGTCATTATTAGTCTTTGTTTTCCTATCGATGAAGACGTGATAAAAGAGAACTATAATATTAAGCATTTTTATTATTAACCCGTTTCTCTTAAAGCTGAAACATTACAGTTCTGGAAAGTGGCAATATATGAAGAATATTGTAGACAATATAATAGTAGTATAAGGTACCGTTTAAGGTGATAATTTTAAGACAGTGACTGTAACAGTGTCAGCTTATTAGCCACTCACATGATATTTTGAAACATTCTTCATGCACATAAAAGTGAATATTTATGTTTAAAGTAAGTTATGGTAATTATGGTACAGAATATATTAGAACAAAAATAAGATAACTTACAAAAACTAAGTGCTTTTAAATAGCCATAAACATAAGTTTTTTTTTTATTATTATTATTCTATGATTATAATAATGTCTAAATTAAATTTGTATCCTTATTTAAGGAATAAATTAGATTGCATGCCTACAATTTTAAGGCAATTAAACAGATGCCAAAAAGTTTTGTTACATGGCCCTTATAATGTCAAATGTCTGTTTAAAGCAAATAAATATTCATATATTTCATTTCATTTCATAAGATGAATATATAAATGTTTTCCTAAATCTCTGATAGAGTTGTCATAAAAGAAATAAAAGGAGACGATGTCATACCTCTCTGGGATGCGGCGTGGGGCTGAGGCAAGCGTGCAGCGTGGCGAGAGCGCGACCCCGCAGCGCGAGGTAGGCTCGAGCCGCGGCGCGGGCTGCCAGTCCTGACCAACCGCGGGCCGCACCAAGGTATAATGTGCCAGGGTCACGCGGGCCGGATTCTAATACTTCCACGAACGTGCCGTTGTACTGTAAGGCAAGAGGATTTAACAACATAGTATCAGTGCAGACGAGATGACCGCGAATATCAGTTTCTGCTGCTAAGCATTGAGCACTTATAATTCAATTTACAAATCGCATATGCAAATAACAAATAAACCCACATATTGACCATGACATGATGAGGTCTAACATATTACAATAAGAAACAATGCCAATGCCTACATGAGAATCTCAGTATTATTTTAGTGATAACATTTTTAGTCAATACAGATCTCTATCTACTTCAGTTGTTCGCAGTTCTTCACAAACTCTTTATATTAAAAAACTGAGAGAAAATACTAGTTACTTAAAACCTGCCTTTAATTGTATTCTATTTATTATCGCTTACTAGTCACAGATAAAAGTGTAGACGGAGTTACACATTGCAAGAGTTATTGCAGCTACAGTTTGCAACTTACAATCTCTCCATACAACTGATCCAGTACTTTAACGGATCTTGTAGGGGTGTGTTGCTGTGGCTGGTGATGTGAGACCCGTGGCGCGAGGTGTAGCTGTCGCACGTACGCGACCAGGGCTGGTGACTCTTGAGGGATGCGAGCCAACTCGTAGTCACGTGACATGTTCACACGGAATTGTTGGGCGCCCATTGCTAACAACAACGTTATTATTAGCTGGTGATTTGTGTCAGAAATTAATAAAAATATTAGTTAAACACGGTAAAAAATTGATTGATCAACAAGCAATAAAATGTTCGGACTAGAATAGGAATGGCGATCCGAAAGGCGACACGAAGAAATATTTCGGGTACGAAATAAAAACAAAAAGAGTTTTTTAAAAGTTAATTGCATCTAGTTCAATTTTCGTTCATTATTTTTTTTTATAACAACACATGCAGGAATAAATGTTCACCATTCTTGATCCAGATGCACAAAAGTTCTCTATACAATTAGAAAAGAATTTCATGATATTATCACGGTAATGGAAGGTGTTTAGATCGTATTACCAATACAATAGCTTGTTTGTATCTGAGAATCATAAAAAATTTATAGTGGTAGGATATTTTTTTTATGGGTGAGAATGGTAACACCTCCTGCTCTATACACTAATGGGGCACCAGAAAGACATTATACGTAATGATGTAAGTAGGCCAGTTAGTACACCGTGACAAATTCCACAAGAATTTACCATGATGGCTTCCCGTAGAAACCGCATGGAGGTCGACTTTAAGTATATAGTAGTAGAATATTGACCCCGTCTAACATACCATAAACAGGAATAATTATACATTATAAAATGTACTTCAAAATATCTTACCGACATTATCCATATATATCAGCAACATAGTCATCACAGTAACAAAAGTCAGCACAAACAAAACTGCAGGCAGTAGTCTCCTATATAGATCATTTGGTGATGTTTTGGTGAATGTTGGCACCGTCATCCTTGGTGAAATTGCTGTAGGAGGCGAAGATGGCAGAACAACTGTTGTAGTTTTGTCTGGTGTAGTTTTCATGGGTACTTCTTTTGGTTTATCTATTTGGTTTGTTTGTTCTGTAGGCTGCTCTTCAGGCAGGGGATTTTCTTGAATTTTCTATAACATTATGAAAGAAGAATTGATAGAGATATTAATCTTTGTTATAAGAAATTAAATAAAGAAACAATACTGGTTTTGGATTAAAATAAAATGAAAGTACAATTTGTAAAACATCTTGGTTTACAAGGTGATCAATATTAAATGGGTTTCAAAATGTATCAGAGGATGAGTCTTTAATTAGATTCTATTTCAGAACCATTTTTAATTTATATAAATGTATTTAATGATCTTTAAAGAATAAATAAGAAAGGTATAAGTGTTGTGAAATCAATTCTAAATACTTTTTGTATTAAGTATATGGATGCTTGCATCTCATTCTTGCTTTTATTTTACATAGTTATATATTTAGAATAAAGACAAAATCTATTACAAAAAGGCATGTTATTATAATAAATAACATTATATTGAAAGTCATATGTGATTGTTTAATATTATTTATTTAGTAATGGTATTGCCAAATAATATAGGGAATATAAAAACTAACCGTTTTCAACTATTTATTTTGATTTTAACCTTATTTTACCATTCATGATCATGGTTACAGTTACAGACAATTATTTTGCTTGTTAGAATTCTCTATAAGTAGTTAATGGTCTAGAAAAATTATAATGTCTCAAAAAGTATAATGTTTAATATAGGTACACCTTATATTAATCATAGGTATTTCACAAATATACATGTTATGGTATACATTGCACACTTGTATAAACACATAACTTTGTAATTAGTTAAATGTCGGAGACATAAAGCATACTGAAATAGTGAATCATCAATGTACTAAAAGTAGAACTGAACAAACACTAAATACCTTTCAGTCATAATGTTATTTGATTTTAAATATATATATATATATATATATATATATATATATATATATATATATATATATATATATATATATATATATATATATATATATATATATATATATATATATATATTTAAATAATAATAAATAATATGCAACTTAGAATGGCAAACAAGTTGACGGCCCAGTTGATGGAAAATGGTAACCATTATACTGTTTCTTCCATGATACCTCCCATGTGTTGCCATTCCTGAGGACTCAGGTGTTATTCCTCTGTACCCTGATATATAAGAACATTAATACTGATGCCGTAATATAGAATCATAATAGAGATCATATAGGTATACTTAATACAGAAATTATTAAATTTTAAGAAAAATTGGTAATTGAACAACTGTTTTTATGTACCAATAGGGAAGCAAGTATTTATTACTATCAATCCTCATCAGCAACTTCATTTGCACTGTTTATTCACCTTTCTTTAATTTCTTAGCAAATTTTTTCAGCTCTACCTTTCCTATGTTTATGAAAGCTCACATATGGTAAGCCCCATGCTTCTATATAAACCTCCCTGAAAACTATGATAATATCAGGGTGAATTTATCAGGATAGGCCAACTGAACTGATCCTCATCTATCATTCCTCACTGGTACCATGCCAATATATACAAATAGCATAGTACCCATTCAATTTCAATAGATTTAAAAAAGAAAGAAGTTCTAAACTACCCCTAACGGTATCCATTGACTAAGTTCTATATTTTTATATATTTGTTACCTCATAACTCCATCAATTCTAAACCAATTTGAAAAATTCTTTCATAGAGATATATTTATAGATTGGTTCTATAGAAATTTTATCAAAATCAGTCAGAAGTTCAGTTTTAAAATTGAAAATAAATGGTTTGGACACACCTGAAGTTAGATTTTTTTGAGAACATAATCATGGTCAGTGATACTTAATTATAATGTCATAAAAAGAGCCCCATCCCCCATTAAGATCATAGAAAATAAATTTCATATTACCTCTAACTAAAAACGAATTATATTATGAAAACATAAAATTTTCCAGTAATTCACCAGTAATGGTTTTACGCAAAATTTTTATATTTTTTACATGCACTCACAATTTACCTTTTTATGTCAAAGATAATGAAATAAGAAAAAAAAACATACTTAGACAAACTAAAATAAGAATGACTTGATGAAAGCCTACAATATTTCGGGAAGACAGACAGGTGCGTATTTTTTACTAGGTACCTATGTAAACTTTTTTTCAATATTCTGACACGTGTTTGGACTGTAATATGTCTTAGAATACTAAAAAAGCATTACCTTCTCAGCCATATTAATAATATTCACTTTAAAAACACGAAACACAGACACTATTTCGATTAAAAAATATGTAAAATCAACGTGATTACTTCACGTTATATTCAGAATTCACAAGTAAGACATTATTGTATAATAAAAATATAGGCACTGTATACTTATTTTGAATTAATTTTTAGTAATAGATTAATTAATTATTAAGTTACTTAAAAATATAAACATGAAAATTAATAAAATAATGGTGAGTCAGTTTAGTAAACTTCAAAGAATGAATGAATGAGTACCCGACTTAATAGAAGCGAATGAGTGATGGTGTCTGAATGAAAAAGAACTGTGGTACCTGCGGTGTGCGTCCAATATTCGTTTCATTTAGCTCATTTTGTTACGACCACTGCAACAATACAATTTCTACCATTTCTATTATTTTCTACATTCTTAACTATAATGCTAATTTAAATTATAATTTAAGATGTTTATTATATATTTTGTCATAACAGCATTGAAAAACATGGAGTTCTGAACAGAGCACGTCGGTACTTTACACCGAAACGGACTCTTCTGCTATATAAAGCACAAGTAAGGTCATGTGCGAAGTACTGTTCGCATCTCTAAGATGTCTTTGCTCAAAACCTCTTATACGCTATTGATATTCTGCAAAGAAGAGTTGCTCGTATAGTAGGAGATATCTAAGCAAAACTTTAGAATCTCTACAATTATGTAGTAATTGTAGAGTTTCTAAAGTACCTATTATTATAATAAGTATCTTGTATTCTGAGTATCTTCTACTACTTGTTTCATGGAGAGTTCTCAAGAGAACTTCAATCCCTCATTCTACATTCCGTTTTCCGATATCATATTACGAGAATGGACCGGTAACTACATCCATATACAGTACGCAAGTAGCACAAATAAGTTTGTCAACTCTTACGTGAACAGTACTGTAACAATGTGAAATGGCCTCTACCGTGAAGTATTTTCTTCATCCTTATCCCTCATACCTTATACCTCAAATCCTTCAAACGTAGAATGAAAAAGTGAGACGGCGTAGTGCGGCCAACCGTTGAGAATGGAACGCTATCTTTTTGATTGTCCGTGTTTATAAATCATGTTGTATCTGTGTTCGCACAGAGTGGTGGGAACACATGTCGTGCTATTATAAAAAAAAATGCATACACTGATATGTTACAAAGGGAAAAGTCTCATCTTACTTTATCTAACAAAAAAGAATTGAAAAATTGGATAATAAACATAATGACTACTGTAGAAATAGACTGTAGTGTCTGATAGGTAGCAACTAACTATTAGGGTCAAATACCTCATTACTAATAATTTCTTTCTCTTCAATCAAAAGTATTTATATCAGTTACAGTCAACGCTATATTTAATGCACCAAATATTGCAAGGCATTTTCGAATCGAATGTGGCAAGAAGTAAGCTATTGTCATAACTTAGATTAATTTAATTTGTTAATGGTGTTCTTCCTCGCTGGAGAGTTAGATGAAAACTTAAATATTGTTATTCCTAATTTTAAATAAACATTATACAAACAGCGGTATAAAGGCAAACGGTGGTATAAAATTTTAACAAACATTGACTTCATTTCTAACTCGAATCACTTTATATTAGTTGAACAACAATTTATTGATAATTTTATCAATCCAAGAGATAACACGAAATCCTGTTTGATTTCATGACACATTCGCAGCAATTCTTGTAAATCTCAAATTAATTCAAATTTCGAATTTGAATATTAGCTAAAAATAATTCTTGTTTATTTATTTATTCTTTATAGCACAATAAAACTTTGTACAACTGGCGAGCAACTTGTTTATTGGTATATCAAAAAATAGGTTACCAGCTAGGGTCCTGTATGTACTTTTTCTATGCCAAAATATAAAAACACACCATTGTAATTCATAACGCACATAATACTGTGATTAAAACTCGCCAAACACAAAGGAGATTTCTATCCGCAGTTAGTTACTCACGCAGATCTCAGTGAAAGGTTAAGGTGAAAGGATATCATAAAAAGACAATAAAATAATAATTATAAGGAAAGGTCTTTATTGTCAAAGAGATTATAAATTACATAAAAATAACAGCAATATATTGTTGAAACTGATGATATTGTTGCTGTTACTACAAAATTAAGTTTAATAGGTATATACAATGTAGATACATATAAAAAGCATTAAATTTCTATCCAATATAGTTAATAGGACTAAAGATGAAAAATTTGTGCAACATGATAATTATATTGTGTAAGTTTAATTACATTTTTATTTAGAGTAATTATAAATAAAAATTCGGTGATGGTTAGTTAAATACTCGTATTGATTTTTATTCATCAGGGATACACAAGAATGAATATAATAATTGGTCTATTGTGTTTATTTAACGAATATAAAACAATTTCTATTTGTGCTAAACCCATTACAAAAAGTAATTCATAACATTCAAATAGTAATTCTATTATTCTAGCTGTTCTCACAAACGAAAGTATTAGTATATAAAAAACAATAAAAAATGTATATACATGTACAAACTTTAACATGTATAAGTAATTATGGTAAATTAAAACTAGGCCGTCTCTTCCATTTGGTTTCGTATTCAAAAGCAGTATTGTAGGAAACAAAAGTATAAAATTTTTAATTTCATAATATTTAAAAAGTATTTTACATAATTTTAAATACATTCAATGCACACAACTACATCTGAATAATTATTGTCATACTATACATGTTGACAATTAAAGTACAAGCGATAAATGAAATAACTTTTAATGTAGAAGTTAATATTTAACAAAAGAAAAATAATACACAAGTATTAGGAAATACAATGGACGGCCACAAATATATAATAATAATAATACTTAGTTGTATAAATCATTTCACACGATACACAGTCAACAGTTTAAACAGTTTATTGTAAAACTATACGCGCGATTTTAAAATGTATGCTTATTTTGCTTACATGTTTGTAACTAGGTATTTTTATTTTTTAAAGTTATTTGACATGTTCTGATACTTGATTAGATATGATTTCAGTTGTTTGATATTGCTTTAAATACGAATAACACTAGATATTATAATTTGGTAATAATATAATATATATGTTTAATGCCATTTTAATTATTTAACAGAAAATTCACGACAATATTGGTATTGAGTGTTTTTTTTTTATAAAATTTTATAGCGATTTGCTATAAAAGTATAACTGGTATTTATTGTTTCTTTTTTTATTTGAAGATGAATGAAAATAAAACATGTTTAACTAAATTTAATTTTTAAAATAAAGACTCGTATTGTTCGTTTGAAAGAGAATTGTATTAAATATAGATTTACAAAAAAAAATTCGTCACACGTTTGTTGTCACACAATATATCGAAAAGTTCCCAGAAATTATATAAAAATATGATATTGATGTTCTAATGTTAAAAAGATGCGAATTTTTTTTATTTCATGTATGTGAAAAAAATAAAGAATGCCCTTGAAATCGGTTCAACTATTTTAGATTTTATATTCATAAGAATCCTCGGTGCACCTATTTGGATTTTTTTATTACTCATAATAGTCCATATATACGAGGATATCATCAGGTTAGCTGATATTTTATAAAAATAAAAAAATCACTGTATTCAAAAACTTTGGTAACTACTTTATTTATTTCAATTAGTGACAACCTTTAATAACTTTTTTTTTTTTTTGTAAATCTATGTATTAAAACATAGGACGAAGCAATTGCTTTTCCTTAATAATTGCACAGTGTCAGTATAAATTTGTATACTACATGTATACAATTAACTATAATTTTACAATAATTAACTACTAATAAAATTCTTATAAATAACATAAATTTGTGCATCAACAGCTACAACTACAAAGTGTAAAATGATTTAAAGTTACTTACTATCTTTTTCTATTTATATAATTATTAGGTAAATCTTTCAGAAATCATTTTTTTCTAATTTGTTATAGGCATATATTTTAATAAAGTTATTAGTACATAATTTATCTTTAAAAGATTTAAATTTATTGTCAAATAATGTTTAACATCAACATATTTTAATATATTTTGTCTTTCTTGTATTGTCATTTTAATTTAAGAGTGTGCTTTGTCACGTAGAAACGTTAAAACAAATTAACTTGAAAGGCATTTTTTTTAGATCCATAAAAGATGTTACACAATGTTATACAACGTTGTGTAATGGGACTTAAATATATAATTATTTTTTTATTCTTTTATTATGTGAGTGCAAGCATTTATAATATTATAATATAAAGCAGGTTTTAGTAATGCCCATTATTACCAATCTTCATTATTTAACACCTAAATATAAATAATGTTTCAATACAAAAATTTTAATAATACAAATTGTTATGTCCATAGTTACTTTTTTAGTGACTGAACTTTTTATAATAATCAATGCATAATAGGTACTGCTTTCACGTTTTTAATAAATCACAATCCGCCGTCATGTGTGACAATTTCATAAAGTAATTACAAATTACTTTGTAATCATTCATCATCGACCATTATCGACAGTAATCGATTTTTATTAGTTTACCACGTTATATTTAAAGCAATATGCATTACATTATGTACACGTGAATATAAGTATCATTATTTGGATATTTTTTTTTAAATTATACCAGAATCACCGGTTATTGAGTTTTTCGTTGAAATAATAAATCGAAGAATGATGACAAATCGAAAAAGACGCTCCCTACTCATGTTGGGATTATTTTCCATAGGAGTTTCATGAACAATCCGCATTCTTTCAACGTTATGAACGTTCACAGTCTTTAATGTTATCATAAAAAGGGTAGTGGAAGTGTATAGTTATATTTCTAATCTATTAAACATGTTATGAAACTACTATGAAAATAATAATTATTGTTATTATATGGTAACTCGGAAAACAGTAGCAGATATGACGTCATCCAATTATATTGAATTTAAATTCAATTGGTTTTGGTTGTAGAGAAAAAAATATGGAGCTGTTATATGGCTATTGTTATATAAAAAACAATCTGGCAAAAGCCAGTTGGTACCTATACCCTGCCATTAAAATGATTAATAGAGACAAAATATTCTAAGTTATTTGAATAGACGAGATTATTGTCATTCGTTATTCATTCACAATAAAATTACACTAATTACTCCTCACTTAATTATAATAATTATAAACAGTCCAAAAATTTAAACATTATTATTGTCTTAAATTTCAAATTCCATTTAGAAGCTTGCAATTTTCAAATATGTAAGTATCTACTTATATAAATCTATAAATAAAGTATTTTATTGTCTATGACTATTTTTTTTCTAAAATAGTCCTATTTGTAAAATCCCAAAATTAAGCCACATTAATACACTCGTGGAGAAAAGATTATAATTAATTAGCTTTAATTAGATACTGAAGTAATATACAAATTATTTCAGTATTATAGTCGATCACAAATGCATAACAATATCTTCCTACAAAGTAGTATTCTAAAAAATAGATATTAGTAATTTCGAGCTGATTATTGTCAATTATTTCATAGATTACATTATTAGGTGTAAATAACAATAAAAGTAGATTTTTTAATTTTATAAGTTAAGTAAACATCGAAACAATTCTTTAAAAATGTAAAAATGGGCCTAGGTAGATCCATAGTGACTTAAACTCAATTTATATCACGTACGTAAATAAATAAGTATAATTACCTATTTATGAAATTTGAATTACCTTTTTATATCAATTAAATTTATTATACATTATTATTCCCGAATATTTTAAAACTGTTTTAACTAGAAAATTATCAATCGTTATTTAAATATACGATAAATACTCTGCGTCTCCTATTACCTAAGTAAATGAGAAAACTCAATTAGCCTTTAAGTGAATAACTTCTTGTATATAAAATTATCTACATACATATATAAAGAAAAATCAATTGCTAATAATATAACTTAAGTACGAATGCACTTATTTGGCTAATTATTATTTGTTATTGTTCGGATAAGGTTTGTATGAAAGAAAAGGTTTGGAAAATTGTACGGAAAAGTGAAAAATTCGGGTTTAAAAAGCTCTATATATTCGTACTATAAAGAAAAGGTTAAAATCTCACCTTGTTCATTAGTATATCCGTACTAAGTCGTGGCGAACAGCTAGTCATATATTATAATTGAGCACAGTAGCTTTACAAATAGTTACAAAATTAAAGAAAAAAAAACCAAGAAAATTAAAATATTCCATTGGCAACAAGAAGTCTTCGATCTTAATAAAATTATATTTCACACCAGAGATTCGATCGATTCCGAAAGAATTGTTAAGACTTAAAAGGTAAAAAAGCAGAAGGTAAAGTGTAACATAGATACAAAAAAAAAATACAATGGAAATGAAAGTTTTCTTTTTTTAATATCCTTATAGGTATATAAAATTGTCAACTTTTTGTGGGGTAGCCAGAGAGAACCAAACGCCGAGACTTATTTATCTATAATGTTCGCTCGAAAACTATTTTTGTATAGTGTTGTAAATAGAGTATTAGTAGATATAAGTGGAGCTACATGTTTGATATTTTACTTTAGTGACGCAGAGTACTTAATTTGTTATCATTTTTCATTGCATATCATCGTACAAATCATGATAATAATTTGAACTAAATGAAATGCTGTTTTTTAAATGAAACTATAAAAATTCTATTTCTTTTTAATAAAATTTAATAGCTTAGTTATTACTGATGGATGGTCTATATTTCCATTTTTCTATATTTATTTATTTTGTCTTTATTTTGTTTCTTATTAATTTAATAGTGATGTTCCTACGATTGTCATATTAAAATAAAATAAAATGTTAATGATATGCTTATTGTCTGATAACATTATTATTTTTAATTGTATTTTATTAGTCTTTCAAAGTGGTAACAGATATGATTACGTCTAGTTTAATTTTTTAGATATTCCTAACAATTTTATTTTCGTCAAAGCATACCACCAGTTTTACTAAAAAAGAGGATATATACCTATCTCTATGTTTCGCAACTTGATATAATAAGTAGGTATATTGTATGCCCATTGTCTCTAGATACGCTCATCTGATAATATGAAATTGATACAGTGATTGACATTTTACCCCATTTTACCTGTACATTACAGCTTCGAGTAAAAAACTCCTGTTACAATCCATTACACTTGGCCTGATAAGGAAACAGAATAGGTGAAAAGGGCATAAAAACCGAAATCCAGAGTAGAAACTGAACAAGTTTCCCAAGGAAGGTTACGAGTCTAAGTATGAAATAAAATCATAGTGGTAATTATCCGTAACATTTTGATAAAATAATTTTTAAAGTATGTTCTATATGTTTCGATTTAGCCAAACAAGTGGCAAAATAATATATCGATAGTTATGTTTTCATTACCATGAGTGTGAGAGAGAATAAGACAGTATATGACCTTGTCTCGGTCGTTTGTGAAAACGTGTCAATCGACAAATACGTATGCGTTTGTCTGGAAGTCGTTCCTTGAGAGTCTTTCAGTTCATTGAGTACTAATCCCTGAATTTCGGATTGTTAAATCCTTTTCATTACCTATATCTACCTACATTATTATACTTAGATAATAATATTTTAATTATAAATAAACTTATTGTCATTTAAATATGGCCAAATGTAGAAAATTGTAATGTGCGATTGCCCTTATATTATCTACATACCAACAATTTATCACAAACATTTTTTGTAAATCGACGTGTTTTTTTATTGTCATATTTTTACAATTTAAGAAACTTTTATTACTTATTTGTTATTAATAAATTATTCTTAAATATTTACTTACATAAAAAAGTATTCGCACTTGGAAGTTAATAGCAAACATGAGTAAAAACTTATTATTAATTATCTCAAAATTACTATTATCGTAATCTGATAGGCAAGTCAACAAGGCTAAAGATTCAGACAAAGATAGCACAGAACAAAACCTAGTAGTATGACAGCAAACTATCGGATGAAATATAAATCATTCTAAGAAAGATTAGTAAGAAAATGTCGCCCTGGTATCAAGACTTAAGGACGACGGCTTATATAACCTCCAAAGTACGAAATTAGTGACAATCAATTTCAGCCGACTTTGAAAAGAAAGAGGTTCTCAATTCGGTTGCATTTGTTTTATATTTATTATCTAATTACTCCGTCAGTCGTAAATCGATTCAGATAGTTTTTTTTTTTTTTTTTTAATTTAAGCTGAGATCTTAGGATTGCCAAAATACAGTTGAACATGTTTCATAAAGGAACAAGAACTAAAAAACAATAAAAAAAATTATTGTGTCCCATACTAACTTAATAGCTGGTTTCGTCTTATTGATAAGGGAGATTTTTTTTTTTATTGGTTTTTGATCCATGTTCCTTTGGGAAAATATTCAGTTTTATTTATAAGATATTTTAAAACATTCATAAAAATATTTATAATGATTTTGATTTCATCCTGTATAGTTGTTTGCGACATACAATTTGAGCATTGAATTTCATACACAGACAGTGGTGAACATTTATAGAAAATATCTGTACATTATTAGTCGAAGCTTAAGTTTATTTACCGGCAAGAGCCCATGTAGCTAGGTATCGGCAGAGGAGTAGTGATGGGTAAAGACTACGGTATTTAGCGAGCTTAAGTATATAATGAAAAGACATTAGTTAACACTCATTATTCATTCATTTTATATTGATTATTTACTTATTGCTTGTACGTATTTACTTATTTGCTGTGTAGTCCTGATATAGAAGGACCATTCCTTTTTTTCCTGTGGGTGTTGTTTATTCGATTAAGGGAACTCAATGGTCGAGGGATGGGCAGCAGCATTTATATAATAATAATAAATTACTTAGGATTCTTTCATTGTTAATTGATTAATGACTTATTTCTGCTTTACTCAACTTCGATTAAATACTGTAGTTTGTAGATTTACCCATCACTAAATGCAGTTACCATAAGTTAGTTTTGAATCGAAGATTAAGTAAATGATTTTGTGTAAAATTGCTTCAAACATCATATCGTTTTTACTTTTTTCAGATTTACTACTATACCTCTCCTTCTATTAAACTCCTAGCTATACTACTAGCTTGCCGGAAATAGCAACTTAGGTATGACATATTCAATACACATTGGACTTAAGTATTGAGCAGAAATTGGTTTCTTTAACACGTCGACTTACTATTTCATTAGCTCGATGCCTTACCTAACGGCTAGAAATGCCATCATACCTAAAGGTGTAAACAGTTGTAGACTGGAGGCTGAGTTGAGGGAACGACTGCCGGGTGTCGGCACTGGGGTACCAGGGTCTACTACGTGGATCTTCCATCCTAAATTGTTGTGGGTATAACACTGCGAAAGAAAGAGAGAGAGATAGAAATGTATTTAGGTACATAGTGCAATGTAGTATTAAAAGGAAGGATTTTTTTAGTAAAGACAAGTAACAAACGATATTTATAGACACGTTCATGCATCATCATCATTGCATGCATGTTACAGTACGAGAAGGAATTTCCGGCGTTTCGTTTTTCTTTGCCATTTATTTAAAAGGACTTATACACCAGAGGGAGATTTTGTACAAAAGTCGATTGCTTGGGTACCTCTGTCCCATTCGTGTTTCAACCGTGAAGCAGCTGTGTTTGCATGGCTGTGTTTCGATTTGAAGAATGGGATATGGCGTGAATTTACTGGGTACAGAAGAATAACACCTGAGTCCTCTGTAATGGCAATGCATGGGGAGTATCATGGGCGAAACAGTATACTCTGTTATGTCCATGGTACTGCTCATGTCTATAGGCGACGGTTACCACTTTCCATCAGGTGGACCGTCAGCTTGATTGCCATTCTAAGTTGTATAAAAAAAAAAAAACTTTGCATGCAAAATATTTTCTTTATATTCTGGGTTAGATATTTTGTTAACTGAGTTTATTGTCAATGATTAAGTATTTAACAATCTATTGTATTACCCTGCATTCTAAAGGTATCACGATTTTAACGATTTCTGTACAAAAGCAGAAATACTTGTGTATGTATAATACAAGTAAGATCTCAACCCTCAGGAATATGATCATAATAGTGTTCAAATCCATAGAGAGTTATCACCTCTCATCAGGTGGACAATCAACTTGTTTGTTATTCCTTAGAGTTATAATAACAGTAATATTCGTAAGTGTCATACAATCTTTCTAATCATTTGGTTCTCAAGGTGGTATACTCTATGTTATGATGAATCAACTAACTAACATCTAGGGACAAAAAACCCTGACTCGTGCCAATTTACAAAAATTAATTTCCTAAATTAATCCGAACGGGAATCGAACTTGGGAACTCATTTTTGCAAAGCTACACGTCCTTCACTGTCCCACGGAGATCTTTTTTAATAGGTGAAGAAGAATGAAAGATAACCTCGTCTGTGCTATCGGTATATTCTGGCAGGGCACCACTGAGTGATGATAGATGAGGATGAAGTCTTTTTTTTTATAGTTGGAGGTGCATTTGCTCAGGCATCGCTATTAGATACGGGTGGCAGGATACCTGCTGTACTGGACACACTGAGTATATAAATTTGGGGATATAGTGCAAATTAGGGGACATAAAGTAAGATTGACGGCCTAAGACTGCTACGGCGATAATAGAATGGTTAGCCCTCGATTAGGCAACCCCAATCATCTTCCGGTCGCCCATTCAGATTAGTATGAAGTCAGGCTAGTTGGCCCGTTATGACGAATTCATCAAGAATTAATCATGATAGCTTTCAGGGGAGACCGCATGGAGATTAGTCAAGAGTATATTGCTAGCAATAGGGTAATGGGATAATACTATCAATTTCCCGTGCTACAGAAGTCGAATAGCATAAAAATAAATTGATTAACTTATAGAAAGGTACCTGATAATACACGAGGTCTGGTGTCTCATGCGCGACAGTCCAGTTCAATACGGCCGGTTCACCGCTGTTACATTCCAATTGTAAAGTTTTCATGTAGTCTTCAAAAGTCTCGGAAACAGCTGCCTGGTCGGTGGTCTTGTGGGTCCACTCGCAGTAACGGCCCACTGTAAGAAGAAGTTGATATAAATAAAATTCCTCGAAGCAAGTGGCAAATAAAGATGTTGATAGATATGTTTCCACTGCCGTGTGAATGGGATGGAAACAAGTTCAACAAGTAATACTGCTGACAGATTCGTTTGCATAAAGAAGTAAAACTGGTTATTTGTTCTTGTTAAAAACTTATTTATTTTATATTCTCAAGTAAGAAGACTGTAATAATTAGAATTCTTAATAATCTTACCAGCAGTGGGATACGGGTAGCCTTCGTTATCGTAGGCGACACCAGCGAACACTCGCTGCTTCCTTTGGTCCTCTTCTTTCTTCTGTCCAAATCCACCTTCGGAGGAGTCACTGATGTAAAATGGGTGGTACCTGATGTGAAAAGTTGAAAATATTATGTTTGTAGTTCCGTTAGCATTTCTATTTACCCTTATAAATGTATGTGCGTTGTTGCTTAAGATGCCTGATAAGACTCTTTGACTAGAAAATCTAAAGAGATATAAATATCTTAGTCCTCAAGGCTCAATTTAATTTACGATACCTATTCCTTGTTTATTATTTTCATGAAACGTTAGGAGCCAAGTTATATAGAGAAACATTAGCAATTAGGGGTGGAAGAGATATTAGTTATTAATGTTAAACCTGGCATTACAATAATGTCAGGTTAATCTCCACTCGGTTCCTCTGGAAACCATCGTGGTAAACAGGAAATTCTCCGCGATGAGCTAATGGACTGGAGTTCATCGTTGTCTATCTTGTGGTAAATTAAACCATAATTTCATGACATCTATATATGAAAAACCATACTATATGACGAACTTACTTTGCTGGGTTCGTCCTATCGTCTCCACCTTCTACGTAGAAGGTGTAAGTCTTGCCTCGTTCGACATACACCTCAGGTATCAGTTGATCGTTGATGTACCACGCTATACCCCATGATGGATGGCCTGAAGGATTAAAAATATATAAGTATATCCATGAAATCATTTTAAAACCTATGTACTGTTTACAGTTCTGTTTACATATAAACTTTTAAAATTTCAGTACGAAATTAATAAATAGCAAAAAGTCACTTGTTACCTATAACTTTAAAATAACGAACAATCTCTATAATCTATGTTATTGAAAATCACTCTACGACAAATTAAGATATGATTCTATAAGCAGCTAATTACGACATACCTACTGACTATAAATTTTGTAAAAAAATATAAATTGTAGATGATTACCATATGGCATGAATCCCTTTGTAATGTCATTGTCTGCATGAAAGTAATAAAAAATAGTATTATAAAAAATTATACAATTGGTAATGGGAGTTAAAAATAATATTTAATGACTTGACTGCATCTTACGCTCATGACGAATCCGGAAGTAAAATATTTCAGTTTATATTTATTCCCTTTCGAATTATCAAGTTTAAAATGTAATTAATCAATTTTGTTGTTAAAATAACAATGTATTTTTATATGTAATTTATATATTATTAATTGGTTATAAGAAATATAAGTTTAATACCCATTTGCTGTCATCAAAAACATAAATGTGAAATAAGAGCCAAGTGCTATATTATGAATATTGTCGTTTCGATTTTGCCGAAAAAAGAATTGAGATTCATATGGGTTTCCAAGTTCTGTGTACAAAATCTTAAAATTTACAAGTTACAATAACATGCAATATTATAAAATAAGTTTATATAAAAAAAATTGTTTCTTGATACTACTGCTTGGTATTACCATGTGCGCTGATTAATAAATCCTTAAATTTTAACAGACTGTTATTTATTCATTTCAATTATTTTAGCTCAAGATTTGGCTTGGATAATTTTTATGTATAGGCTTTATTATGTTTGTCTAATGAATTTATCTTCATTAAGTCGTACACAAGTTAGTGTACGACCTGTTTGTATTATACTCATACCTACTATTGGGTTGATATAATATCTACGTTGTTTTTCTAACATTTGGTTTGTTAATAAAAACCAACTAATATTTTTTAGATTATCAACTAATAGGTTTACATAAGTGTTCATAAGATGGTTTATCAATAATAGGGGCCTGAATTGTAAACACAAATAGGTAAGTGGATAAATAAATTAACATACCAGTGAGCGGCGTGTACCCGCGGAGGCCGCCAGCCGGTCCGATACGGGCGGTGAGGTTTACAGCGCCGGAGATAATCCTCGTTGGCCAGGGTTCTGGACCACCAGCATCCAGCTCTGCTAGACCGATACATGTGTTGTCGTTCTGCAAATAAAAGTATACTATAATAGCATGTAAAAGGAATAAAATAAGGTTTTAAACAACATAAAATCCGTATTAGCGAAGAGCGTTCGAGTCTATAAGGATTGAAAACACATTAACAAGTAGAGAAATGAAATATGATAAATGGATGGAGATGAAATGGATAGGTGCAAATAAACTTTTGTACTTATAAACTTGTATTATTTACATATCCATGATTTTTCCATTAATACAATACAAGTAATTCGAGCATAATTAATTATGATATTTCCTTTACTTTCCAATTATTACAAAGTCTGATTTTTGATCATATTTGTTTTTAGAATTTGGATTTATTGTGATTTATCATTATCATAAATTTGGTCAGAAAGTCGAACCCTATCTGATACTGATCTTATTTTTGTTCTGGGATAGCAGGTCAACTAAGGTTAACTAGCGATGTTATTGGTGTATACTGTTACTTACTTGAGTACCGAAATCCAGCTGTACATCGGTCCTAGTGGTATCCATAAAGGAATGAGCGTTCGCTTCGTATCTGGAATTTAGTGGACCGAATGCTGCTATAACAGATTGGGACCTTGAAGTGAAGATCTCCTTGTCTCTTGAAGATTCCTTGGCGGCGAGTGGTCGACGATACGTTATTGTTGTTACACCACCATTCTGGTTACCGCTTACTGTAAACATTGAAAGATCGAGTTAGGTCAGAGCTCCTCAAACCTTTTAGTCACGGATACCTTTTGAAACATTAAAAATTTTACAACAAAGTAATGAAATTATTTCCATTTCACCGCTATGATAATGCTGAATAACGCTTTTTTGTATCATTTGGTTAACAAAAGGTTCTTTGGAATTATCTTTGTCCTATAAATGGATCCTTCATTTTTTTCCGATTTGACAACCCTCAGAAGTCCTTAGAACACATTTTGAGTATAGCAAGGTTGTAACTTAGGCATATTCAAAATGTACTCCGTAGAGTAATTTTTTTCTTTACATGGCTTTTCTAAAAAGGTGTCTCGCTAAACATAGCAATATTTGCATTACTACCAGCCAACAACGAACAGTACAATATTTTTGGCAGTACAATTGTAAAAATAATAATATAATATTAATATATGAATAGTACTTGCCTAGTGTAACATCGTCGGAGCCACCAACCCGGCTGTCGGGGCACACGCCACGCGTGCCGTCACACTGCGCCAGGTGCGAAATTGAGTAGTCTGTCGCTTCTGGCTGGTTAAACCTGTACAACACACGACAATTATATGTATTTAATCTGTTCTGTATAATATAAAAAAAAATCTAATCTCAATACGACGAAATTTCAAGTAAATAGTGCTTAAATATTATATCCCGAAAATAAATTTGAGTGTATAGTAAAAGTCATATTCTTAAAATGGTAATTTTTCGTAGAAGAGTCGTCGTATATTCCGTTTTCTTATGAAATTTCAGTTACTTTTAAAGTTTTCTGTATAATGACGACCTCGGTGGTATAGTGATAGGGGCGTTGTTTTTCATGGATGAGGTCCTTAATCTGAATCTCGTTTGGGCCAATATAGGACACAAACTTTTCTAAATCGTTTTGAGTCTGGATGTGTTTTAAGTTGTTATCTCAGATGTTTCTTATCTAGTTTAACATAATACAAGGTGTTTTTGCTTGGTGTGATTGTGTAGCATCTATCAGCATCATTATATTATCCGTTACCTGCCCACTGCTGAACATAGGCCTCTCTCTATCGAGGAATTTTGCCAGTAGTTGCCATGCTTAGCAAGTGAGTTTGCAATAGCAGTTAAGCGTTTGCTGATATTTTAAGAGAGACGCTGCTGCCTATGTCTCGACCACTACGTTCCCTTAGTCCTCGCTTACGACACCCACGGGAAAGAAATGAATGGCCCATTCTATGTCAGGAGCACATGGTCCTGATGACAGGTACCATACCTATATCTAACACAAAATAATTATAAGAAAAATATCTAACCTGGTATCCCAATATGCAACAACGACGTCAGCTCCCAACATAACTGGCCGACCCTCGGCGCCCGATATGCCGAACGCCATGTATTGGTCTTTGCGCAGACGGGCTGCTAAAGTTATTTGAACTTGATCCCCCTGGAACGAAGAATATTTGAAAATTTTATATCTTCCCTAGTTATTTTTGGTAACATCTTGAATTAGTTTTTCTGTAGTGCCAGTTTATTAGGGATTGGTCGTTTGGGACAAATTTTTTAGTGTTAACTATATTTGAATTAAAACATAAGTCAATATATATACTTATTCAGTATTTGTAGTCACATTCTTCACATATGGAATTTCTTTGTTACGAATCAGTTTGAAACTGAATTAATTTAATTTGAATAGAACGTATGGGTTTTTTAAAATCTATTCGTATACCAAATTACGAGTAGTATGTAAAATCTGTAATTAAATAATTTACATTGTTATAGTATTATTACCTTCACGAATCTCGGGTAACCCGCTTGAATGTGGAAAAATTAATAAGCTAATTATTTTTATTTTAGAAATGTATACTAAATATAATTAAAATTTTATTGTTAAAAGTTTCTTAAGCACACATTACATTTTAATGTAATAACTACCGGTTTAACTTATATGTAATTAGTTTGAGAAAACTCGATTAGTTTCGGGATAAATTGGTGACCTTCATTACAGACACTTTTGTTTAAAGACCACGAATTGATCCGAAAACTAGTGGAGCTTTTTAGATCTAATTACATGTAAGTTAAATTATTACATTGAAATATAATTTTAAAATGTAAAGGAAAGCGTGATTGGTGTCCAATTATAAGGCACTTAACACACATAGCGATGAAATAGCAGTATTATTTTACTCCGTGACGAATTCGCGTCTATGCTCGCGATGTCCAAAGGCCGTAGCTCTCTGCGCCATTGCATATAGACTCATATACAAAGTAGGTTTAGGTAATATATAGCAATATGTAAAGGTTGACTAGTAGAGAATGCCTATAGCATTAAGTCCGTCTGTTGTACTACATTTTATTGGTTAATAAAGTTTAAATAAATAATCTGTATACTGTAGTTACAGTATATTATCTAATATATAATATTAAAATGAAGTACCTGATTTAAATTAATATATACATCTGGTATGGCCGATATTAAAATGGACGATGACCTTTTTTCCATCAACATCAGAAGAACCTGATACATTGATTTGTCACGGTTTATACAGAGTACAAAATTAAAACCTGTTAAAATGAAAGTCATTATCACTGTGCATCGCGATATGCACGACTGCGGACTGCATAGATGCCGCATAGTGTGTTAAGCGCCTAAAATAAGGTGGAAAATTAAAACGGGGATTTTTCAATTAGTGATTATTAAAATTATACAATACACTGGAAATTAAATAGCGTTGAGTTGATAATAAATAACAGGTTAAAAGCAAGTTCATGCTGATGATTATAATAAAGTAAGTCATGATAATTATTAAATCTATATATTTACCTGTATTTCCCACCGGACCTGTAATCTTTTGTCTAATATTTCTTTACAGTTATTAGCAGCACTATAAGGCGTCTGAGATGTGGTTGAGCTTGTCTGTAAAATTTACATATTATTAATAACATTAAGTTTAATGCCTTTAATTCATTGTAAACAGATGATTATACATTTTTAGAAGTGAAGATAATGGTGTTAATTAAAGCTTATCAAAACCAAATTAATTATACTCGTATAACTACAAATAATAATACATTATTTCAGTTTCTTATAGCGTAGGGCCTAGTAAAAAATGTAACTAGGATTATCTCTTCCCTCGGTTTGAACAAGCAAGCATGTCTCTGCGATAAAATTTTAGTCAGTCAGTAAATTATAAAAATGTAATTCAGTTAATATAGCTCAATCGTCGTTAATTATCAGTGTCGCTTTGTACTATAAGAAATTAATCAGAAAACGAATTCAGCGATCTTCAGTTTCATTTATCAAGCCATAAAAATCACGTGTGCCCACGATCAAACATAGTGTGCATGCACAAAAAGAGCTTAAAAAGGTTAAGCTAATTTTAATTTTAATACTGTTCTAATTTTAGTTTATGGCTAGACAACAGACTCTATTTATATAAAGCCTGTTGTTCGTAACATGGTAAAAATCGCAACTAGCAATATCATGTTCGTAACATGGTAGATAGCATATTCAAAGACGGAGCGCCATCAATTTAAAGCGTCACGGACTGGAGCCGGCTTGAGAAAGTAAAGCTTAATGAAGTTCAAAGAAGGGATTGAAAAATTTGCCATCTAATAATACTCCTTCCGTGCGATAATTGGAAATACAATTAGTCTGGACAACTGAGAGATTTGGAAATTTCAACTAATTTTACTTAATACATAGAGTTAATTAATGGGTTTTTCCTGAAATCGACAAAATACCTGACTACCTTACCAGAGATTATAGTTTTCAGAATAAATTAACGATATCAAAAAATACATCGTTCAATATAAAAATAACAATACCTTGATGACATACAAATTGTAGTACGTACTTAATATCTATCTTAATTTCAACTGTGACTTTGTTTGGACTGTATAAGAAAACAAAAATATGCAACCGGAATAAAAGGAAACCATATTAGTTTTCTAATAGGTATAGTTTCTACGTTATGAATAGAATAAAATTAAAGGTAGAATTGCAAACATATAAATGTTTACTCCAAACTTATTTTTAAATCCTCAAAAATGTATCTTTTTTTCATGACAATGAGAATAACCTATTTTTCTAATAAAGTCGCAGACTTGAGATTCTGAATCCAAAGCCTGATTGCATCCATACCCGTTTAGTCGTTATATGTGAATTTGTGATTAAATAACAAATATAATTACTTATAATTTTGCGATTGCATTATACAACAATTAAAAGAAATTCTGTTACTGACAACAGGTAATATTACCACAATAGCATAATCATGTTCCCTTACTGTTTACATTTTAGTTCAACCAATGTTATTAATACCATTATTTATTTAAATAAATCAGTGCAAAATGAAAGTATTAATAGTAATGCTGAAATAAATAATTTATTATACTCACAGGGTTATACCACCAAGCAGGCTGTAAATATTAAGAAAACCGGAATCCCAAGGAAAGCGTAGAAGAAAATAACATAAAAGCACATGATTAGTTATTAAAAATTTATTAGTAATAATTTCATAAAAACAAATTAACAAAACAAGAAATAATATTAAAATCAGTCTCAATAAACACTGAAGTTATAAAATGCTGGAAGTAAGGATTTTTATATAGGTAGATTTTAGTTTTACTAATTAGTATCTATTGTTAGATACATTAAAACTAAACTAATAGACAATGAACGAAATAGGTGTCATTCAAACTTTTACATACATTCATTTAAACATTTGAACAAAAGTTGTATGTACTGATATAATCCTTAAACTCCATCATTTTTCTCTCAGGTAAAATGTACCTACATATTCTAGAGAGACGGTAAAACAAAAATCTACTTCTATTTATATTATATTTAGAAAATGCTTGTATTTATTTTTAACCATGATATAAATACAGCTTAATAAAATGTATATGTATAAAAATAAAGTATTTTAAAGCTCAGTTTGACCACTCAGTATGAGTTTGATCAGGTGAGATTATGGTCAAACGCGCTGTTTATAGTTTAAGTTTTTATAGGTACTTAAATATTTTAAGACAATTAAAACCCAATAATCCAGTCAAAAGGAAACCATGAAGGTGTATCGTGTGGTGGTTTAACAGATAGTTTTTCAAATTTATTAGAACTAGGATGCTTTGATGGCTTTTTCCGTTTACCCTGTAAAATTTAAATTAGTACATAAAAACATATTTAAAAAAAATATATTGAAGGATCCCATGAAAGCTAAAAAAAGTACAAAAAATAAGTAGTTATTATTAATGTTTTAATGGGTACTATTAATGAGTTTAATGTAAAAATAGGTAGAATTACTTATACAATCATGCCAAACCAAAAATAGCTTGTGTTAAATTTTACATCAATTCAGCCACAAAAACCCGCAAGTCATAAGACTGTTGTTAGTCATAACTGTTTCCCAATAATACTATAAAAAGTGGACAAGACATGTATAAAAAGTCATTTTTGAAAATATAGGCATATACATGTCGTATCGGGAGGTCAACGATAAGATCTGGAATAGAGTTGGTTGGAAGAGAATCAAGAATTAGTTGCCCCAACAAGAGGAAACTCTTAAATGAAACAAAAATCATATACATAAGTCGTTTTAACTAAAATTCTAAATATACTAGTTTTAACTATAAATCGTTTTGACTAAAAATTCTAAAAAATGTGTCATACTTACGATTTTCAAGATTTATTATGCCAAATCTTGAAAATTGTCATGATCATTGTGTACTCGTAATAAGAGTTTCATTTTTGCTATAAAATATGCCTAGACGTTGGATAATTAATTGAGGTAATATTATAATTATTTGGACAGAATAAGGTAATTTACGGAGCGTGAAAAAAGTTCAAGGAGAAGAGGGGTTGGCCTTCAAATGTGCAATCTCTCCTGCTGTCCGAAGCTTTTGATCCAGAATCGTGAAAATAGAACTAAAGGTTGTTAATGAAATCTATGATACATGAAAATTAGGTGGATAACCATCGAGGATTTTGTCATAAAAGGTTCAATATTTATTTGGATGTTTCCCATGTATAAAGCAATTTTTACACCTTCCTACAAGGTGTGCTGTTAGCTTGTTTGTCATATCATTTAGTAAGATAATACTCACGGTTATTTTGGTCTGTCCTAAAGCAGGTGGTACATCCAGGTCTTTAGGTATATATACGTGTCCGAAGTTGTGTCTGTATTCCACACACCAGACCGCTAGCCAATCGATGTCATAAGCTGTCAACTTGCCGGGTAGTTGGATCTCTATGTCCTCACCTTGGTAGCCTCGCAGCGGGTGTAGGGAACCCATTTCGTTGGGTACCTGTAATTAAAAATGAAGAAAATTTAGCAAAGGAGAACCACAAAGATTGCTTGAAATAGTCTATTAGGCTAATTTGGGATTGAGAGCAGCAGTTAGTCTGACACGACGTGCAAGAATAGTAAATAGATACATTTCTAAAACAAAAAGTTATTTTATCTTCATAGATTATAAGTCAATCCTATTCTTGTATAATATCTACAAATTTAAAAATAAAATACGCTATTAATAAATAAATTCACTTGAATATACACTGTTTTTTTCTTTATGCAACATTTTTAACAAAAGTCGTCAGCTTGGGTATCTCAGTCCCAATCGTGTTTCTATCGTGAAGCAATTGTGTTTGAGCTGCTATGTTTCGGTTTAAAGGTATAACACCTTAGTTCTCAGGTATGGCAACACATGTTTACCATTCTAAATTGCAGAAATAAATGATTGTCCCCTCCTCTTTATGTCGAAACTAGTGAGCCGAAACATAAATTCTCAAACATTTTCATTACTTTAACAAAACAATGCCTTTCGGAAAGATCTTACCACCAAAATTAATGTTCTAGTTAACAATGATGAGAAATGGTCACCTCTCGCCATTGTGTTTTTTTAGTGATTGCTAACATTTGTACTTTAAAAGAAGTGCATGTTTTGATTATACTTTTAAAACCTCATTAATAAATGTGCAATACGTTTTTCGGAAAATTTACTTATTCAATTTAAAAATCCGTTTTCAGAAAGAAAAAAATAAATGTAGTAAATTATATCTATAATTGAAATTTAACTACTTTTAACTACTTAAAATCTTCATTTGTATAGGCAAATGAAGATTTATGTCGATGATATCACCTCGAAAAAAAAAAACACATATATCATATTTTGTTTCTTTTAAAACAGACTTCAATCTTGACAAAATTAGAATGGAACAAATATAATAATTCATTTGAGGGAGGACCATAGGAGTATACTGTTTCGATTTAAAACAAGGTTCATCAATATTGGTATTCGGTACACAATCCACAATGACTTCCTGTATTTTACACGATTGTCGTTCATAGACAAAATATACTTATTAGTCGAATTGAGAACCTCTTCTGAAGTCGATCAAAATAGAATAAAAACTCACTTTTGTTCCATAAGGGCTAGGTTCAGAACCGTTGCCAACCCAGAAGTAGGCATCTGGTCCCGCTCCATCGTAATGAAGATTTGGTATGTAAAACGTCTTCGCGTCAAGAACGCTAATGTTTCCAGAACGCAGGCCGTGCGCGAGTCTTTTGAATTCTGGCAAAACACGAGGTCTGGGCGGATCTAATCCAACCGGTATGAAGACATCACCGAAATTGACCTGGAATAGAAAAAACGCAAATTCAAATCAATAACTAAGTCCAATTCGTGATTTTCTCTCGAAGTAATTGTACTTGCATGGCTGTGTTTTGATTTGGAGGATAGAAAGCAATTAAATTATATGGAGATGGAGATATAACATCTTGAGATTGGTAATGCATCATTATCATCATCATAACAACCGTTAAAAATAGCTGAACATAGAGCTCCCCTTGAAAGGTTTTGCCAGTAGTAATAGCATTACAATGTATTTGTGTTATTCATGTCTATATTATAGACAATAGTTATCGTTTCTCATTAGGTGTAGTCAGCTTGTTTGACATTAAAATACGTAAAAGAATTAGCGTTAATGGACAGTGGTGACAGCTTACAATTTGGCGATTTGTATGATTGATTAATGTTTAAAAATCTAATTCAGTTTCAAGTCACCGACTAAAAATTATAGAAAAATATTCGTCTATAGAAAAAAAGGAAAAATAGAAAATTGAGTTGATATGCACATGCTTTGTATAAAATATGTAAAATTGTTAATATGGAAACAATTTTATAGTTATATCATGCACGTAACGCATGAAGTATGGCATACTGTTTTGGGAAAACTATGGATAAAGATATTGTTTTTAAATATCAGGAATGTTACATAAGGGTAATTTGTAATTTGCTAAGGCGAGAAACATGCATGCCACATTCTAAACAATTAAAACTATTACCATTTCCTAGCATTTAAATTTAAACATATATACATAACCATTTAAATTTTTCACACACTTTTAAATATACAAATATTTAAGAGTGTGTGAAAAATTAAAATTTCATAGTAGAGTTCATCATATTGGCCATTGATATGTAGTGCCAAGTAAAAGAATACTTATGAAAGATAGTATATTTTGTAAAGCTCAAATAATTAATGATAAATTACCTATATGGAACTTAACTGAAACGAGTATTTTTATAATTGTTATTATTTACACATATACATAAATAAACATTATAAGTCATAATCAATTTGAAAATATTAGCCTATTTTAATTTGTTTTGTTTTGCTATATAATATTGTTTTCTATTTATTGTTGAATAATGTACGTAGCTAATTTATAATGATTTTATTTAAGATATTGTATGCTTATATAGCAAGACATGGAGATACTATTTAATTGATGTAAGACCTTAACTCGGCCTATAACCCACAATAAAGACATTTGTATTTGTATAAAGTAAACGCCGGCTGGGTGTCCAAAAATCTGGTACCTAAATGTCACATTTTGGCGGGAAAGTTCGAGCATGCGCGTAGAACGCAATCGATATATTTGAATTGTCAGGCTTATTTGGAGTTTGGGTATGAAACATTAAGTTTAGGTATTAGGTACACATCTCACCTTCTAATACTTTCGTACTATATAGCAAGTGAGCAAATTAAGTATATAACTGAATTAAAGTTAGATTAAAAAAAATGAAAAACAATTTTAATATAATGTATGATGAATACGGAAACATTTATTATTTAAAAGTAAAACACCCAGAATATTGTCAGAATATGTTCAATGTAAATCTGATACTTTATCTATTAAATATATTTCTACCTGTAAATTATGTGATAGATTTATTTATACTAAAAAATTCACTTGAAGTTCATAGGTGTATGTATGGAAAGGGGAATAGATGTATTTTTGCGTACCCCAAAATGAAACTAGCTGGTTTGTTACAATATGTATGAATACTATTATTATTATTATTAGTATGAACGCAGGATTAAATTCCACAAAATTTACTCTCTGGTATCATAGTAATGTCTATGACAAACTGTAATCATAACAATGAAATGCAACGATAATTTATGACTAGGCATATATGACTAATATGAGAACATCAATATTTTATAATTTTCAATGTAAATCGAATTTATCGCATGACAGATCTGTATATCAATGGTTAATTATTTATAAAAATAATTAAGTATATTAAAACAAATAAATTGACATAATGCATGTATATTAATTACCTATCCATTAAATTTTGCTATACCTAAACAAGGTTCATGTGCTACTCTTCATAAAAACATTGTAACAACCCTATGTTATATGTATGAATGCAGTAAATAAATACATAATGATTATGGGAACTCACAGTAAACCTTCTGCACCAGACACTGATCCACTTGATATCCCTGAGCCGTTTGCCGGCCGGCAACCGCAGTAAAATGTCTGAGTTGGTGTGCGCTTTCAAAATTGGTGGATCCCTGGAATAAAACAGTTTTATCTTAGTACTAACTTTAATTTGCAAGTATTTTATGTCAAAAGCATCATAGGTAGGTATTATCTAGTATTTAGTCTGATTTATATAGAATGTATTATATTGTAAAATCTTTAATGTACATAATTTATATTGAATACATTAAAAGATTTAATTTACGATTGAATGTTATTCAAGTCCATTTACTTGTTTAAGTGTAATTTAGTAACAAACATTCAAATATCTTTAATAAAACTAACAACAGTAAGTATCGTAATTTCCTGCAACCTTTCTGATCAAATTTTATCCCTTTGTGTGAGTGATTATTGAAGCAACTTATTAGTTGCTTTAATAATCACTTTTAAAGTATTATGCAAGTTACGTAAAACTCAATGTGCTGGAGTTACTGTCACAATAATTGTGGTTAATCTTATATATAAAATTCTCGTGTTACGGTGTTTGTTACCAAACTCCTCCAAAACGGCTTTACCGATATTTATGAAATTTTGTGTGTATATTGGGTAGGTCTGAGAATCGGCCAACATCTATTTTTCATACCCGTCAATGGTAAGGGTGACCCATCCCAAAATATTTTTTTTTATTTTTTTGACAATTGTTTTTTATTTTTAGTTTATTATAATTTAGCATTGAAAAATACATACAATATCAAACTTTCATCGTTTTACGATCAATCCCTGTATTTTAATTGCGATTTTTATATTTCGCAATAAGTGGTAAAACAACGTTTACGGGGTCAGCTAGTAATTATATATATATCAAAACGAAATATACATAAATAAATGTAAACTGTACTTACAAATCAATAATTGCATGTCTAAAGTTAACTTAGGTATTCGTTGTCACGCTAAATGTCGCACGTGCCTAATGGTGTCTATTTGTGGAACACAATCCATTTAACAGATCTATATTAGTACTCATTAAAAGGATATGTAGTATTAAACGGTAATATATATTTGGATTTTACTTATCAAGCTTAACGCCAACTCACACATTATTTTTGACTAGCAAACCACCCCAGCGTACGTGTGAAACTTATAGATACCTATCTACACGAAGATTGTTTTTTTTTTAATATAATAATACTACAGCCATTACTCGCTTGCTATATATAGGTGAAAGAATTTTTAAAATCGGTTATGTATTATTTGAATTTGTAAACAGAAAATTAAATTTTTTTTCTTTATATTAGTTTAGATAAGTTGACAGCCCATTTAATAGAATGTGGTAAATGTCGTTTATACTCATATAGGTACAGCTTAGCAGTATGCACTTTACAAAATAACTAGCTTGCCCGCGGCTGCGTTCATGTATGATCTTCAATTTCTCGCAGGAATCGCTTTTCTGGCTCAGTTTTATAAATTATATTATAGCTTTTACTTGCGACGACGTCCGCATGGAGTTTGATTATATTGCAAATCTTTTTTATATCTTTCTCCCCCTCAAAATTATAAATAATGGCTAACAATTTCAGACTTCCATGAAAAGTTTCATTCTCTATTTCACTCCCTCGAGGGAGAGTAGTTTTAGAACTGAAGTTTTATAAACGTTGGAAGGTATATCTTTTTTAAAATAAACAAATTTACTTACAAATTTTCATCTGAAATAAATCATCCCTTATCTCACTCCGCAAGGAGTAGAATTTAAAAAAAATGTTGAAAAACGTTCTCTTTTTTATATATATTCTAATAATTTCAGAAACTAGTTTTAGTTTTATTAATAGTTTATACCTACTTTATTTTATTTCTATTATGTAGAATTACGATCAGAAGATGCAATCGTTCTTATAAAATATAATACCTATTGCAAGAGTTCATTGCTCTTCTAATAGGTAATATTATGAGAAGAATAACTATTATTAGAATACTGTAAAGTAGGTGCTTACTAATAAAGTAAGTACCTATTTACTTTGCAGTATTACTAACAGCGTAAGGAGTCAAGAACTCTTTAGTCTTAGATATTAATCTATTATAATATGATTTTTTTATGACCCATAGTAAGTATTACTATTGCAAACAATCTGACGTGCCCAGTAACTTCACTGTTACATCCCACTCTTTAAACCGAAATAAATCCATGCGAATGTACAGTTGCGTCACGGCACATATGGCACAGAGGTTCCTAAACAGATGACCTTTGTATAAAGTCGCACTTTTAAGAAATCTACTTATTTGAAGTATCAAAATAACTTACCGAGAATTATAATCTTCCGGGTATGGCACTAAAGTACCTTCAGGTGAGGGCTGTGGCGTGTCTCCTACCCAGAAATAAGCGTCTGGGCCTGTGCCATCGTAAGCAAAACCGCGCACGAATACTGTGCTCTCGTCTACCGCATATACTGTGCCGCGGATGCCGTGAGCATACATAGTAAGCCGTCCTATTAAACGGCCATAATATGGCTCTGGCCGACGGCATGTTGTTAGTCCTGAAACAAAAATAAAAACATAATTATATTTAGTACTTGTATATAATTATGTTGCAATTGTAGTCAAATGATTTATCCTATCAAAACATTCATGATGAAATTGATGCCATATCTACCTACTCTTTTACCACGAATATAATTATATAGAAATTAATTTTGTTTAGGGCCAAAATTAGCATTTTACTTAATACTGTAAAGAATCATAAATGAATAAAATAATAAATGTATGACTGCTCTAAGAAATAAAAGAAAAAAATAGAAACATTTTACAATAACCCGATATATCTACGTACAAGTTTTTGTATAATAATGCAATATCTATATATATAAAATATCCTAAATTTTTTACAACAACAGAATTGTACAACTTTTATCTATTAAGACAATTACATTTTTTAGTTCTGACAATCTAAATCACAGGTGCTAGATAACGTTCATTCATTCATAGCCTGTGGTGTCCCATTGCTGAGCATTGGTCTCCCTAATTGTTTCTATCTCTTCAAATAAAGTTATTATTAAATAATATTTTCCCATTGGACTAATCCGCAAATCAGAAAACAATATCAAACAATAAAGGTAGCTTCCGATTGAGCCCATAAAACGAGATCTCATTATTACTAACCCTTACTGGAGGGGAGATTGGCACGGAGTCGCCTGGCAACGTAACTTGTTATGAAACGATATAATATTATATCGTATAATATAACATACCAGGCATTTATTACGTCAATATAATCTATGCTATAATAAAATAGTGAGGGTCGCAAAGTCAATGAGCTTTTCACGAGAATTATTTGGAGAAGCTAGAAACGCAAAGAAGCCATTTTTTAAATTAATATCTGGATGTTTGTAATTACGGAAAAATATCGAAGAAGAATTAAATTTTATAATAAATTAACTTTATTAATGTTCTTATGTGGAAAGATCCATGGTCAGTAGAACGTAAAATTGGATAAATAACGACTTGCAGTTATATGAGTACCTAAGTTTGACATGCAGGACTTCGTTCCGCAAGAACAATTATTTGCTATAGAGTAAATATATATATTTTTAATTAAATATATAATAAGAAATCGTACCGACTGAAAATATACAAAAATTGATTCATAACTAGTAATGATAGGGGGGAAAGGGATCGTTAGTAATGTAGACTGAGAATCCCATTGCTAGCAATATATCCAACCAGGTCGACCTCCTCGCGGTTTCCCTGGAAACTATCATGGTTAATTCCTGATGAATTCATCATGATGGGCTAACTGGCCTGTTTTCATTCTCACCTATCACCCTTCACTGGTGCTCCGCAAGCATATACCGTCACAGTTACCATACCATTTTCACCCATAAAAAAAAACTAGTAATGATATTGCATACAAATATATATATCTAGAAATTCAGAATTTTCTTCTCTTTTTTCATAAACACTACTGAAATTATCGATCAAAAACTATCATTAATTAAATATATAACTTTAGGCGTTACTCTTGTCCAAAACATCGCAAGCAAGCTACCAACGATGGCACATAATGCGATGTGACAATAATTTCCGACTTTATAGGGGGAACAATTCCATTCAACCATCACCGAATGACACAAACGGCATTATATACCAATCCATATTGAACGTTAATCTCCAAAAGACAGGAACTAAATTTCCCTGACTTTATAGAACTCTGAATTTTATTTTTTAGGAAGCAATAAGCTTGAAAGCTACATCGATCACGATAAAAAGGAAAATCGAGGAAAATAGTTTAAAATACACCCTCGTTTTCTTTTTACTATGTTTAAAAATGAAGGATTTTATTACTTCTATAGGTAAGTGTGTAATCAATAACTGCATAACTACTTGTTTAATATAAATTTAACCTTTATTATCTAACAGTTGTCGTAAAAGTAAAGAAATAATAATAATAATTTCTTTAATAAATTAATAAATAAGAAGATTTATAATATTGTTGAGAATTAAGAAAAAAATATTGATATTGAACTATATATAGTTCAATAGTAATAAAATTAGCGTGGAGCCAATATGACAGTAAATATGTATTATCGATTAAAAAAAGAATTTTTCAATTTTACAAAATTAGTACAGCGGAACATATAAAAATATAGTCGAACCAAGACCGTTCTCCTTTTTTAAGTCTATTAAAATGAACTCAATGGACGTTTTTATAATTTATTGTAACGTGCCACCATTTTATCGACACAAAAGGAAAATGCATGTCAATGACATAGACATATGATGTTATCGTCGATCACAGAGTGTTATTGTATATACTTTGTCGATGGCACGTAAAATTTTGATGACACATCATGTTACGATGATTTAAAAAATGTGCATTATTCTGATTTTGAAGTTTTCTATATTTCGTGGCAAATCCTCGGTAGCTCTTATTTCAATTGCATTTAAAGAACCTCTTCAACGGTACGTCTTTAGATGTGATTTAATACTTTTTTACGATGTGGTAATTAATTCAGTACTATTAAAATTATATTATTAACAGAATTAAAAAGAATTTAACAATATACATTTGAAAAATATCACAATGTAATAAATGTGACTTGGTACAAATGCTCTGTATTGTATTTCTCCCTCGATTAAAGATTATTGTAAACTTCATACCTTTAATTTGTACAGACTTGAACATTATTAGGGTGTTGATAAACCATCCTTTAAAATATCATAAACTAAACGCCAATCTAATTCATGCATTTCCTTGAAGACTTGATAACGACCGGGGCGGAGTACCTCGAAGCGCGGCGCGACGCAGCGGCGCGCACCCTGCCGCCTGCCGCGTATTTATCTAATATCCTAAACGGAACCCGGCCCCATTAAGGGATATTTTGATTGACATGCTCGCCCCTGAGATTTTGCGATGCTCGGGGTTCATAGGGTTGACGACCTTGCGTTGCTAATTTTATAATGAATCAATATTCATGACGTGATGATTACGTAGAAACCAAAAAAAAAAATTGAAAAATACTATTCTGAATTTATAATAATAATATTGACATTGACACTGGAATTTAACTTTTGTTAAAACATGGTTCATTTAAATAGATTAATTTAAGATTTTATAATACATTTTCGACAAATATCAAAAAAGAAGCAAACTCGATAAATTAGAATAAAAAAATATCAAAATCAGCTCACAATTGGTAAATATATAAAAAAAAAATAGAAGAAAATTGAGAACTTTCTTCTTTAAAACATCAGAAGAAACAATAATTATTTTGTAAAAATACCGACTTCATTTTCTAAAAAAATTATATGAGACTATTCAGAAATTCTTTAGACGAAGATTTTATGTTCTCTTAACTTCCTGTTGAATTAAAAACTTTTTTTTAACACTAAAAGTGTAATAAGTGTTTAACCTAAAAAAAATAGTGCTTAGTAACAAGTATATATATTAAATATTATAACTGATTCCATACATTTAGTAAAAGGTAGACATTTCTTTGATAGAAGGTATGACAGAAGGAAGGAGGGGAAGAAGGAGACCAATGCATAGTTACGTTAGGTAGATGAAGGAAAAAATCGGTGTTGTGTTGTATCAAGAGATGACGAGACTCGCTGAAAATCGTCTTGAGTGGCATAGCTCCACTGGTAAGAGCGCAGCCCTTAAATAGAAAATGAAAAAAAACATACATTTACAATGCTATAAAGACATCCAATAATCCTCAAATGCATTTCAATTTCAAGTACACCTATCAATTTAACTAAAACGATGCCGTTAGTAGTTCGATACCTAGTCTCGAATTACTCACGAAAACCGCTAAAATCACAATAAATCCGACGATTTGAATCACCAACCCTAACTCCCCTACAGTTTACAGCGCGACAGGGGCGCCCCCAGCTCGTCTAATGCGTATCTACGCTTAATACAGTTTTGTCTCGGCATTTTGATACTCATTTGTTCTAACAAGGTACGAGGTACATGTATGAGGTAGTTAGAGAGTTTTCTTATAACAAAGTGATAAATATTTTTTATGCAACTTACAATGGAAAACGAGTTGTCAAGCCACCTGATGAAAAGTGGTAAATATCGCTTATAGACACAAATAGCACCATGGACATCACAGAGTATTCTTATGGCCATAATAACCTTCATGCCTTGCCATTTCTGAGGGCTTAGTTGTTACGCCTTTGTACTGTGGAATTTTCACTATCATATCCAACCCTTCAAACCGAAACACAGAAATGCTAACTCATTTATTTCACGGCAGAATTACGAATGGGAAAAGTTTCCCTCTGATAAGTGGTAAATGAAAAAGAAAGAATATTACATAATGCTGATGTCAATGAATATATGGTGATGAATTGATTATCAAAAATTTCAGTAGATTGTACATTCACTTCTTCTACATTTTTAAGTAATTATAGATAATTCCTACGTTTAGATAGTACAGAGTCAATGTAGTCAATACCCAGGAATCTATCTTAATTCCATTCTATTCCAATTTTGAAAATTTCATCATTTCAAGTTAAGGCGTTAAATTAAATAATGTAGATCTCTCCCAGAATATAGAAGTTATGGTATTTGCTGTTGTCTGTTTTCTGCTGTACTCTCTCTCTAAAATCGCTCCAGTTAATATTAAGTAAAATATTAAAATTAATATGAATATACAGACACACTTTAGTATTTTAGATTCTAAATTTATCATAACGCGGGGCTAAGTGAGTGTTCCTTGTATAATTTTGTTTAAACTATCTTATGATGAACCTATTTAAATGCAATTTTATAATTCGGACGCGGACAAAATCGTAAAACACATCTAGTTTCTAATATCGATAAAGATGCCGACCTCTAATGAAAATAAATAAATAAAAACATTGGAAATGTTATAAAATAATAAAAATGTTCTGTCTCTCTAGATATCGGAAAAGTCCTAATTTTACATTTAAATAAGATTCTATCTAACGATTTACATCCCACATAAAAGTGGACTATAAAGTAGCCCCTCTAAACTGAATTCCGTAGTTCCAGAGCATTGCGAATAAC